AGGGAACTACGGCATGAAATGGCGGATCAACATACATAACTGCTCTTCAGAATAGATAGGGCATGGAAAATTGCCCGAGACAAGGTAATAGGATGCCACTGCGCGGGATCTCGTAGCAACCCCAGCACCACATCGAACACCGTCTTGCCCATGAGTTTGATACATTCGTCGGTCCGAACGGCTAGTATTGTACAAAACTCCAAGATGTAAGCGACGCTGGGATCATATGTTGGCTGCGCGACAGCTTGAACCTGAGTATTTGCTGACACAGGCGCGATGGAATCTTGCTTGACTGTCATGACTGCCGCTTGATCATCCTCAGGAATCTGTTCAAGAAGCACCTGCACCAGTTCTGCGGCCGTAGGAGCAGAGAGATTGCTGCTGATGTCAGAGCATATGGACACCTGAATAAAGGAGTGTAGGAACTTACAATATATTTTGAAAAATTTGCTCCATATTGCACGACTTAATGCAATCGACAGTACATAATGTACTCTCTAGTTCCTCTTCTGACGGCTCCGGGGGGTCATCAGCCGCATAGCTGGATATGTAAGAAGTAAAGGCGCTGAAGAATCCCGTTTCAGCAGATCGCGTAGCCCGGTCTATAACCTGGGACGGCATTTGCAGAGGGATTCCTTGTATCGATATCGAGAATTTACTCGCGGCAGCGAACGATGGTATTAGTGAGTTCACAAAAAGGTTCACCCAAATTTGTACAACCTTCGCCACATTAGTCCCAATTATCCAGCTGCATATCATTGCTTAAGAGAGACTTACTTGCTTCCATCCTTGCTGAATGAGCGCCTCGTTCCCGGTAATCACACGAAATAAAACGAGTGTGGCTAGTTGTGCGCGGAAGTCCCGGCCAAGCTTGACTGCTAACTCACTGACCATCACACTCCCATCCCCAACTTGAATCTCTGTATTCAAAGACGTGTTGAAAGTATTAGCTGTGGCAAGTGTACTCATGTGACTCAGACAGTATATTATTTGGTCCAGGGCATCAGAGTTTTTGTATTTGGCTGCGATACGGGCACACTCATCGAAGCCAGTGACGATTCTAGCGAAAACCGCATCGTCAGTCGCAGACATGAAAACATACGACAAGGTTGAAACAATCGGCTTCCATGTAGCGGCAAACATATCGGCATCGTATATGTTCGTATTGCAGATAACCAGTTCTCCCACCGTTTCGGTTTTCATTAAGAGTTCCCTCCATGCGTAGTCGAACGCATGCTTGTTATCATGCTCGTCAGGCAGGATGATTTCATTAGACTTGATCGAGTTAAAAATTGCTTGAAGGAACTCTACAGCGAAGTCTTTTCCATCATTCGTACCGCGAAGATTTCTTGAAAAGTCCTCAAAGGTCATTCTCTTGGCGGATTTGAGATTAGGGTTGTGCTGGTCGGTATTCAAAATGATTATCGCGTAACTCAATATGAACACAGCGTCCTTGTTGGCTACATCATTAGGTGTGTCGTCGGCGCAATACTTCTCCGAAAAGCATTCAACTATTGACGCGATAAGCGGTGCTTCTCCGGGCAGCCTGAATGCTTCTAGAAGAACTCTCAGTGCCTCATCTACCCGCTTGCCAGAAAAGTCGAAGAGATCTAGGAACGCTTTCAGAATTGCTTCATTTCCCTTCTTCGAAAGATAGTCACCCAAGACTGATTTAGAAACCCGCGAAGTTCCCTTGAGGAATTTCGCTACCTCTGTAGGATTATTGGCATCAGATATGATTCCCTGAGCCTCCAAGTAGCCGAGCCCCAGCTTCGGTTTCTCGTTGAACTTGCTAGTTCCTTTGACAATGATTCTTTTCTTTCGTCTTTGCTCTCGAAGTTGAGACGGTTGTGGAAACCCTGCATTAATCGGATCATCTTCCAGTCTTTCGGCCAAGAATTGGATGTAACGAAGCAGGGCGTCGAGGCATAGCGGCGGGACACTAGTTGTACTCCATGTTGCTGAATCAGGCAGCGCATTTCGCGAGAGTAAACCGATAATATCTTCGCAAAGATCCGCTCTATCCACATCGCAGTCGTAGTTTACGAACAACTCGGCAACAAACGTGGGCATTCGGGACAGAACACCTATGGTCTCGACCATCGCTTGCCTTGCATCAGGCTTGCGAGCGCCTCCTTCTAAACCAAGCTTCTGCCTATCTTTCACGGAAACTGGAGTAGCGCGGCCACTACTAGCCTGTGAGGGCGGAGGCTTGACAAGCTTTGGTGTCTCCGGTATCCCGATGTACAGGGAAGGATCAATGCCTGGCTCTCGCGGAATCTGGACTGTAGGGTGCAAGCATGCAACTAAGTAGGATAAATATAGTTCTTGTTGTAACTTCAGCACCCCTCTGCACGTAGCCAGCAAGGTACCCGTGACAATCAATGACTCCTGTAGTACAGCCATGTTGTCAGATCTGACGAGTTGAAAGAGATAGCAGCACAGTCGATCCTCTGCAATCGCCGCCAGTGCCGGGTGTCGGGTAATAAACGGCCCCGAAACTTCCAACGCTACATGTAGAATTCGCATTGCCATCACTCTCATTGTGTCTGTGTGTTGTCGATCATTCGGATCGAGGAAGTTAACAAGAACTCGAAACAGCTCTCGGACAGAGGGGAAGGAATAAGGTTTGAGATCTACAAACTCCGTTTCTTCAGTCTGTTCGCTTGAGGTGTCCTTGACACTCTGAGATGCAGGCACAGCGTCTCCATGTTCATCATCGTCACAAGTCAGTGCATCTCTCCGAGGCGAGTTCGAATCCTTGGGGTTTGGGGCACTTTCTTCATTCTCGGATTGGCCAGGTTCTTCCAGTCTTAGGTTGGCCAAGTCCTCCTGGACACGATGCTCGAGTCCGTCATTTTCCTGGCCAGGTTCCAGCTCAAGATGCTTGACATCTTCGAATATAATCTGACACATGCGAACCATAGCAGCCTCGGCTGTTCTGCGTAGCACTGCTGAGAACCTGGGTTGAGAGCAAATCGCTAAACCGCGACCCATCATGTCGCAGACACTTTCATCACTTAAAATATGACCACCAGGACCGGACATCATGTCCTCCATGAGGTTAAGAATCATCAGAAGAACCACCTCGCCCTGGGATGAGTCACTGATATCAAATTGACAATGTGTCACAGCTGCAGACAGAGATTGCATAGCAAGTGCGAATCTGGGCGAGTCAGAACAGACAAATCCATAAGCCAAGAATTTCCTGAGGGCTCCAAGGGCGAGAATCGTAATAGGTGCCGCGGTCCCTTTGGCTTGGATGACAAGGAGAAAAGGCGCCAGCAATGAGGGTGCATCAAAGGTGCGAACATCTGACAAGTAAGTTAATGAGTGCTTGTACAAACTCTGATGTTGTCGGCCAAACCTTTGACTGCCGCAATCTCGTGTCGAAGCTTGCCGAAAGCTGCAATCATAGGGTTATCTTGCATGCTCTTTCCCTTCTGGCCACGCAAACCCCATCGGTTGTTTACAGATGTTGCGTCATCGTCGTTTTCGGCACCTCCAACGCTTGCAGTCAACACCTTCTGTCGAGTCTTCAATACAGGGCCGGCAGTACCAAACTGTATCAAATTCGGGTTGCCACCCAGGATCGCTGATACTGAGGAGTGTGGTGATCTAGCATGCTTTTGGACTGCAGAAGTTATTGATATACATTCGGATATGACCAGTGAGATGGGGTCAACGGCGACAGACACCGGTCGGTTGCGATACTGCATCCTCGGAGCATCGTGGTATAGCGAAGGCGAATCTATTAGTTCAGCGGCGGATTGCCTGTCGATTGTACAAGGTAACGGAGCATCTTGGCTCATCTTAATGAACGTGTCTGGTATTTTGGAACTGAGCATCAGCTTCGTTCGTAACTTTGGGAGTTGGTACTTCTGGGAAGCTCATGGTTAACCTACCTCCTCCTACGTCGATATGTGGAGTTCAGATCAGCGGTAGTACATGTGAACAGGTTCAATATCAATAATTCTCCCGTTGAAATCGAATCGATGTTGTTTTAGCTTGTCGTTGTGGAAGTTTGTTATGACAGACCTAGGTAGCCTGGTCAAGTTGCCTTACAACAGGACGACATTATTGGAGCTCAAGGCTGTGAGTCTCCGTCCCCTTGGACCTTGGTACACTTGTCCAGTCCGACATCAAGTGTCCAATGACCAGCACTTGAGCCCCCACCTCTCGTCCCAACCAACCTTCAGCCTTGCACCTTATGTACTTCTGGATTGTGGGGAGCGCGAATTCCAGGCCTATCTCTAAGATTTTTCTATGGAGTAGTATAATCACCCAATTCCACTTGTGTGTTGGTGTCCATACAACAATCATTGGATCATTGGCAGGGTGCAACAAGACAGGGAGTCTCTGCTACCGATGTACTCTCTCAGCGGTTGCCTTACATGTATAATTGATTGATTGAATTGTTTACCGTCTTTTTGCGCCTCCGCAAGGGGGCATGAGACGTGCTAGGCTATGTATTCTGACCAAATCAGTGGCGTTTTTCTAATAATACGTACACATTAACCGGATTTTTGCCCCTTAATGACCTAATTATTCTATCCATCTAGCATTTCATGTCTTTAAGGGGGGATTTTCTCCTTGGGTTTTTTTGACCAGCTACAATTCTCTTATACCCTTTTAAAGCTGCAGCAGCAGTTTAACCTCCAGTAACCACGCGTTCAAAATAAAAGGGGAATAGTGTATAGTGCGTACTAGGTAAGTTACTTGATGCACCTCTAGCTATATCCTCCCTCATGTTGGAATTATGGACGACAACAACTACAGGTTCTGCTATTTCGCAGACTTGGAAGGCAGCGTCGCATCGCGATGGAATAATAGGTCGACGGAGTACTGATTGGCAATATAGGAATGACGTCCCTCGGTCGAATGATGAAAATACTTTCCCTACATAACGCCAATGGAACATATCATCCCGAGAAGATAACGGCAGTGTCATACAATGCCTCTATCCCGCCGCCCACCCTGATAAATGATAATAATACATCTCAAGCAATGACCCCGGAGTCCTTCGCAGCGTCTTCGGCTTGATGTAATTCTGGAGAAGCTACACTGGACCGCTTTGACTGTTGCTGTTGCTCCCTCATTTCTTTCTTATCCTTCTCCCACTGACTACTTGCGTCACCAAATTCTTCTTTCAATTTCTGCTCCTTGAGTTTCTTCTCCTGCTCTTCCTTCTCACGAGCAATTCGTTCCTGCTCCATCTCCTATTGCGAAAAGTCAGAACTCGTCGACCAGCGGTCGGCCACCGCTCGAGTACTTACCTCCATGTGACGAATGTCGTCTACACTAGGTTCATAGAGATGCCAAATCACGTAGTGTGGCAATCCTACCACAGAGTACTGCATTCTCTTGGCCATCTGTTCAAACTCCAGTCAAAATACGTCACAAAACACATATAGGGTGGGACGAAATACCGACCTTTCCAAAGCCCTCTGTCTCAGCATGCTTTTGAAAGCTAAAAGCTGGGAAGTGAACACCGGTTCGAAAGACTTTAGCTTTGGCTAGAATGCTGACACCGCCAACGCCGTCGATCTCCATTTCCATATCTGGATCGCCATAAGGGTCACGTAGATATGCCAGGTGAGGTCGCCAGGTAGCGTACTCGGCGTAGCCTTCCACAATCACAGCATCTTCATCCAAGGTGTCGGCAAGCGCTAACGCAGTCTCTGATTCTTGCCAAGAGTTCAAATCGTATGGTTGTTCGCCACCGAGCCAATCCGGTAGGGGTCGCCAGACGTCTAGAAGAAACGGGATTAGTTGGTTATAGAGATATTGAATAGTAAAGGAGTCAGAATAGTACAATGCGGTACTTACTTGGCACAATGACGTCTTTATTATGACGCATAAGATCCTCGAGTATGGTGAAGGGCGCAGTCTCTACATCTACATCTCGCCAATAAACCCAAGAGTGATATGGTCTTAAAGCTGCACTGAGAAGCCAATTTCTGGCCTGAGCCATTAGCTTTCTTCGACTGGCTTGTGCTGCGAATCCATGTCGGCTTTCAACATCTTGGTTGACCTTTTGACCAAAATCTTTCTCAATAATGGACACTTCTCCATAAGGCTGTTTAGGATCAGGATCGGCCTGGATTCGTTCCAAATTGTCGGTGAGCACCTGTAATGTTCGATCTTTAGAGTCGGACACCAAGAAGGCAAGGTCGATCAAATGATGAGGGTATGTGAAATTGCGCAAATGGGAGAAAAACATTGCCAAATGCGCTTCTGCGTCACGCAAAGGGACGCACAAGAGAATACGTTCTTCGCGTTCCCAGCCCCGTGCAGTACCTTGAACATTGCTGAGATCATAGTATCGGACGGTTTCGAGCTCGACATCGTTCGTCGCAGAGAACAAGCCTAGAGATACAACAGAGAGGATTGGGTTAGAGGGCCATAACCAAACACTAATGACAAGCAGTCCAATCACTGCAAGGCCAACTCGAATGAGAAATTTTCTCTGTCGTCGGTTCCCCGGTGCTGAAGTACGAGGTTGAAATCTAAAGGGTTGCATTAGATTGGGTGGGTATATGATACCTGGATAATAACCACGCAATTACCTATGGGGAGATATGTCAAACGTGTTGCCTCTGGGATATCCGTTGGAAAATCCGCTTCCTTGATGCCGTGGCATCATTTTGCTGGCAGAGAGCAAGACATAAGATGACAGATAGGTAAAGAACAACCCAGATCCGCACTGCCTGCTACCAGATCGCGCAGAATAATGACAGAACCAAGGGGCGAAATTGTTCCCTGCGTCAAGTAGAAGAGGAAAAATGGGAAGGGAGGAAGAGGCGATCCGTCTTGGGATATCGGTTGTGATACAAGCGATGTAATCATTAATCAGGGTGCTTGCAACCGCGATTTAAAAAGCGAAGGGTGGAGGACACCCAGCTGCCTTTTCAAAGGAGACTTCAGGCGCATGGTCAATTGCTGAGTGTCTCGGGCCAGGAGACCACCAGTAGCGAGTTCCTCCGCCTAAGTATCTAAGTACCTAAGTACTGTAGGTACCTAGGTGTCCAGTAGGTACTTGAGTATAGGCCTGGGCTTGAGATACCTACCTAGGTACCTATACTACGTTCTAGCTCCAGGGTACTAGGAGGTATCTACCGTAGTAGGTGTTTTAGGGTAGGTAAGTACCTAGCATTACAAAGTATGTCCGCCAGAGCGTAAACAGGCTGGACTCTGTGGAGTAAAGTTCTACCTGACGATGGGATATGACCTAGCCAAGTACCTAGGTACTTTAGCCAGGTTAGTCCTCTAGCCTTTCCAGCATACCCTACCATACAGAAATCGAATAATGAAATTTATCAATTACTCAGAGGGTTGAATGCCTATGAGCATTAGATCAAAGTCGGCACGCCTTCTGCATTATAATCATTGGCGAATGGGTGTAGGCTAAGATAAATTGGAACAATCGAAACTGATTGAAGCACTGATTTCGATCCCTTACTACATCACCACTGGCCAGTGTTAAGTCATCAGCGAAAAAGGCGGTTCGTGTTCTAATGAATGCACTATACATTTACTACTGAGCGATCAAGTATAATTACAGCATATCTTGATTCGTGCACTCTGAGACCTACTCCAAGACCTGGGAACACAAACGGAAAAAAAGGTACACAGGTTGCAGAATGAACAATGAAGTGCTACGACTATAATTCTTTGGATTGGCTGCTACAACAACCCGTACCGGGTGGGGAGAGACTTCTTGTCCCTCTCGCCCCCAAACCAGCCAGCCTGTCTGCGTGTTTATCGTCATATGGAGCTATATCACTTCGTCCACGTTTAAGATGCGCGACTAAAACCCTTGCATGAAACCAGTGAAATCAAAGACAATAACGACTGCCAAAACAACGTGGCAAAGATCAGAATGTCATGGAAATATTGAAGATACCCACCTTAAAAATGCTGCAGTCTTATGTACCGCAGCTCGACTCTGTAATGTGACCCGCTTTGTTGGATAACTGCTGCAAGATTCAGTTAGAAATCGCCATCTAACAGGATACCATGATATAGAGCAGTTCTTGAGAGGATTCGTCAGACAAGCCAGTTTACTCAGTCATCTTCGCCGGCCCTTCCATACCAGCGAACCAAAACGGGCCACGAATAGGGAGAGGCACTGAAGTTAAATAACGTCGAGTGACAACTCCACAACTTTCATAGCGTCCCAGACAGAGAAGCTCAAGTGCGGGAGAATAACTCGGTAAAGATGAGGTAGTTGAATGGATAGAACTTGTGTCATCATCTGCCCATGCTACGCAGTCTTAACGGATAAACAGGGAATAGAGCATGTGTACCTTGATAACTCGGGCGGTACAGTGCGTCTTGTTGCGCGAATCGGTTGTACAAAGTGTTGGACCTAAGCAAGTTTGAAAGAAACAGTGACGTTGCACTGCGGCTTCATGCGCAAATTAGCCATGTCATGCAGAAGATAGTATCAGTGAAGCACGCAGGTGTGAAATGCTAGTTGGTATCAGAGATCTTGGTATGGTATTTAGGAGTCATCACTTTAGTTCAGTAGCAGAACTGGATGAAAATAAGTCTCATCATGCAAGGAAGGTTTGGCTATAATTGCACTCTGATTAACTTACTCGGTGACATTACTTCTCTAGGCTACTTCATGTAGCAATCCTCGCCTTGGTGTATCTGCAGTATCTCTGGATTAGTAGATCTTCAGGTAGGTACATGCTGCATACATTGTTTGGCAACACACTTCATCAGATGGTAGTGCATGCTTGTTCAATCGCTCAGGAGTCGCGGGAACAGTGGTGTGTGATATCTTCATATGGGTTGTATGTGAAGAATAAAAGGCAGTGGCTGCAGGAAAAGGTAGCAAATCACTCACTATTTTTCATATTTGATTGCAGAGCAACAGACAGCATGCTTTAGTGTCTGGTGAAGATGTTTGTCAAGGAAGAAAAAAATCGAAGGCCAAATTCTTGCGGGTCCTTTATAAAGAGATGTGGATAATGGAGTTACCCTTTTTTTTAAATTATTTAATTTAATGGAGTTACCCTTAAAGCCAAAACAAGTGGGATCAGTCGCACCACTAATTTCATATCGCTCCCCACTACTTGCATAACGATTTGGGTGGATTTTACGCCCGCCAACACAGCTCTTGTAAAAGTAAATACACCTCGCCAAGCAATGTCTGATCGGCGACGAATTAACGGGCCAGGAGGTCCTACTAACCCTCCTGTCTACGATGAGGATTTAATAATCAAGCCAGTTCGCACCAGGAATAATAATGATGTCCGACCATTTTGTAAGCCAGTCTCCGATCGCGTTCACCTGGTCACATCTAACTCATGTAACAGATCTGAAGACTGGTGTAACACCATCAGCATCGGGCTCAGCCTACTTGGAAATAGATCAAAGTACTGGGAGTGGCTTTGGCATGAAGTTTACCTGCACCGTGCATGGACCTCGATCACTTCCTCGATCAGCACCGTTCTCTCCTCATATGGTTATATCAACCCATGTCAAATATGCTCCTTTTGCTACACGACAGCGCAAAGGCTATCTCAGAGATGCCAGTGAGCGAGATCTGAGTATACATTTAGAAACTGCCTTGCGCGGTGCTGTTATTGCGGATCGCTGGCCAAAAAGCGGTGTCGAGGTGGTTGTAACTATTGTGGAAGGTGACGTGAGCCGCCAGACAACCATCGATGAAGGCCATGAGGAGTGGAACACCATGTCTATACTCAGCGGATGCATCACTGTTGCTTCTGCTGCGATTGCCGATGCTGGAATCGATAGCGTTGATGTTGCTGCAGGGGGGGTTGCCGCACTTGTGCAAGACGAAGGCATTGGGAAAGAGCCAATATTAGTCATGGACCCTTCTGTCTCCGAGCACAAGACTATTTTAGCTGCCTGTTGTGTGGCATATTTGCCAGCTCGAGACGAAATTACGAATCTCTGGTACAAGGGGTCTTCATGTGGCTCTCACCTTGCAACATACCGATCTTTGGTTGGCAGGGCAGTTCTTGCGAGCAAGGGAGCCGGAAAAGCAATATCGGTGTCTCTTAACGAGGCGGCTCTGTTAGCTTAAATTCAAGCTTCTTCATTGCCGCCACGCCTTCGATGACTGTCCGGCCGCCGGCAAGTTGTGCCAAAGCCGACTCTCGAAAAGGGGGAACACTATTCGCAAAATTACAAGAGGCGCTCCTCGGGTATGCAATGGGTAGAATAACTGCGGGTGCGTGTAGTTTGTCTGTTGGTATAAGCGGTTGCTGACGAGCTATGGCGAGGTAGCGGACGTGTAAGGTCTAGGCAGGACATATACCTTTTGACCCCAACATACATATTTTGTCAAGGCCGGTGATGACGAGCAGCCATGATAGTCATTTCCATTTCTCAAAGGATGAGCTGGGCGAAGTGGAACCTACCGGTCTTGTCGTCGGTGTCTATTGTTAGGTGCTGGCTGACAATTTCATCTGTCAGTACACATATTGCTGACAATCTAGGCCCTATTGCGGCCTTGAGCATGTGTATAATTGTAACTTTTATCACTTACTTAAGCAGACATGAAAAAGGAGATGAGACCTCGGCTAAGACTGAGATACGGAGCTACTTTATGGCGTGTTCCACAGATTGAACTGTGGTATGCTGCGTACCCAGGTACCTTTATCATTTGAAACCGCATACGTGTTTGAGGTAGCCGCCACCGCCAGCATTTCTTCACTCTATCCACTCGATTGTTAATTCATGTTTTATCCACGTCATGCGCTCGCCCATCAAATAGGAAGTAGGATATAGGCTATCTAAGCTTCATGTGATCAACCAAGGCTGGGCCTTTATTCGGCAAAAGCTTGCAAATTTCACATTACGTCTTCGGGGAAGTTCATTTGAGTCGACTGTGGTAATGGCTGCCATGGTGCTATCTACCCGGGTAGTTCAAGAGCAGCGACTACCCCGGAGGAATTAATGCAAGTAGCCAGGTCGTGTCATCTCATCAACAACTTCACCCGTTAAATGAAATGCCATTCAAACTGCCCATGGGTCTAGATGGTATGGTTGACACCGGGCTCATTCAAGTCCAACGTGCTCACACCAACTACATGCTTAGTACCTATTGCCTAAATTTTAGCCCTGCCAATGTGGCTAAAGTCTGGGTACTCAAGTACATCGGAGGTTTTTTTTTTTTTTTTGGTGACTATCACCATCTTATCAGTTGTGACAAGATAACTTATTGAAGTTTTTATTTAATATTTGGCTAGTGTGTTTGACGCATCGCGGTGCGTTCTGTGTTTTCCTCGAGGCACGTCACGGTCCTGGAACCTGGTACGGCTCAATCATAGTGTTATGAGTGGTCTCGCATGGCTATTTAGCCTTCTACTTCACTTTACTTTATTTTATTTTTTATTAAATAATTTAAATAATTTAATAATTTATGCGAGATGGCCTTGGCTAGCGGCCGCGGCGCGGCACCAATTGCGCTGGTACGTCTGACGCGTCACGATGCGTGTACAGACGGTCTACTTTTCTAGTCTCTTACTGTCCTTGGCCTAGTACAGCCCAATACTGTTTTAGATTTTACGCTTGCACGATACCTGTATCATGCGTGTAATTTCATTTGACTACAGAGCGAATCAACCAAAAATTAATTTAATGATTTAATAATTCATAATAATTCAAGATCTGTCTTTCGATACTTATATCGTCACCAGAGCTAGGGGCTGCGCACGTAGGCATTACTACCTGCCTAGGTACTTGTACCTACCTAGGTACCTACCTACCTAGGTAAGTACGTAGGTACTTAGGGGGCAGTTACCTCGTGTCCCACCCAACGACCATGGCCGTTGGGTCCACCCAAAGTGGATTACTCAAGTGCTCTTTGGAACCAAGAATCAAGTCGTCCAACTTCAGCCAGCTTCAAATCCTTCTTGGTGAGCGATCGCTAATACGACCATCGTCAGCATCCTTTCTCCGGCGATAGCGAACTAGTCAATAACACACTTACGTCATATTGATAGTGTCTCTTCGCCGCGCCCTGGGGCGTGCTGTGGTATCAGGTATTTCAACAAGTATACAGCACCACACACCATCCATCATCATCGCATTTGGCAGCGAGCTTATTCCGAGAACCCGACTCCATCGGACTCGATAGGAGGGCAACGCTACTCTATGCCTGGTTTCGACCACATCAGGACATAGAATCAGGCGTGAACTTCCAGAAACGCTCAGTGGCTACTGGATGTGCCATGGACCAACGGCTTCACGCTGCCAATGACTTTGCTCCTCACATGGCCCAACCTTTGGTAAATCTCCAGACAGCTGCGGGTTCAAGTTGGCACAACATCACCGCCTGGGCCATCAACGTGACGCGAAATGCGGCGTTTCTAGAAGACTTCTTGTGGGTCGGTCCACGGATTTTCATGAAACTTGGATCCTACATAGCCTTGTCAGACACCACAGGTGGTTCGACGGGACGACTGACATCGCCATCGGATGGAGCCATGTCCTCAGAGCTGCACTTGCGAAACTTGCTGGAACCTGATATTAGTATCCCTTTGAAAGCAAGGATTGGCCCATCCATCGGAGATGCAAATGCAGACACACAAGCTACACGACTGTCCCTTGATGGCGCGCGGGGCTTGGGCAGTGTATTTGGTTACGTTACCAGTAAGTGGGCAGTGTCAACTATCGCCATGGCTATAATCCTCAACCGTACACATATATTTGCAGCTACCAGAAGGCGATTGCGGCTCTACTGGCGTACTAGGCTACTTCTCAGGGTCCTGCCGATCATTCTTCTTGCTTCACAATCACTCCATCTTCTCCGGTCTATCCAATGCCAGACGTCACCAATATTTAACCAACTTCGGTGGGGGGATACAAACAAAACGTCTGATTTGGCATTTGCACATCCGAGTGCATTCCTGAATAAACTGAGCTCTAGCTTACTTCTCGGCATTGGTGATAGAGAATCATGTGAAGCTGCTGGCATGGTTCCCAAGGGCGACGACTCGGATGCTCAAAATCTACGCGGGTCTTTGAATCTACTATGGCCTCTATTCGGTGTATTATGTCTTAGTCACTTTATCGAGACGCTATCATGTGCCGTCCAAGGCCGCCCGCTCTCAGTGGAAACCGGAATGACGCTGTTTGAGCAATCACTTGCCTTCGCAGAGGCAGATGCGGCTGTCAATAATCAGCTTGGCTGGGGGTCTTTGCCTCGGATCCATCAGAATTTGAACCCGCCAGTATCTGGTTTATCAGCATCAACTTCTCTGACGCGGTCTGCGGTCCTCAGCAAGGTTAACACGCCCCCAGAAGTCTTATTTATTGCATTTTTGTCGTCCATGACTCATCTGTCCAGTCACATGTTGGGAGTATTTGATGCCCAGTCAAAATACAGACTCGTGAACACAGGGTTTTGGGGCCTCTGTTTCATGGGTACAATCGTCTGGAGCGCTTTCGAATTTGAACTGGGAAATCCTTTGGCACAAAGCATGTTAAGATTTCCAACTGTGTGCATCATTGGATTTGTTCCTCATGTTCTAGTACTGTCTGGTATTGCGGTCTGTCTTCTAATATACGGACTAGCCCTCATCCTGTCTGCTCTAGCTCCGCCGTTGTCTACCAGCGACAGTCGTTCAGCGACCCTTCGTCAAAGGCTAGCACATGCTCATGAAAACATGCAAGCAAATATCTCTCTTTCAGAAATTCGCATAACGAGAGACATGGATTTTTATACAGCACTTCTTCGAACCGGGTTTGCTGCCATCAGTATGGCAAGTGAAGCTGTATACCTCAATGAAGACCGTGGTGTCACTCTACAACATCGCACATGGCTAGAAGAGGCGCGCTTCCGAGAGGTAGAGGAGATACAAAGGCAAGCAATTGGAATTGGGATGCCTAACTCCCAGTATGACCAGATTGGCACTATCGGGCTCGTTCCAGTGAAAGATTGTACCGTGGCTGCGACAAGCGGCTATGGCCGCGAACGTGCTGCCCAGAGAATATCCAGAGGGCGAAGTGACAGGGCCATTCGGACAGGCACTGGGGCGACTGAAAGAAGCTCAAGGTGGTTCATGGCTGTGGAATTTTTACTGAGCACAGGCAAGTTGATGGTTCGCACAAGTGCCCTAGCGGCACTTTGGGGGTTAGGAAGGATTCGAATAAGGAGTCAACCGGCTTGGCTCCTTTGGCTGGCTAGACGCCAGAAGCTTAGTATGGGTGACAAGGACAGGGTGTCCGGAAGGAGACAGGGCATCACATCGGATGCTTCTGGACGTTCAATCACCGGCCAAAGATCAATTCCTCCAACGGAAGGCTTTGATGTCGAGACTGAATTCAGGCGATTCAATGCTAGTCAGGATGAAGACAGTCTGGATGCAGACCTATATAAGTACTGGTTGACTGGAGGCTGGTGGAGTTCAAATGACGAAAGTGGTGAATACAAGCCAGACGACGAGGACAGCTGGGACACAACTTCCGCCATATCCATCCCGACAACGCCAGTCGACGAAGATGGTTCAGATAACGGCTGGGGATCGGAAGAAGATAATACAGAAGCACCCTCAGGGCTATCACTGACGCGAAGCTGGGAAACCACGCCGCCTGCGGATACAATCTTGGACACGAATAATTTAGCACGACTCCTAAACCCGGAGACTGCAGAAGAACGAGAAGAAGCCCACATCCTTTCTGCACACCTGCAGTACGATACAGTAATGACGAGGTCAAGCTTTAGGCGCCAGGATCATCTCCGACGGAGTCGTGTTCTTCTACGGCCCGGCATGACTGCCACAGGAGGTTACAGATCTTCGGATAGTCGCAACGTGAAATTGAGCCCCGAAGATGAGGAACATCTCTTGGAGCAAATTCTCCTATCACGTCGCAATCAGAACGAGTTCCACTCCCGCGACACTGACACAATTCAGCGTACGGATTTGGCTACCGAGGAAGCAGCAAACCTGCCGTGTGTTGTTTGTCAGAGTTCCGTACGAACAATCGTCGTTTGGCCTTGTCGCTGCTTTAGTCTCTGTGACGACTGTCGCGTGTCACTGGCAATGAACAACTTTGATAAATGTGTATGCTGCCGGAGGGATGTGATGAGCTTCAGCCGAATTTTCGTACCATAGCCGCATGACAGCCTTGCAGCTACACGAGTGATTGTGGTTCATAGTTCTCACTAAATCGTGTCTTCTTATTAATTTTACTTTCATTGAGAAATGCGCAACGACGGTGCAAATTGGTTCCTATGCGTTCAACTCTCTGTTACATGGCCGCCCACTCGACGCTGTATGTATGGATCGAACTTGGGCGTGAGTCACACGCTGGCTCTTGCCCGCCCAGCAAAAAGGCCTTCTTCACGGCTGTTGCTAGGCGTCCACCTCCAACAATGTCCAAAATAGCTATGTGCTCATCCCATTCGTACTCATTTGCCATGAAGTGTGCATGGAAGCGCAGCGGGTCACCAGGATAAACGCTATGTTGAGCACCAAATCTCAACCCGGGCGTCATATAGTAGCCTCTCTCCTGAAGAAACCCGCACAGCGAGGCCGCAGGCTCCGATTGCATGTCAGACGGTCTAAGTGTGTTTCGGGGCAATAGAGAGATGCTGGATACAGGAGTTAAAGATAGAAGTCCTACGGTGCTGACTTGGTGTTTGTCGTCAGGATAGGTGATGATATCACTGGCTACAGTATGGCTGTCAATACCCATGGTAGATGGGCAGCTAATGCCAGCTTTGTTTTGTTTCTGACGAGCAGTTGTGGGTGCCGCTCGTGAGGCGGCATGTTCCGCTAACGCATGCTGCACGGTCTTTTTGCTCTGCCGCAGATGGTCTATATACAACGCCCGCGCCTCTTTGTTAGCGGAGTTCAGGGCAATGCCGTGAGCAGCCACGTCGTCTACGATGTATGCTGATCCTTTTCGTGCAAGGATATACGCTTCCTCAGGTCGCAGCTCCACGGGCAATCCCAAAAAAAGATTTTGAGTTGGTTGCTGTGGTGTTGTCCCAACCAAAGTACCAGCCGTGTTTTCTTGTCTCCGGAGGAGAGAAGCTGCGTCAGGGTCGAATACTAGATATCGTCCAGCAATTTTCGAAATTCTGACCTTGTTCGGGCCGATCTCTGCGTGATCGCTTGTCGAAATCATAGGTCCTGTGGTCATTGTGTTTGAGTTAGCTCAGGGCCATATATCCTAGGGTTTCTCGAGCGCAAGGGTTGACGTGGTAAGGGCATTGGAGAATCATAAGTCGTCTTCGTAATGTTGAATGTGTCGTCACAGGATTTCAGTGGATTGACAGATATTCAGAATTATAATCATGATGCAAATTTGGGCCGCCAGAGGTGAATCGGGAGCAAGGGAACGTAGTGTACATACCAGAATGCGTTGCAATGGCACAGAGGAATAAGAACAAGAAAATCCGAGGGCGTGCATGAAAATTTAGACCGACTTAATTAAGTGGGCATGGCTTGTGTGGGTCAATACTGATAACGGGGCTAAAATCGCATATCGGCAAATTAGGCACCTACATATGCTGCAACTGGGGCAGCCCATCTTCGAAGTACCATATTCGCCTTCAGAAATTCAGGTCTTGTTTTTTGGACTGTTCCGAGTGTGATGACGACCTCGATTCTTCGTCAAGGCCGACAGGAGGTAGGCTAAAAGGCATTATAACTAGTCCATTTGAAGCACTGAGCCGAAATGACATGTCTTCTCTCTTCCAGCACCCTTCCATCCCACCACCCTTTTCATGAAATATCGGCAATTTATGAACACGAACCAAGCCTTGAGTTTTGCTTTCCTCCGCCCTAATTTCCTTCGCGTACGTCAGCTGTTTCAGAGGTACGAGTTCAACAACACCATCAAACAAAAGCTCCATCCACTTGCAAAGTCCGGAATGTCGTGGATGAAGAGATATGGGCAGCGAAACTACCGTAGCAAGTTGGGACGGAAACTGCCGTAGCAAACTTTGCAGACTGTGTAAAAACCGCAAAACCTCATCCGGTTTGCATGCTGTGGCGGGGTACGCGGCGGGGGAAAGCATATTGGGTATGATGACTCGATGTACCAAAGACGAGGCCTGCAGATTCGAGCGAAGCTCAGATATGAAATTTGGGAAAATAGGTTGGGATCCGAGTTTAGCAGTGTCTCGGGTGGGATATGTCAGAAGCCGGCCGCGCACGCAGTCTGCTCCCAGCCTCTTCGAAAGGTCAAACGAGTGACAAAAAGTGCTAGAACTTTTGGAGAGTGCAGCTTCACGTTGTGCGTCAAGACCTGGTTTCTATTGTTAATGTTGTAATTGCAAAACTGTGGAGGCTGCGTGGTGCTTGTACCTTTATTATTTGACTGGCTACCCAGGGTCTCATACCTCCATGCTATCTTCATTTTACTTGCGGATGGAGAACTTTGTGTATGAGGCGGCTGTTCCTTCGCTTGAACTAGACCGGGAAGCTCTCGGCGCCAGGCTTCTCCAACGCCGAGAACGTGGACTTGATGTCCCTGAACTAGGCCTTCTCCAGCAAAATAGCGAAGCAAAACACCTCCAAAGTCCGTCGTTCCGGATTCTTCAATCAACAGAGAACTTCCAAGTGGCAATCCCGCATGACCAGCCAGCAGCTGATCCAACGAAGATGTACCAGTTGACGTGGTCAAGCGACCATCTAATGGTGATGGACGAGTGCCGGGGAGTGTGTCTCTGTTGTCAGTCTGGGATGGTGACGACGGCATCGGCGCATGAATGACAGTATTTCTTTTGCGGAACGACATGACAACTGCGTCTTCTGAACTGCGCAGGCACAAATAATCCCAGTTGGAAGACCTAATTTTCAAGGCAAGTTCAACAGGACAAATGAATGGGAAACGGAAGGAAAAGAAGTCTGCAGACGGGCAGGCATGAAAATGAAATGTTTAGAAACGAATTAGAATAGAATCTGCCAAAACCGAATTCTCGGTGCTGGAGAGTGCAGGTTACATGCATATGTACACTGATAAATTGCTCAAGAAATGTCACTGGTCGCTGCAGTCGACCAAACTGCTCAGCTTCAGACTACTTAGAGGAATGTGGGTCCTGGTTCGCTATTCAAGGAGCGGGAAAAAAATAAAATAAACGGCGACATATGCCCCGGTTGAAAGATATGCCTATAACAGTCATTCTTCTAGCTCGACTTTTTTTTAATGCAGCTGTAAAGAAATATTGCTGAGAAAACAAATGCAAAGTGCCTCATATTGTGATCCCTATCGCATCCCAGTCAACATGTCCGGCGGCGGTGGCGACGCAACCCTGTTTGAGGAGAGCTTTACGGTCACCGAATATGATCAATCCAAATACGATCGTGTTGCCCGCATTTCCTGTACATCGGCCGACTCGCAAACTGTGATGGTGCTTGATATCAACATCGAACTCTTCCCTTGCGCAAGGTCCGATTCCCTACATGTTGTCCTATCCACAACATTATCACCAGACGGCAGCAAGGAGGACGATAAGGGTTGGCGAGATGTCGGTAAGGGAGGGGACGCCCCAGCTACGTTGGCTGATTTGTACGACTATGTTTGCTATGGCAAAATTTACAAATTTGAAGAGACATATGATGGCAATACCATGTACGTACTTGGACGTCCTTTACATTTGCCCTCCTTTATCTATTGAGTCAAATGGCCACGATCCTAGCTATATTTGGCGCTTCCTCAGAGCCTCCGCTTGTTCTCGATAATTCATCGCTAATCATCGGCCGGACAATTAGCAATGCATACGTATCATTTGGAGGCCTCCTCATGTCATTGCAAGGACCCGTTAAAAAACTCACGCCTCTACGAGTTGACAACGTCTATCTTTTGATCAAGAAGTAACCGAACAGACACTCGACATTTATCCAATGGTGCATACCATGACATTCAGCCTAGGATACCGATTCACATCTTTTAAAAGGGGAACTTCGCCTTAACGATACATGTTTAACGGCGGCAAAAATTGACACCCCTTTTTGGTAAATTTTTCTATGACAACTGCAGTAATACTTGAAACCACTGGGTGCAAAAAGATGAAAAGCGCCCACTGATCACCAAATTTGTCACGTTCTTGGCCACCCTTCTTGATGTGGCCCTGGGAAGGGCAGTTTACGATGCATTCGTGACCGGATGGTACTTAGGTGTGGCTCCTCGTCTTCCATCAGGATGCCATGGCGAATAAAGAAGTCCAGCATGACTACGGCGCAGTTGTCCTTGAACTTGCCACAGGCCAGGTCCCTCTTGACTTGGTTTACGTCGCAGAGCTTGAATTCTTCGACTTCGCCGTCCTTTGGTTGCGGGATTACCCTCGCAGGTAGTTTCAGGTCATATACCCACTGGCACTCCGGATAAATAAAATCAGCTTGACCAAAGTTCTTTTCATCGGTGACGTATATGTACGTAACCGTGCCGACTTCTTCTGCATTCGGACGAACCACGTCTTCTATGAGACTGGCTTCTTCATCCGCCTCACGAATGATGCACTCAAAAGGCGTCTCGCCTGTCATTAGCCCGCCAGCAACAGTGTTATCAAGCATCCCAGGAAATGTTGATTTGTTTGCTGCCCGCTTTGGGACCCATATTAGCATACCATGTGGTGCAGAAGGTTCAACCACATATGCGGTCAAGTGAACTCCATATCTCATAGTTCCGAGTAAGCCAATAGCAGCGCGCTCCATGCTGAAAAGGAGTTCGCCATTTCGCCCATAGACGGGCCAGAGCTCCCCTCGCCAACCCCTGAGCAGCTTGAAAGTCCGGTGATCTCGCCAATGCGCAGATAGACTTGCTGCCATTGCCGTACGCTCGGGCTCTGAGGGTAATTGAAAAAGTGATAGCGTCTTCTTGATGTGGTTGACTTCCATTACACCCCTCACATCATCAGGCACGGTTGCCAACTCTGCCACGACGCGATCAAGCACGTATCCGACTGGGTAAATACCGTTTGCATCCCTCCAAACAAAGGTATAAATGCCGTTTGGCACATCAAACAGTGTAGAGGATCCGGTAGCATAAGGGGGGTAGGGGAATCTACGGCATTGTTAGTTCTTTTTTCTGAGTTTAGATTCGTCTGCCCGTCGAAGTGTGGAAGAACGATTTGAAAATTGTGGAGGACAAATAGCAAAATATATTGGGATGATTCGCAAGCCTCACGTATCCGTATTATGAACGAGATCTAGATTTGACTTCATTTCGGGCGATGAGACTTAGGTGGAAGGAATTGATTCAACATGTAATGACTCAATGGACTGGGCGTCCGTCGTGATGCCGTGAAAAGACGTTGAGGATTATGAGTCTGACCAAAAGCACCGAAGGTGGGGTGGCTCGTTGGAGTGATCCAGTGAGTAGAGCCTACCCGCGAATGCCGATTGGCGCACGCCAAATATTCGCACACGACGCTCCCCGTCCCTAACCGCTGGAACCGTGTTCCTAATAGGCGAAAAAGCAGAGAAATAGTGGAAAAGCCTTGGCCGCCATCAATCTCATATCCTCATAATATAAGGTGGGTGTGGTTCTTATTTTCTTTCTCTTTGTCCGCTTGTCGAGCCACTACTACTACTCCTCGTTGTTGGTTAAAGATTGCTGGCTACCCCGCGTGTCGGTAAGCGGAATTTTTCGTGTATTCAGGCAAAATCACCATCTTCAGTCCAAAGACTCGACATTAGCTGACCCAAGAGAACAAGATACAGCCGTTGAATGAAAGGAGAACCTTGATCACCCAAACGTCAACAGAACCAACCATTCACTCAGCAATGTCCGGCCTCATGTTTGGAGTTATACCAACCGGGCAACAGCTAATCACTGATCCTACATCCACACCTTCTCCTACGTCGTTTCTTTACACACTGCCAAACACCAAGTCTTTTTCTCATGTTATGGTAATCTTGCTACCGAATGTTCAGCTTCCCGATAATACCGCTGCTGCAATCTATCTTGCCACTGCCAAGGACGTTGCCATGGCAGCTGAGTTGGGCGGCACACCAAACTTCAAATTTCTTGGAGGAATAGGGTCTGGGAAAGAAAGCGCGCTTTTTAAGATCAACTCGAACCCTAGCCAAAACCATAGCAATGCAGAAAATGACGGCATCGTGATTGGGGTTTCTATTGAATCGGCAGAGTCTGTCGGCCAACGTTTGGAACAGCTGTCGGCCGACAAGACAGCAAACAGCTCGGCGTCAAATTCCAACACGGCGCAGATGCCTACTTCTCTCCTTGCCCAACGTATAATACAAAACGCATATAATTCTTTGGCAGGCTACACCCAGCCGATAGGTCCTGGGGGTGTAGAGGTTGTCCCTCTCCGGGCATTTGACGACTGGTGGCGAAAATTCGAAAGTCGAATTCGCAACGACCCCAACTTTCTTGCGAAGCCACAAGAATAAATTTAGCATAGCACCTGAAAATGTCATTTGATAAAGATACCTATAGAATTTTCAATTTGAAAGTCGCTCGTAACTTTCTACGATCCTCTGGCAGTGCTACAATCCGTTTTCGGACGAATCCCTCGTGTAATTTGAACCAGAACGGCACAAAGTCAATTCGGCCCCCGGGGAGGAGGATTGTTGGTTGTGAGTTTAATAGGGATGAATGGCCCAGCGTTACGAGGAAAACAGCGAACGTGCTCATAGCTAATGTCAATGACCAAGTGACACCAAGCGCACCAAATTCCATAAGCAATTTGTACCTAAGTCTCTTCTATCAGATATTATCATTGCTACTCAGCCTGTGTTGGAGTCATAAGCGGGCTTTTCAATCGGGTCGGGCTGGTCGCTCTGCTTCTCCTACCAGCGTTTAACATTTGGAGATTTGGTGCCAATCGTTCCCTACTTTCCGTTCGAAGGACTAGTCCAGTTCGATCCATTACTGATGGTTGTTGACCCTCCTCAAGGCGACCCAAGACGACCTTAGGGACACCTGGCCCGTGATATCTATTTGCATGGGATCCGTCACTGCTGTCAGAGCTGATGATACCCTCGGAGTAGTCGTCTAGCTCATATCGAGTAGCCTCGCCTTGTTCTAAGATTCTTTCATAATTTGCCGTGCCACGACCAAATATTTTATTCGTCAAGCTAAGTCCGCTGCGTGGTTTGCGACTGGATTGGCGTCGCCGCCAAATGTTCTGTATTCGACGACTTCTATCAGGCCGTTGAAGAAAGAATACGACTAATAAAGCGACAAACATCAAAGCCAGAATAGAATACAAGGTCTGGTTTTCGAAAGTGTTGTCGTTGTCGATATCACTGTCTTCACTATCGAAATACGAGTCCGACGTCAAAGGTAAAGATCCTGCGTGCTCAAAATCGGAGGGTGTCTTCGAAGCTACATTGCTTCCAAACCCAACGGGCAATGTCGAGAGATGAGGTGATATTTGGCCCGAAGCATAAAGAACCATCTTTCCTAGGGTCCAACTCACTTCCACACCTTCCACAGTATCAATTGGTTGGAACGAGTTGAGGAGGTCCTGCCTGCCATTCCCCGGCTTGTCGTATGTTGTATTGAAACTGGGTCTAGATGAAAGTCCCAAGCCAAGTCGAGGGATTCCAATCCCTTCGTATAGAACATTTATTAGCCAAGATGCTTTAAAACAGGCTTCTTGTGCGTCTTGAATCTTCTGTGCTGCAGATTTCTTCCGTTTGACTATGTCGCTTTCTATTGAAGCCCATTCGCGGCTACAGAAAGCAAGAACTTTTTGCTGATAACTTGCGAGATCGTACGCCTGTTGCTCCTTGCCAAAAACGCCGTGGGTAGTATGCCAGTACTCTGACACTCCAATGAAGTGATTGACTTCGAAATCTATTGCTGGAACGTGCTGACCATTCAGGAGGCATGGATGATCTTCGCATGGCGCATCTTTGCGAAGCAGGGGATACGTTCTCTTTAAACACTCATCAAACGCGCCTGTTCCAACAAGAGTTTTCCCGATGATAGATTTGCCGAGACCTGAATTCTCCCCAAGATAACTTCGAAGACCCTTCGGCATACAGGGATCCGGGATTTCGTCGACTGGACCGGCATAGCTTTCCACTAAACTTTGTATATACCGAAGTCGGGCTTTGTTGGCTCCAAATCCTAGCCATGTCGCAGTGAAGACCTTATATTCAACTGATGACCCGTCCAGACGTCGCATGCGAACTAATTTTAAATCATTTGCATGGCGCTCGGCTTCAGTCGTATTGGGAGCGAAGGCAATCTGTGCTGACGCACCACCCATGTCCAGAAAGCCATAAGTATGGTGACCCTTTCCGTGAACATGTTCTTTCGGTCGATCAAGAGCCCCTAAGAGGTAATTTGTTGCAATCCAGCCATACAATCCTTCTGTTTCTCCAGATATAACCTGTACTCGTTCGCCACAATCAGGAAGGTGGAATTTTGTGTTCATTTGTAAAAATTTACAGACCCCCTTTAGAAGTGATGCCTGTTGGGGCTCTGGAAGAAGTCGAACGCCTGCTGTAGCCATTAAAAATATAGGGGTCTTGGAAACGTTTTCAGAAGGCACCTCACTGAGGGCCATATTGATGAGAGACTGTAAATGCTTAGGGCCAATGGATGCCACATCTTCCGCAAATGTGGCAACGCCAGGATGGACCTTTTTGCTCTTTTTTAGCTTTAGCTTCGGCAAAGTACGCAATTCCAAAGAAGAGGCATTTTGGCTAGCTAAGATGGGGTGTTTCCATTTGTAGACATAAAGACGGGTTCCCGACGAACCGGCGTCGAGAATAACTCCATATTGAGCTAGAGTGACGAAATATTAGTTGACAAGTAATTGCAATAGAGTCGGTTAGGAGTCCCGGGTTATGATACGATACTTGACATACAATTTTTGCCCATTAGGACATAATTTACGTTGCAAACCAGTACTCAGGGATGTGTTACGCGACTTTGATCTGGGCAACAGCGTGTTATTTCTTTTGTAGTGTTGGTCGCTGCGAGCGGACTGCCGCTATGAAGGCCCTTCTTTAAATCGGTAAATCGGCAACAGTGCTTCCTATTTGGTGAATTTGGTCGTGAATTATTTGGACAGCGGATACGGTGGTTGCGGTCGTACAGTTGCGATGTGCAAACGCGCCGAGAAAACCACGAAATGATCATAGGAAACGCGGTGGGTGGCGTGATTTGAACGGCGACGACGAGATATTGTAGTCGCAATCGCAAACTGGTCTAGAGCGAGAGGCATGTGGGCAAAAAAGAATGCAACATGGTGACTACAGGATAATGTATGAGGAAAATAAGACGCTGACTTGAAGCCTGTCGTCATCGCGGCAGAGAATTGATCCCTTAGGAGTACGTGGCCACACCGTGCAAATACAGTTAATACACAATTTCGCACATGTGGAGCTTGACCCTGGAAGCCATTTATGCTCTAGTGATCCACTACAGTCGAGGGGAAGTACTCCGTAGATCCAAGGTAAAATGTGTCAATGTCACGATTTCGTCCAAAACACCTACGTAAATGGAAATAATCTCCCCATCTGGTACCAAAGAGATATAAAAAAATGGAGGCTCAAGATCGATGCCGTAGGTCTGGACTAACTAATTGTATGCTAGTTGACCTTTTGTGCCATATAAGATTAGGTAGTAAGCAAGCCCTTGGTAACCTTGAAAATTGAAGCCCGAGCAAAACAAGGTGTCAAGTGCAAGTGGAAGGCAACCCCCATCAATCAGCCATTACTCCGTACACCAATGCGGCTTCTTGTCCCCCAATCTTCAGGTTGGTAAGCAAGGCAAATTAGCGTTGCACGATACAATCTCTGTATTGATACAAAGTCTTGAGTACTAACCTACAAAGGAGAGGATTGAGTGCGCCCCTGGTAAAAGGGGCTGTCGGCTCCACATAACGCTGTGCGTATTATCTAATTCCGTCCGGTGTGCGTTACGTGGCCTGATACCTGATACAGCTACTACTAGTACTAGGCTGTGATCCCGTGTGACAGTCTCACTATCAGAGTGTCCATATCGTTGTCTCCGCGTGACTACTCACCCATTCCAACAGCTTCAACCCATATGACATGATTACAGCCTGTTGTCGATTGGAGTGACGGATGCCACTTGATTGCATCCGTATTCGTAGTGAATGACAATTACGAAATATTATTGTATAACTATGCATGTAAAATTTGTGGAAACTTGTGCCACAGCAATAAATCTTCTTGAAAACACACACCTGGGTCTCTCTGTGAGAGGCCACCGCCCTTGGTACCTAACTTACTTGAGCACTATTGTATAGCAGAAAGGAAGAGGGTCTCTCAAAAGCCCGCAGTTCACTTCTGATTCCTCTGCTATGTGGAATCGTTTAGTCGCCTTTAACGTATAAAGCACAAATGAAGTATATACAACAATGCCGCTGAGAACTTCATTACCTACTCGAGAATGGCATGTGATCTCACGTAATACACGATCTACCTATGCTCAAGTGGGAACTGCCACTACGTACAATGCGATCTATCTCCACGGTAGCGAAATGCCTGTAAAATGTGAAAATGACAAGCCTGCCCCAACATCTTCCCGCAAAATAGGGTCCCGGGCATGTTGAACTACATCCCGAGGCTAGTTTTGATATATTCAGCCTCGACGAGACAATGTACTCTGTCGCGTCAATGCCATGTGATGCACTGGTCGTTCCTCGCTCGAACAGTTAAGGTGTCTCCTCGTCTTAGTCACAACTACTTCTGGGTTTATTCTTTCCCCGGCCAACGGCCAATTATAAGAGTCCTTCTCTGGCCTTGGGTCAGACCAATTGCGATCATGTGTCTGCCATTGAAACTGTGGTGTCGGATTAACCGCGTTTCCTACCGTCCTCGGCGGGGTGCCATTTCCAGAACCTGCTCTGGCTTTGTGATATAACTCCTGGACTTGCAAAAGACGCCGGCTCTTGTCTCTATGAGCAACAACTAGCTCTTCGTTTCTGCGGCACAATCGCTCGTGTTCTTTGGTTGTGCCTGATCTGGTTAGAGAGGCTCACATGTCATATCCTAAACCTACTATCAATTATTGTCTGTAGTCGCGCAATCTCTGCATTTGCCTCCGTAACAGTCTGATGGAGTTGAGATTTCAGCTTCGAATGCTTCTCAGTCAAAATCCCATAAACGTGCTGTTGGTAGCAGATCTCTTGCGTCTTTTGATAGGCCCAAAAGTTGAGGGCTCTTTCGGCGCACTCCAACACGATACCAGGACTAAGCCCGCTAAGGACAATAGCCTTGTAGTCTTCACTAGGAAGAAGGTTTGCTATCAAAGTGTCTCGATCGCGGAACAGCGTTGAGTGACAGGCGGGACAGACAAATGTCTGCTTGGCGGCTATGTCACAGACTAAGCGGAGGTGTTGAACACAATCTAGGCAAAACGCATGACTTCCACGGGAATTAGCCTATTGGACTGCTATCACATTAACAAATTTTTGCGAGTCTGCAATTATTGATAGAAACATACCTGCACGTGGTAACAAGAGCTCTATCACGGAGCTCCCTTCTACATTTGAGATTGTTGCACAGCAGGTTGTAGTCCATCATGCCTCGTCCGAGGGCAAGCTCGGAATGATGACTGTTGAGCTATGACAATTGCAAGAGCATAAAAGCGGTATAAAAGAATTTTCAAATGGGGAGATCAGCAACCAAATTTGAGACTGGTCATGGACAGCGGGTAAGGAAGTCGCGGTTTCGTGGGTATTCATGTGGCCCATTCGCTCTCAGGGTGTATAAACACAGCAGGTGCAAGGCACACTAGGACTCGTAGGACCAACCGATTGACCTGCCAACTACTAAAGTTACCTGCATACTTAAGTACCTACTTAGTAGGACCTTACTTACCTACCTATGTAGGTAGGCAAATAGGTACCTTACTTAGAGGTAGTAGGTACCTGAGAAGGTACGTGGTTGCAGTGCAGAGACTTAGGGCTACCAAATTCACTGCGTGGTCAATTGACCTCACCATCAATAGATCCTACTGTGTTTTAGGCACGTGTATGCGATTGGGAAGTGGACTGGTACAAGCGTGCTTTGAAATGGCTCAGTGAAGCTGACTTTTATTCCTGAAAATGATGCTCGCTGAGGTTTAAACGCAACACTTGGCAGCGACTTTCTATGCCATCAAAAATGCAGGTATTATCAATGGGAACATATTGGTTTGTGATGAGTTTGATCATCTCCTGGGAAACCATGCCTCCAGTAATTGCAGCCGTATTATGAACTTCCCCCCGGTTCGACCGTATTACTTCTTGGGCTACCTGCAAAAGCCTGTTGTTTCCCGAAAGGCTCGGGATTGAGCTCGCGACAAAATCCACAATCTCTTCGGCACTGTCCGTGGAGATGAGAGTGGAAGCACGAAGCGCAAGATATATGGAAATTAACGAAAGGGGCGTTTCAGGACCAGCTACTGCGGAAAGCTCATCGTTCAAGAGCTCATTTTCTGTGAATCAAATGAGTTGTCAGCACAAACAAGTACACCAATAGTCCGTCCTGCCGTCATCTGCTTGTACATACCGACGATCTTGGTGAGAGTTGGTGCATGCACCGAGCTTTGGACTAGCTTGATGAATTTCGCATTCTTGCAAAACAACTCTACCTCAGCCTGCGCAACACCTATACCACCCTCTAGGGTACGAACAGTACTCATTACTTCGCTAGCATCTTGCCGTGCTTTCGCCTTATATAGAGACTGAAGTTTGATGTATACTGCAGATTCAGCCTTCATATCGGGTATGCCTCCAGACAGTGGAAGTTGGTGGTGCTTTTCGTAGAATTGTTCAACGGCTTTTGCAATGATCCAGAAGCTGTCACTTGACGAAATCTAGGACGATATTTCAGATTGAGGGGAAGCAACACAGGTACGATAGACTTACCTCTGTTGAATTGCCATAATCAAAAATTTGTTTCAAGGAAGATGGTAGAGAAAATGGTGTAACGTGTTTCATCACCGCCGCAACAGCCTCTTCAAAATTTTCTTCTCCTCCCTCAGGATTATTACGCCTGGCGCCGTTGGCCACCAAATTTCGGAATGCCAACTTATCGGAATATGCCAATGGTGGATTGCCTTGGTGTGCATCTTTCCATTCCTCGAGGCAATGAAGAAGAGTAGCAACCAGGGGCAAGTGGCCGTGATCATGATCGGTTTGGTCATCAATGTCCTTGGTTAGCTGGCTCACAAATGTAGACAGCTCTGGCCATGGATCTAGCAATCTCAAGTCCGCCGTTGCATCTTCATCTGGGTGAGTATCTACGACAGGGAGATGCGCCGGTAGCTTAAGTGTGAAGTATGAATAGTAACCAACACTATGAACACTCAAGATTGGGATCTTTCGCCTCTCAGCATACGACTCGAGGAAGCAAACCAAGTCCTTCTGGAGAGATGAAGTATAGAGAATGATGGTGAATGGTTCCGACGAAGCTGTCAGCTTCTCAAGGTCAAAAGGATCCTGGTCGCAGATAGTCAGTACCGAAACATCGAAGCATGGTGTTCTAAAAAAAAGGAGACGTGAAGGCTAGAGGCTACGAACGTCTTCTTCTGGGAAGCAATTGCCTGAAACTTCGGGATTGAGCTCAACAAGATATTCGGCGCAACAAAGAGCTCGAGACTTGCCTAAGCAAGCTTCATCGAGAAAAAAATTGACACCGAGGTCTGCTTCTTGAATAATGGCGTCGTCGGCTATAGTAAATTTTCCAATGCCTAGAGGTTGACTATCCGTTAATGAACTAATCGGCTTCCTGGAGCTACGGGATGTACAAACCAGGTAGAACCAAATTTTTGAGTGCCTCAATACCAACCGTTCCAGGGCCACTGTTGACAAGGAGGACGTTTGCAGACTCCAGGGCAGCTTGACCAGAGGCAGCCCAGAGCCGAAGCTGGCGGTCATACTTTCTTTCCTTTTCAGTCGGACCGTGTTGAAGCCCTCTAATCACGCTTCCCTCTTGAGACATGCTGTCACGATGGTATCACAATGCAGAAGTAGGTTTGACGCGTGCACAGTTCGGCCTAGGTAGTTGAAGAGCACCAGACTTGGTCACAAAACCCGACAGCCACAGTAATCTGGACAAGCACACACTGTGGGGCGCCGACACTGTGCATCAAGTGCCTTAAGTACTCAGGTACTCCGTACTTTAGGTAACTACTTACTTAAGTACAAGTATACTAGTTGGTTCTCCGTCTGGTACATTGAGAAATTACCTAAGTGAATGCGGGCAGTGGGCCGAAACAAAGCCTCACTACTACTAAGTACTGAAGTACTTAAGTAATTAGCGCAAGCAAGTATTTGGGTACCTACCTAGGTACCTACTAACACGCAATATTACCTACCTCCTAGGTAGGCACTTACTCCTGGTGTTGAATAACATTGAAACCAAGTAGATATCTGCCTAGTAGATACCGACCTAGGTAGACTAGGTACCTTTTTATTGGTAACATGTTTGTAGGAACAGAAGATTGAACACGGGGCGCGATAGCGAACTTTGCTACATTTTTTTGTGTCAGCGCCGCCAAACAACTGCGAGTGTTAAAATATTAAATATTCTCGTGCCTCAGCTATTAGAACCTATATCTGGTCAATATAGCTACCTACTACCTAAGTAGGTAAGTAGGTAGGTATCTCGTAGACAACCAGCCAGAGTGGTATCAAAACACCCTCGGCTATCTCACCTCGCTTCCCCCCATACGTTAGCGGCCGTCGCGACCCGCCAGACAAGAGCACGCCTTAAAACCAACTTCTCTGCAAATTCATCCGTCCCCCTCCAGTGCCACACGTTTGACATAAATGAGTCCTTTGCTTTCCATCGTTTGCAGACCCAATCCACTACCCACAGGGTTTGTCCGCTTATCAACACATGTGCCCTCGAACGTTTGTCTAAGCCAGCATCCGAATAACTACCGCATACTCTCGGTTCGAACCATGGCTTCCGCTGCTGCTAAGCGTCTGGCTGGTAAGACAATACTCATTACAGGCGCCTCATCAGGCATTGGGCGATCTACCGCTTTGGAATTCGCTCGCACTAGCCGAGACAATTTGCGCATCATCCTTACGGCTCGTCGCATTGACTCACTGAACGAACTGGCCTCTCAAATCACGCAAGAGGTTGGCCAGGGCGTCAAAGTACTCCCTGTGAAGCTTGATGTTAGCAATCCTGAAGATGTCCGTGGCTTCGTCGCAAATCTGCCTGAGGGATGGCGGGATATCAATATTCTCGTCAACAATGCGTAAGTGACCTATGGCCTTGGTCACCCCTTCGTCAATCCGTGGTCCCATGAAACGTATTTTCATGCACCATTATTATCACAAATAAGGCATACAGACGTAAACCCCCATATATATTGGTTTTCTATTGGACGAATGGCTAATGAAATTTGCGGATATCTGTGTAGCGGCCTTGTGAAAGGTGTCGCACGTGCCCCTGACATTAATGAACAGGATGTAAATATCATGTTTGCAACCAATGTCACAGGGTTGATCAATATGACTCAAGCCATACTACCGATATTTCAACAGCGTGCCAATGGTGGACAGGGCGATATCATCAACGTAGGGTCCATTGCAGGACGTGAACCGTATCCTGGAGGCTCCATTTACTGCGCGACCAAGGCTGCAGTTCGTAGCTTCACCGAGAGCTTACGAAAGGAGCTTATCGCGACTCGCATCAGAGTTATTGAGATAGATCCCGGCCAGGTCGAGACGGTAAGTCCTCACGTATTGTGGAAATGCTTGGAACGTTCGATCACTCATCAGAAGTCTTTGGCAGGAGTTTTCACTTGTCAGGTTTGATGGCGACAAGGCGAAAGCCGATGCAGTATATGCGTGAGTTACACCTTCTTGTCTATGACGAAAGAGTCTCTCACACTTAACTTTGCCATGACAGTGGCTGCGAGCCTCTTACACCAGATGACATTGCAGAGGTGGTTGTTTTCACAGCCACACGCCGCGAAAACCTCGTTGTCGCTGACACTCTTGTGTTCCCTAATCATCAAGTAAGCCGCCATCACAATTGGCTTAAGCGATAAATACTGACATTGACTTCCTTTTCTTCTATCCAGGCATCGGCTCTCATCTTCCATAGGAAAAATGAAAGAACCTAGGATATCGGCTAAAGCAGGTTATGAATCAGAGTAATAGAACACAAATATAGATGGACATTGAGCGTTCTATAGCTAGGATCTCCAGAACTTGACAAAATTTGAGTATGCTTGCGTCTAACTTGGGCAATATCATTTATTGTTGATAGCTGCTTGCTTGTTCACTCGTCATTTGGATTGGGTAACAGGACTCGACTGCAATCATTCGATTTATAGAGCATTTTAATTTACATGTTCGAAAGTTTCTCTTGCTCCAAGCTCACGGCCGTTAAGGCGATAATCAAAAATGATCCGAGCTCGGGGCCTTCTACAATCAATGAAGTCCAATCTACCAGCGTTCCGTTAAGAATCCATTCTAGGTTGAATTAGATCCTTGCCATCACAAGTGATGGCACCGCTGGTTGTGTCAAAATGACGAGTTGCTTGTCATTAGGGCATGTCACGGTGGGCCTTTGATCAAAAGAACCTTAAGCTCAGGTGAGGGCGGAGGAGTCAAACACATCTGGAAAATAGTTTCATGCCCTCCTTATTGGGGGACGTCATGAATGTATGATCATAACATCATGAATAGTCGCCTGTAAAACCGGTAACTAAAACAAACAAGCCATATTGGGAACGCCGCGCTGAGAAAGTAGAGCAACATATTCGAAATCGCGGCAACGAAGTCGCGAACGCCAGCGAGAGTACACTAGTACAAGTGAATTTGAGGAGCCCTCAGTCCCCGGTGTGCTGGAAGAGTGGTGAAATCGACTCGCCGTAATGATTACGCCGAATAGCTTCCGACAAGAGGAATGACAAGTCCAGGACGACGAGCTTGTTGATATTCCTCGCCCGATCCTGATTAATAGGGAAGCTGTTTGTGACAAGTATCGTATCGATGCACTCGCATCCTTGGAGTTGCTCAAGACAGTCTGCGCCAAAAACACCATGTGTGGCGATACAGAAGACCTTTTTAGCACCTCCTTTCTTCACTACCGTCTCAGCTGCGGCAATCCAAGAGCCCGGTTTGTCTATCATATCGTCTACGATAAACACGGTGCGGTTCCTCACATTGCCCACCAAGGTAATCATGTGTTCGGCTTTGGTGTCTTGAAACGCGTTGTCCTCCTCGTCGGAACTTGCAGCTGGGTCGCCACCACCGCCTAGAATCTGTCCTTCTGGGACGAAAAAGGAGGAAGCGTGGGACATTGTCATGGGATCTTCCTCTTGTAAACTATTCCCGGCAGTCGATACGGCAGGAGAATTGAAGTCATCTTCTACAACATGACCTCTGATTAAACGGCCATGTATGACCTCTTGGGCCCGGCGGTCGTCAAAAACCTGCTCCTGGTTCAGGGGTAAATCAGGCGTACTGCGAGAGGCTAGGGAGCAGCCATCACTAGATGCCTTCTTCTGCCCCTCTGGTGGTGTCATCTTCGAATCACCACGACGGGTGGGAGAGCCAGTAGAATCAGCCAGAGGCGCCCGAGGCTTTTGTGTGGATTTATATCGTGCGTCGCCTGCCACGCCGTCTTCATTAGGAGGGGACAGGTCACTCCCCGCTGAGGTTTCAAGTGCAGACTGTCTATCAAGCCCATCAAGATGATTCATGATCATGCTTGCTGTCATATTGGTGCCTCTTCTTCGGTCGGTCGTTACCATTCCGAAATTGAGCTTCAAGGCATCAGCGAGTGAAGTCACTCGCTTGGTTCCTCCGGCATTCTTCGACACCACGACTGCTTCTCGCCAATTGTCAACATTGCGTCGAATCCATTTCGCAATTATAGGTTCGGCATGAAGATTGTCCACTGGACACTTGAAAAACCCTTGCATTTGTGAAGCATGTAAATCCACGGTAATCACATGCTTAACTCCAGCCACGCCAAGCAAGTTGGCGAGCATCCGGGCGGTGATGGCGCCACGATGGGCTTTCTTTTTCGATTGCCGGCTATATGGAAAGTATGGTAGAACAGCTAATACGTATTAGTCTGAGTGCCAGTTAGTCTCGGGGCTTGACCAACCTGTGATTTTGTTCGCGGATCCGCCTTTACAAGCTGAGATCATGATGAGCAATTCCATGATGGAATCATTAATTTTCGGGCTTCCTGACTGGACCACGAATACGTCCTTCTCTCGCACGCTTGTCAAGATTCTGACACTTGTCTCCCCCTTGAACGTGTTAGCCGGCACCGGCACGTCTATAGGGAAGTCGTATAGTGGACGGGAAAAGCAAGAGCTATGGGAATCTCACATTGGAGAATTGTGTTAGTTCCGCATCAGCGGGAGTCATGCCAAGGTTCTCGCATATTTGACCAGTGAGGACTGGACACGAATTACCAGCGAAAATAAGTGTGTTGCGCATTGCTCGAAAGTACCTAACCACTGCGGAGATGAAGGCAGGTAGGAGATGAGGTTCACGATCCCAGGTTTTTTTTTTTTGTCGTCCCCAGGGCAAACCACTGTGGAATACAGTGCAAGCTGACATGGAGACCAAGTGGCGGAGTCGCGCACAGGGCTCTTGGGATGCACCTAGAGCGTACAGTGCGCAGGACAGTGCACCTCGGACGGCCCGCCAAATTTTCGTAGGTAACCAATGGCTGGCCAAAGTCGAACCGGTCTAGTCGCTGCGTCTCGTCCAATCCACTACGTGTAATGCCTAGTTCAGGTTAAAGCCTTCCAGCGCAGAGGGTCAATGGATATATCATATTCCAAAGTACGATCTTAGGAGAATGAAGATTATTCTCAAGTACGACTGAATGAATGTGTCCGTCTATGCTTGGTCGGTGCGTGCCCTCGAGGCAAGGAGTAAACATTCATGTTCCTTACGCTGCGAAAGTTCAAATTGGTACAGATCGACCCGCATATGTCAATTTCCCGCAAGTCTACTAGGTATTCAACGCGCTTGCTATACGCTATTGAGTATCACGTAGCTAGCAAACTACCACGCACGAGGTAGTGTTTATGAGGAATCTTGTGTATTTGGCATTCCAATGGAGTACTCCGAATTTGTATCTAGAAATACTAACAACGTCTACTTAGATACCTACCTAGGTACCCAGGTAGGCTGTCGACCAACTGCGGACAAACAGCACTTGTGCAGCCAGACACATCATCTGACGTCTCACAAACCAAGCGAATACCTGTTCTTAGGATTTCCAGACCCCCTGCGTATAGATCCCATGAATACCTGCATCCAGGCAAGGGCCTAGTTAATCATCTGGGTACCTGTCCGTAAGCCGCTTGAGCGATATACGTTTGATACAAAGCATTAGTTCACTCACTACCATCTTCATAATGGGTATCTCGCACTTATATACTACTCTACGGCCACTAGCCACTTGGGCCGCTCTTGAAGATGAGGCTGTGGTCATAGATGGTCCTGCGCTTGCATACCACAGTCTTCATATTTGTAGAGCAGGTGGTATCAGACAGCCATCATATGCTCTTCTCAATCGCGTCACTATATCTTGGCTTGAGTCGCTTTGCCGGCACAACGTGCTCATGTAAGTGAGTACCCGAGATGCATATTCCCCCCCAACTGGAACCGGTATATACTGCAGCGGCTGTCTGACATACTTGAGCAGAAGAAAATTATATTTTGATGGCTTTCTACCTCGAGCAAAGCTACAAGTTCGCATGGGCAGGATGATGAGGGCTACTACGCGACTGAATCGCCTCTACGTCTCACACCTCCAGGGATGTCCAGTATCATGCCTTGCAGCGGATGATATTGAAGCAGATGTTGATATCTACAGATCAGGAGGGGCGGATGTATGCCCTCTGACAGATCCTTGCTTTCTGGTGCCGGCCGTGTTGAATTGTCTCAGAGAATCTACTCAATACCGGAAGATAACGGAGGTTGTGCCAGGTGAAGCCGACCACTTTTGCGCAGCTAATGTCTCAAAGTACGGTGGTGTCTTGATCACGTCTGACTCTGATTTGCTTGTACACAATCTTGGGGAAGGACAAGTCGCTTTCTTCCGAGACTTACACGCCGAATCCGGACACTGCTTCAAGTTTCTAAGCTTTGCACCCAGGCAGATATTTGACAAGGTTGGCTTGGCGTACCCCGAAAAAGCAATACAACTGGCATATGAACGCAAAATGGTCCCTCAGGCAACTCTTTCACGATTAATCGATATTTGCTCGAAACCAGCACCACTATCTGCTGATTATATTGAATTTGTAGAAAACTATACTACATCTGAGGAAGTTGTTTGCTTGCAGAAAGTTGGATTGGAAGTACCTAATCTGAACGATTTGGATCCCAGAGTGTCTGAGCTTGTCCTGGAATTTTACTCAAGACGCTCCGGCATGTCTATGAACTCCTCGATCAGGATGTTTCTGCCTCCGTTGACGGAATGTCCAGGTCTGAGAAGCGCCTGGGACAAAAGCACCCCAATACGTCAACTTGCATATTCTATTGGAAGCCATATTCTTCCTCGAAATGACGGATGCCTTCAAGTTCGGGAATTTAGGCGGGTCGAGAGCATCTCGCATGCTGGTCGTCAAGTAAGGCTTTTGCCTACCAATCTCATGCGAGAGTATTTGGACGATATTTTATCATGCGCAGAGTGTTGCGGGGCTGATATCCAGCGTGATGGTATTAAATTTTGGGTTTTTTTGGCAATGGCTCTGGACAAGTTGGAATCCATTCGGAAAGGGGAAGAAACGCTCACGGAGACTATTGACAAATACTTTGTCGGCCTGACCGCAAAATCGGGGGATACCAGTGTGGCATGGGGTATTGTCCACATTGCAGCACAGATGCAGGGGACGCTGTACTCACTTCGCGTCCTTCAGCAAATGTTACGCTCGGTATTCAGTCCCGAAATAGATGAAGCCCTTCCAGAGGTTACAGGACTATACACAATGCTGTCCGAATTGATACCCGTGGAACTCTACCCTTGTACAACTGATCTCCTTAGAATCGCACGAGAACTTCAGAAAAGCAGATCACTGTATGCCCTCGATGCATTTTTGACTAAAAAGTTCTGCGGGAATGAATCTCTTGACAACGAGGGTGAGGAGATCGAATCAACTCTGACTGATGACTCCGAGTCCGCTTTGTCTGCTAAGAGCGGCACAAACACGAACAACGATGAGAATAATCCCTTTAGCGTTTTGAGCTTGGAAGGTTAGAAGAAAGCTAGGTCAGTACGGATGGTCATAAAAGAACAAAAGATTGCTGCAAAACTTGAAAGCAATTCATCAGAGAGAGATTATATGAAGACGCGCGGTTGGTGTTTACGCACTCATAGACTACTAGTATTTTATCATCCCTTAAAGCTACCCCTGATGTCAAGCGAATATGTTTATGTTAAAGAGCCAACGAGGCTTTCTGAAGTCGCTTAGCGTAGAACAATTGAGGGCCACCATCTGCTCACGTTCTGTAGCCTCTAAGAGGATCCCCATTCCCAATACTGGGTGTCGCCGAAAACAGAAAGGCGCTGCATCCAAAGTGAATGAAATGAAACGAAAAAAGCTTTGCAATTGCAAGGCGCAATGTCTTATCCAAGCATTCTATACCTTGTATAATTTCGGGGTATATTAATACTGTAGCGGAATAACATTACTTTGAGATAAGGTAGCTCTAGGCAGGCAATGGCTCAAAACTGGGCTTGCATCCATTGGTCTTGAGGACCATGAATATCTTCCAAGAGTCTCATGAAGGATTGGTGATCGTCCGTAGCTTCGGTGGCATCTTCTAGCAAGTTTTCGCTCCAGCCTTCGCACCCAGCTGTCTTAATAAGCCGCCAGGCTCGCCGAAATTCGTCGCGAATTGATACAATGCCACTGTGTGTCACAGTTCGAGCGACATTATGATCTAATTCGAAAGGATCCTCAATGGCAAGTAAATACCTGTGCCTGACTTCTCTCACTTGTCCGTGCTTTCTGTTCGTCACTGAAGGATGGGTTGTCTTCGGTCCAGCTGAGTCTGAGCACGCAGTCTTTGGTGACAAAAGCTCTTCCCCGCAGTATTTCATCGCATCACCGGTAGGGATTTGGCATTCATACACTGTTTTAGCCCCGGTCCAGCCCTTTTCTTGCTTCGTCACGAGGCCACCAAAGGTACGAATGCTAATTACGTCCCTTCTCCAACAGAATCCCTTGCCAAACCCGCGACTCAATGGCCCATTTTGAGCATAGTATTCGAAGAAACCCCGAAGCAGCTGGCCAATACTTTCGGTGTTTTGGTTGAGCTGGTGACCGCTTGCAAGATGCATGATTTCGTTCTCATTACGCCAGAACTCGACGTTATATCCCTGACACGTTGGCACATTCGGGCTGCTGGAAGGGGAAGAAAGTGTGGCCATGGGAGGGGTGAGCTGCTGGAGATTGGGGCACACAAATGGCTTTGCAATGTTGACAAGATAGTGCAACACCATTAACACATAGCCATAGCTTCCCAATGTGCCACGGTATCCAGAGTTTATCCCGCGAACTTTAGCCCACCTTTTGACGAACAAGACCATGGGTCGAACTCGGGAGTCTGTAAGGGAGTAGCAACGGAGCAGCAAAGTGTTTTGGAGAGCGAGGTGTGCCGAGAAATTGATATCACATTGAACTCCGACTCCACCAGATGGAAATTCCAGGGCATCTCGGTATTTGTTCCGTGATTGTTTGTCTGCCAACTTATGGGGATCCCGGAGGAGCCGTATAGAGGAAAGCAATGGCAACGTAACCTGTGTTACTGGAATAATGAATCTAGCAATTTGCTGATCCCCAGTAACCTTGACCAGTGGTGTTCGCAATATTTTGATGTAGTCTTTGATAACTCCAGTAAGCCTTTCGTCATAAAAATTGTTATCAGTCGCCATTTCGAGTTTGTAGGCAAGATCTAAGCACTTGTGTTTCTGTCCCAGCTCCTCAAGATCCATCGGTTGCTGGGATTGATTTGAGAGACTCATCATTTCCCCACGAATTTTGTCGTCATTGATTCCTGCAATGTACCGCAGCGCAACCTCTTTCAGCGCTAAATCTGACGTGTTCATATCCATCTTGACAAGGCTATCTGCGATGACTCGTGCTCGGGAGTGATACGGTGCTGGGGATTCATGTACATCTTGCTTTAGTCGACACAGCTGGACTAGTGGTAGCCGCTTCATCCTCTCGAATGCAAAATGCAGATCTCGGTTATAAGCAAGGGGGTTAGCTCCAAAATCTGTTCTCTGCTGGATATCCCTCCAAGTACTCATGGCCTCCATAGACTGCGCATCTGAATCACAGATGAGCGTTTTCGAAGACCAATTTTCCCACACCAAACATATCTGCTCGCCTTCTGCCTGGTCACAAATCCCCGCAAGAGATCGATAGCCTGTCGCTGACCAAGATGTCCCGAACGACAATGAGGGACACGATTCCAATCGGCATCGAAGCTCCGGGTTGCATAATCCATGCACAAACGCCTGACAGACCTTTTTGAGAGTCACCCATTCCATATCAGAGAATTCATGATAATTGGATGCTGTAACATCACGACCCCCAGCTCTTCTCAATACCCTCTTAGCCAAGGCATAATGCATTCGAAGTGAGCTTTGAGCATTTTGTTTCAACTGGAAGCGCTCGTCTCCTCCACCATTATCCCTCGCCGGAGATCCAAACTCTACCGGTGGCGCAGACTCAGTCCCGTGGCTGCCCGTCGTCAGGTTGCCGGCATTCTCGTTAGCTTTTGAGTCTGGCTCATATTCCTCTGGGTCTTCTGAAGCATCTGCATCCCCTGTACCGTGTTCCCATTTCAGTCGTTCCAAAAGCAACGCGTGGCGTAGCTCTTCGGGTGGGTTTTCACACAGCTTGATAATTGGGACTCTTGTCCGACTGAGTAGCCTGGCGCCAAGTCCCGCGTCCAGGAATGCTTTCTCCAGCATCCGTGGTATCATCGACCCTGCCACGTCCGGTTGCATGCTGGAAAAAGGAGAAAATAGTCCCAGGTCCATATCTGAGGCTTTTGTAGCGAATCCGGATGACAAACTTCCAAAGCATTTGAGCTCAACAGACGAACTTGGAAAGTAATGCGAGCCCATGGTGTTCTGTTCAAAATCAGAAATGGTTGTCTGACAAATTCTTTCAACCCTTTGTCTGAAGGTCTCTTTTTGAGCAATTTCATCTCTTTCTATTTCAGAACTGCGAACGACTTCGTGGCAAAGTCTATCAAGTAAAGCAGTTTGGGCAGCGACATCTTCCTGATCGAAATACTGTCGATGACTGGCATGGTGATGGGTTTGTACGTAATTGGGACTCTGAGGGGGAAATGATTGTTGACGCCAGCTAGACGTCTGAGAACGCTCAATTTGAGGCCCGCAGAAGTCTGGCGATCCTGAAAACTGCGAAATAGTGCAATTGTTTGCTTCTGCAATTCTTGGTCTCGGCTCTGGGCGAATACCTTGCTGCCTTATGTCGTTATTTGCATAAGAGTTATATGTGTCTCGATCTATACCGAGAGGACGGAAGACGCGGCTGCTATAGCTTGCGTCAGGCATCGCGGGGGTTTGATTCAAAGACTGCCATTGCGAAACCAAAGCAACAGAGAGCTCCGAACTCATTTGGCGTCTTTGAGCCTGGTTTGGACGCCTTTTTCCTGGTCTGGGAGACTGTGCATTATTTTGTGTGCCTAAATTCGTCGAAAGATTCGCAAATTGTTCAGACGGAGGGCGAGAGTGGGAGTGGGAAGGTATGCAGGATGTCTTTCCGGATGTGAGGCTCAACGCCTGAGGTTTGGGATCCGAGCTAGTACTTGGAGACACCTGATTGACAAGTATTAGCCCACGAAGACGATCCTCAAGTCCTGGTGGTCGTTCATCTCGATTAGCTTGCATGGCGATGGCTGTAGTTATTCATATAATGGCGTTTAGCTGAGTCTCTATGCAATTAAGTGGCGCCACTTCGGCTCGGGAACCTATACTGCTGACGTGTAAGCGACTGCAATCGCGAGAGAAATGAAAATAATGTTCGCTCGGACCATCTTACAGGAGAAGAATCCCATGTAAGGGCGGCCGCAGTTCAAGAATTGCCGAGTGATGACGGGTCAGCTGGACGTCTGGTTGGAAATGCGCAAGAGAAGCACCAGTAATAAGATTGTGTTGAAGAACGCAACTTATTCGAAGTGTAAATCAGAGATAGATTTGAGATGGGAAGTCAATCATCGCCTATTCGTTGCCAAAACTGATAACCTTGCTGCGGTACATTTAGGCAATTTCAGGTCAGGACTCAAACAGATCTCGCCCGACGCTGAGTGTTGCAGTCGGTTCGGAAAGGTATTTATTTCTCTTGGCAAGACGAGTGGGGGGCCGTAGGTTGGAAAACAGTTACCAAGTGGTCATTCCTTGATGTATGTACAGTTATGATCAATTCAATGTGGGATGTTGACAAGAGCAGGGAGAGAAAATCAATTGAATACCAAGATGCAGCAAGTGAAGTAGGCGGCAAGTTCAGCCAGGCAAGCTCTATTCTAGTTAGAGACTAGCGGCGCAAGGCGGGCTTCGGTACGCCTGGCCTGATCCACACCAGGCCGCTGCTAGGGGAGCGACGAGCAAACTGATTTGCACCAGACTCAGTCGTAGCTGCCCAGCCGTGTCGTCGGGCTCCAAAATAGGTACACATGTGCTTGTTGACCCAACGGGCCACTTCGGGTTTCATATATTCCTATTATCTGTATATTTAGGAAACTGGGGCGCTTCTGAAGCAGTTATAATGTGATTTCCAGCTTGCCTAAATGTCTTTGCACATATAGTACCTCTACTACGCGCGTGGGCCCTGGTTCTAGCAACAGCATAACTATTATAAGAAAAGCCTTAAATTATTATTATTTAATAAAAGCCTGATATATTGAATAAGAACTTTAATAAGTTATCTTACAATAACTAATAAACTAGGAGACCATCACTGGCACCAGGGGCCGCGCGCGTAGGTGCATGTACCTAGGTATAAGTATCTACCTAGGTAGGTATCTACTAGGCACTAAGCCCTGTAGGTTCATATAGTAGTACTAACTTCCCATGGGTCATCTGGACCCACCGTCACCAGATCTAACTATTGGCTATTCCTGAGGCAGCAGCCCAAGTCGCGCCTGGTAGGCTCCGTGTTTCTTCCGATGCTTTCGACGGCGCAAGTGGGACCTATCGAGACACCGATTTCAAATTTACCCTCATTGTTGTCCTCACTTCGCAATTCCACCCCAGGCTGTGCCCAAAAACATTCTTAACCCTGCCTGGAAATTGCACAGGCACGGCTACAACCGCCTCACCGTGAATCTCAACTAAGTTGTGTCGCAGCCAGCGCCACCTCATCAGCGCCTCGACGACAGACTTCTCGATCAATCAGACAGCCTATCACAGTCATTATTTGTTAATATCCGTCGCCAAATCACAGCTCCTGGCAGAGTGCTCCAGGACAAACGGGTGGCTTGTATAATTTCGGAAGCAAACGCTACTCGGCAGCCTTGATCCCCGTAGGATATCGCCATTTGCCGACCGCGACTCGACAACACAAACCTGGCCACAAACGAGCATATATTTAGAACACGACATTTCTCTGGTAATAATTTCCTTCGCTATCTTAGTGGCCTAGTCTACCATCGGAACACTCGTGACATCGGTCACGAGGAGCTTACACGCGGTAGCAGTGTCTGTTGAAGTCAATGCTGCAATACATCGATTCTTTGTCCACGTATACTATTCATAATGGCAGGACAACCTTCTATGGATCAGAATGGAGCTCATCGCAAACAAAAGCCGAACCCTCTGCGCCCCATGAGAAAGCGACCGAGACCAGCCAACCCTCTTGTTGCACCCTCCAGAAAAATTCCATCAAAACCTTCCGTGAAGGCAAATTCAGGGACTCTGCAACAGACGAGCCTTAACGGTTCCAAGCCGAATAACGATGATCAGAGGAAACAGTATGGTGGCTGGTCCGAACCCCCTCCTCAGCATCAATATAGTGATATCCCTATAATGACGACCAAAAAGTCCTTGTTGGAAGGTCTTCGCTACCACCTCATGAAATTCTCTCAGGCTCGTGTTTCCGACCCTCCCATCGACCCTACAGATCAGGACGAATTTGCTCGCCCAGTTACGTTGCACAGACGAGACGCTCGACAGCCTCCTCCCGGAAGAGCCACCAAGGTAGAGGAACCGGAGCCACCTCAAGTCGGAGAGCAGGAGGCGGAGAGGCTGGCACAGGCTAAAGCCGAACGAGAGGCCCAACGGGCAATTGACCTTGCAAAGATTGCACCGGTCGCCAAAGACAACAACCCTAAACGACCCAAGAAACAGAAGGAGGAAAAAACCATGTTTAACAGGGCTCCGAAATCCGAGGCAGCCAAGAAGGAATCAGATCTTCGGTATGAAGAAGCTTTGCCTTGGCATCTCGAAGATGCAGATGGAAAGAACGTGTGGGTAGGAAGCTATGTTGCTGCCCTGTCTGAAGCAAATGTTGCTTTCATGATTGATAAATCTGTCTTTCGCATGGTGCCTTTGGAAAAGTGGTATAGATTTGGTGCGAAACCACCATTCCAGCCCTTTACCATTGATCAGGCGGAAGCTTTTATGAACAGAAAGGTCGATGTTGGTAGATGGATAATGAAGGACGAGGAGAAGAAGGCGGGGCAGAGTGATCTTGAGGCAACGAGAAAACTCCTTTATGGTCGTGGCCAGATGATTAAGACCGAGAGTGACACCTTTAAAGCTGCCTCACGATCAGAGAAACTTGACCATGACGAACTGGATGTATCCGGAGATGAATTTCAAGATGATGATGAGACCCCGTATTTTGAGCGTATGGAGGACGATGACACCAAGGAATCAAAAGACAGGATACGTCGAGAGCAGCTAGGAGCAAACCTGTTCGGCGAGGGCGACGAGCAGGGAGTCGACAAAGAACTCCAGGAACAATTGCGAGAAGAACTTGAGCGACAAAAATATGGCAAGAGCACCAAGAAGGCTCTGATTAAGCGAGATCGAGAGGATATCTATGAAAGCGACGACTCCGAGGAAAACCCCTGGAGTAGTTCGGTATGCTTGTGTCTCTATTGCCAGTATGCCGTCAAACCGAACTAACATCGAGCTGTAGTCTGACGAAGGATCAAGCGGTGACGACGAACAGGAAGAAGGAGAAGAAGAAAATAAGGATGATGACAAGAAGGATGCAGATAAAGAAACACAAGGTGATGGGAAGGACAAGACCAAGGGGACGGGCTCTAAGGGATCTATGACACCACAAGGGAAACAGAAACCTGGGGAGTTGGCCAAAAAGACCAAGTCCTTGAAGCGAGCTGGATCTCCAGCATTATCTGAGTCGAGTGGAAACGAGTCATCGCGCAAGAAGATGAAGAAATCTTCTATGATAGGCAACGGAAGCCGAGCCGGCACTCCTGCATCGCAGCCAAACGTGGCCCGGCGAAGCAAAGCTGGACATGGCTCTGGTAGCGATGCAGAAGCAACCACTGCAGAAATGTCCGACAGTGCTGTTGCTCCCAGGAAAGGAGTGAACATGGTTGGTGGCAGTGGGAGGGGGACGCCGGTCGCATCAAGGGCCAGCAGCCCAAATCCAGCAACGGGCGGTACGTTTTCCCGGATGAATCTAAATTGTTGTCTGCTCAGGCAGTCTTCCTTGCAATTCTTTAGTGCCCACTAATCTCACCCATTTTAGATATGTCACCGACTATACAGACTTCTGGAATTGAGTCGTGGGAGATATTAGATAAGATACCGGCCGATGGTATTGCGATTACTGATCTGATAAAACAGTTCCATGGCAGGGTTGGCGACCGTCCAGGCCAAATGCCCAGAGGAGACTGGATAAAATTGGTAAAACGGCTCTGCGACTACGGGTCGGATAGGCGGCTTAGACGTCGAAGATAGACTCTTTTGCTGTGATGATTCTGGTGCCCGGCAGGGCCTAAACGACAACTTATTGGCGTTGAGATAAAAGATTGACGGGGGTATTTTGTAGTATATATATAAATTATTCATCCATTTGCCACGAATAATCTAGACCCTTGATTCTGTCCCGCCGGTTTATGGCGTTGAACCTCTCTGCCTCGAGACCTGTGCCTCGATCGACCCCATCCCAGCGATATCCGGGTTTAATGCCATATCGATTCGGCGGGACTGCTCCAGCATACATTGGCCGGCGTCTTGGAGCGGACTTTTGAGGCCTGCCTTTGTTCTTCCTATCCCTTAGGAATTGAAGCATCGGGTCATTCCACCTCTCCTGTTGCTTCAGTTCACTGTTCATACCTTCATCGTCCGCGCTCCGAGAAAACGGAAGAAGCTTAGCATCTTCCAGTTGCTCTCTTTTTTTTTGCGCGTCATTCATCTGTACAGCCCCTTTAAGAGCTTGCTTTGCTAGCTGAGCTTTATCTTCAGCCTCAGCGGCTGCCTTTCTGGCTTCAGCCCGTTTCATGGATATGTCGATTCTTCGCCCTGTCGCGTCGCGATAAACGGTTTCTTCTTCCTTTGCAGATCTTCTGTGGCACTCAAACTCCCTGCGCTCTTCCTTTTGCCTCCGTTGGAGCTGGGCGGAAACTGCCGCAGCGGTCTGGAGACCAGCATGGGTGCCGTCGCTCATCATAACTAACCCATCATTTCTCTCAACAGTCGGCATTTCGTCATTGGTGCTTCGTCTCGATTCGTTTTCTGCAGCAGTTGACGCAAGAATTGCGTCAGCGGCCGCTGCATCTGTGTCGACCTTTGTCGCTCCCAAGCTCTTCCAATTGCTTTTAGTGGTTTTGCGAAATTCAGATGTAGACCCGGGAACTATTAATGGCAGCTCTTCTCCATGTCTATCGGCCGCTGAGTCCGGATGTATCCAGGATTTGTCATCGTCATCCGTAATAACAAGTCCGTTTGCTGTAGACTGTTTTCGTTTGCGCTTCTTGGAGTGAGGCTTAGGGTCTGCCACAAGGTATCGAGAGGCAAGGTAATTTGACAAATCCGAGGGCATTATTATGCTTGAGTAAAACTCTTTTCTCAAGTATTCGAGTTTGTTTGCAGAAGAGAAGATATAATTCGGCCCAAAAACCTGTGCCCAATTTGTGTGGGTTGCAATCGACCTAACCACACTCGGCCCGATTTTGAGGATAATAATCAACGCGACTTCAGAACGTGGGTGCTGTCAGTGGCAATTCATATTCTTGGTGTTGACGTTACGAAGTACCCCCTACCTGCACCTACCTACCCGCCTGGGTAGGTAAGTAAGTATCCGGCACATGGCACCAAGTGCCCTGCAACGTGCTTATGTAATGCCTAAAGCATGAACATATGTACTTCCCGATTACGTCGGCCACATCCTTGGGGTGATGATCATGTGTTGTCATATTTGTAAAACGCCTCTACAACAGCAGGAAGCTCCAGGTGAGGTCATGCAATTTCCATTTTGCGCATCAAATGCATTATAACATGCAGAACCCTATTTAAATTCCTCAAAACTACGCATTCGATCTCGCGACCACTCCTCAGTACCCACAAGAGTTGATCAGGACGAATTTCCGGCCGACGCTGTTAGCACGCCGAGACGTCGCCTTAATGCCATCGCCTGAACAAAATGCATATCCGAACGATACGGTTCATGCACTTCCACTTGCTGCTGCGACGGCCTCTATGAAGCCAACAAGAGCCAAGATCTCAACATCCGCTGTTGAAAGACTCCCCCCGTCTCCCTCAGACTCTAGTTTACCTTTCAGGATGTCCAATCCTTCTGCAGCTTCCTTATATGCTTCAACATTATCCCCTCCCAGCTCTAGGCCAATGTCACCGGCTATACAAGGCTCTTCGGTTACAATTTCAGAACCAGTATTCGATGCTTATCCCGGGCGCGGCATATCGGACTCAGTCTTCGACAAGCCAGGAGAACCAGTGCATGAAATTATTCAAGCTTTCGTCCCAAACGTATCGGTGTACGCCTCTGATGATACAGAAATTCTGATCAAGGAGAAAGGCTTTCGCAATGGTCTCTGGGAGTTGTTACGGCCTTTTGGCGAGAACATTCAAGGCAACGTCACAGTACGGGATAGTCATGGAATGAGCCGTGTATTTGAGGACTTTGCTATCCGATTCACAAAATTGGGTGAGAATATTCAGAATCTAGGTTCAACTGTCTCAAACTCTCAGCGGACATTGGTCAATACCAATCAAAAAAGTGCCCCAGAAAACACGGAGAGAGACAAGGTTGCCCTTGCTCAGATCGAGAGCGTCGTTGATCGGCATTTATCCTTTGCTGAAGGTTCGATTCCTAGGCCGCCCTCACCAGCACTGGACACTTTACGGCAAGGTCTAGATCGTGATTCTGCATCACCATACTATTCCCTATATTTGAGGCGCTTATTGTCCGGCACGCCGATTACACCACACGAAACTTTCGCGCATCCTGTGGCTTGTGTCATAGCTATTAGCTCTCGAAATGGCGCACCTATTGAAGAATTGAGGAAACTGTACTCTGAGAGTAATGAGGGTAACAGAAAGCTGCCTCTTTGGGCGGACAACGACTATCTTAGATATTATGTCCTTGTTCACGATGAAGAAAATGATGACATCACCCGGTCAATGGGCTTCTTTGAGCAGATGAAGCGCCACCTAGGTCTGCATTGTCACCTTCTCCGATTGCGATGCAGTAAAAGCGCGGAAACAGACGACGACAGCATGCCACTGCCATGCAGTGATTGGATGCCCGCTGCCGAGGAGCTGGCTAGGATTCACAGGAGTGAGGATGGGGAGGATTTTGAAGACCCCACGCAGTATATCTTTGAATCTGACGCAACGGCAATACGAACATTTGTTCGAGAAATGGTTACACAATCAGTTATTCCCACAATGGAGCGGCGTATCTCAGTATGGAATGACCAGGTTGCATCACGCCGAAGAGGCATCACAGGTCGTTTCATGAATTTATCTCGGAAATGGACAGGATTTGGAAGCACCTCCAGATCTTCCTCAAGTGGGAGCCACTCAAGAGATAACTTTGATCATTTGGGGTATTACCGCGCTGATTCGGCCGAGGCTATCATTCGAAAGCTTGCTGATTTCGCTTTCATGCTGCGGGACTGGAAGTTGGCTCATTCAACATATGAATTATTGCGTTCGGATTTTGGTGAGGCAAAGGCTTGGAAATATCATGCAGCTGCGAACGAAATGGCGGCACTCAGCTTATTGATGACAACGCAAATCTCGGCCTCGAAGACACGCGCAGACTCCGTTGATCAAATGCTCGAGTCGGCATTTTACTCATATAACACCAGATGCAGTGCTCCATTTGGTGCCATTCGGTGTCTGCTCCTTGGCTTGGAGTTGTTGAGGGCAAAGGGGGGTGCGTATGTCGATGATGCCAGCAGATGGGGTCTTCGGTTGCTTGAAGCCAGGATTTTAGGGCCAGTCGGTGATGCTTTACTTAAAGAGCGTCTCTGTATTTGCTACTTATCTAAACTCGGCGTTGGTAGCTGGGGCTGGGGCAGTCGATATCGGAAAGCCGCCATATGGAGTATACTGGCTGCACAATCCTGGAATCAACAGGGCAAGTATCTCCCAGCCCAAAGATGTCTGAGTGAGTGTCACAACATCTATGGATTCCTACCCCACAGCAAAGGCATAGCACAGTTTCGAACCGCAGAAGAATACATGCACTCTCTAAGACTTGAGGTTCTAGAGAAACTTAATTTGTCTGATGCTGCTAGGTCGGATCCGGGAAGAGAGGGCACTCCAGTCATCGATGTTGAAAGTCAAACATTCACGAATTTGCCTTCCAAAAGGGCAAGCACGATTTCGAGAACTGGCATGTTGGAAACAGCTCCACTTCGAGGAGAGATCACGGCCGACTAGGTCGATACATGACCATCACGAGACTGTTGGAATACCCATCCAACCAGGGAGGTATATAAATATAAGTCCTTCCGACTGAGCAAAGGCCGACAAATGCTTTGTTCGTGGCTCATACAAAAAAAGGAGTTACGTTTAGTACCTTGATGACATGTAATAATAACTTACGAGAGGACAGCAAGTGACCTTGCTTAGACTTGGGTACTTGAGTGCTAAGAAATCGCCAAGGAGCATTTCAGGCAGAGCTGGTCACGTCCCATGAGCTCTTACCAAATAGCTTCTTAGAGCTTTTGACTAGCCAAATCTTTTCTTCACTATTTTACAAGAGTCCCATCTCTGGTTGCCTCTGTACATGAGAACCACGTGGGCAGAAAGAAAGATTGTATAGAAGAATAGGTATTGATTGGAGAAGTAATACATAAGAAGAAATTAATAGCATCCTGAAGCCCGAAGCCGACGATTGAAGCTGATAAAGAAAGAAAACAAACAGTTTGTCACACGACAATGGGCGTAGCAACGTCACAGTACGGAGTACTATTTTACATGTTGTACCCACTTGTCCTGTGGGACACAGTCTGAGATGCCAGACCCCACGAGGCCAACCAACCAGCATCTAATGAACCAAAAGGTGGGGCTTTGGACCGCTCCACCTCCCCCAAGCATCATTTTGTTTGGAAGCTCTCAAGGCGGCGGCATCAAAAGCAGGCAGTCAAAGAGCGCCCGCCTTGTTTCCCACCTAGCTCAAGACGCCGGGATGTTATCCTCTCGGGCTCAAATCTCCTAGTTTTTATCTGCTGCAACGCCAGGAGGAGAGGCCTCTGGTCACCTTATCTTTGCTCACCCAGTTATTCGTGCTAAGGAGGCGTCATGGGTGACCTGGCCGGGGTTCTTGCTGAGCACGACCAAAACTTCCGAAAGTATGATTCTGTACCATCTGGAAACCTCACAAACCCTTCGGGATTAGAATAATGCTAATTCGTCCTATTTGTTTGCTCGCAGAGCACGATTACCAGCACTCTACAGCGACTTTCGGCCACAGAGAACTCTTAATCCAGATGGGTATCGTGCAAATATCGTTGCTTGGCAAGGGGCGTTATCATGCTTGTTATTGAGGGGTCTGCTTTCAGGTCGTGGGCCAAATTCAAGTCTATTAGTTCTAAATGTCGATGAAAATCTCCCTCACGACTTGGAAAGCAACCGGTTTGGCCAACCCCTCGCCCTAGGGACTGCGATACGACAGGCCATAGCTCATCAAAAATTCATTTCTGTCGAAGAATTCTTACAACCCCAGGCTGCGACCTTTACCCGAAATCTGATATCATTATCTTGGAACGCTGCAGAGTGGACCTTCAGACAGTTCGGTATCAAGGACAAGATCAGTAACGACGATAGCGTTCCTATCGGGCAGTATGTTATTATGAACAATGTTGAGACAGTTTTCCAAGAATTTAAGCAGCAGGTTTCTGGGAGGACTTCCCACTTCGATCGAATATTTACTAGATTACAATTCCAATCTTTATTTGCGTCAACACTGGTGGCTGGTCAGTGTCTCTCAGAGGACGACTTGGAGGTACTCCTCACCTTTTCGTCTAGGGATAAGGGCTTCATCGACTATAGTGACGGCATAATACGTATTCGGAGTTCTTCAGATGAGTCGGGCATAGGCCCAGAGGACGTTGCGGTAGCGTCAATAAAAGAATTGACTGCGAATCTTCGACATCAGACTCTTGCCCTCAACATGCGAATCGACTCTCTCACCCGCGAAATAAAGACCGCACTAGGGAAAAACAACCGCGTTGTTGCGCAGGCTTCACTGAAATCCCGGAAGCTGGCTGAATCCTCACTTGCAAAGCGATATGCCACACTGAATCAACTTGAGGACATAGCTGCGAAGCTTGAGCAGGCATCGGATCAAGTCCAGCTTGTTGCCGTCATGAAATCATCTGCCAATGCTCTTCGCAGTCTCAATACCCGTATTGGAGGCAGTGATAGGGTGGACCAAGTGATGGAGCAAATCCGAGAGCAGATGTTGGAGGTAGATGAGGTGGCGGCGATCTTAGCAGAACCCACAGGAGAAACTATCGACGAGTCAGAAATACAGGACGAACTGGAGGCATTAGAGACCGAAACCCGAGAGGCAGCGCGTTTGGCCAAAGAAAAGGAGGAGGCGGAACACGAGGCTGGCAAAATCGAAGAATTGCAAAACGAATTAGCAAACTTGCCGAACGTCCCCACTGAAATTCCTTCAGAAAGTGACAAATCAAACACTCGGCCGATTGAGAAACAAGTCGCTAGTCTATCTCTGGATCATAGCTAGGAAATACACAGAAATTTAGAATACTTTTCAGTTACAGTAGTATATTTAAAGCCCGACCACCACCAGAAATGGGCAAGCATTTTGGGTACAGACAGTTTTCCACGAAGTAATTTGAGCTTTTACCCCAAGTTAAACGCGATCAACCTAGGATTTACGACCGATCTGCCTCTTGGGGCGGCATTCAGACATTGGCTTCTCTGGCTGTGAAATGCATGTAGTACTCAAAGCATGACAACCGTCACACTTTCGTTTTCCGCCACGACATATGGATAAATTATATTTTACCGTATCCGCCTTTCCATTGTGCCACACACCCCGGCTATCCCATCTACTAAGCATGTATTCATTACCGACCGCCAGTCTCGGTTTCTGATGAGTTTGAAGTGGCCAGACCCGACTCAAGCGCGTCCACATTAGCTGACTCCATGGCCACCGGTGTCGACGAAGTTTGAGTTGAAGCCTGCATTTGTGCTTCTTCTTCTTTAACTAGGCTGGATTTAAAGGTTGTGGCAATGGAGACTCCTTGATCAATGGGACTCTGCCGCAATTCCGTTGTCAATCTATCAGATAGCTGACAAATTTCGGTTCTGTCATGCGTATCATCTATAGAGAAACAAGTATTGGCGTTTTGTTCTGCTCGGTCATGCATATCTTTTGTCGGAGCTTTAGCTTCTAGCCTGCTTCGGCGCGCATTTGCAATCAAATCCTTGAAAGACGAATCGTGCTTTGCAGCCCAGGCAATGCTATCGAAATTTTTGTCCTTAATTGCGACCCCAGTCAAGGTTGTCTTTGCCGCAGCGTTTGCTCGATGACCCTGCGTCTTCTCCCAGATGTCCAGGTCTTGCAAAAGCTGTGATTTTTTTCTAGGTATGACGGAATCACAATTAGCATTCCAAATGGTAATCCACTCTTTGTGGCGTCTTTCCAGGATTAATCGAGGCCCTTGGTTGGATATTCCCAGCTCAGCCAACATTTTTCGTAGTGCCTGTTCCTTTAGCATCGAGTAATTGAGGGCAGGAAGTCGTTCCAAAGTCGTTTGGAGCCGGGGTTGCTGCGCCTGTAGTACCCGTCCAGAGGGGAAAGTTTTGATCTCTGCCGATTCAGATATTGGCCCTGGACATGTTTCTAGATGTTGGAAAACTTTCCAAACCTTCATTTGCTTTTGGCATGATGGACATGGCACAAGGGAGTCAGCTGACAAAATGTTAGCAAGATCCCAGTCAACTATTCGAGGGCAGCGAACCATGTCCTGTGTTATGTTCAGAGTAATCATCATCCTCATTATTGCTGCTTTCATCGTCATCGGAGGCAGGGATAGTTTCGTCACCCTGCTTTCGCGCCTGAGATGTCTGATTTACGTTCTCACGTCGACGATTGTTTAGTCGCGCAGATGTCCGTATGCGTTTGGGTTCGGAGGACACAGCGTTCGCAGTCGGCTCATCGCCTTCGATTTTTCGTTTGCAAGAAGCCGACGTGTTCAAACTGCTACGGGCTACGGCCAACGCTGAGGGTCGTACTTTTGAAAATGCTTCGACAGATTCTTCCATCGACCAATTACTTCGCAGTTTGAGCTCTTGCTCGGGAGCCCGGCATAAGGGACACTTGCTCTCATTGGACAAGGCTCGTCGTATGCAAATAGAGCAGAAGGTATGTGAGCATGTCGTAATCATCGGCGTCTTATAAAAATCCTTGCAAACTTGACAGCGCATGGCTGCCTCAACAGCAGCCAGGCCGGCAAGGCCTGTACCAAGCCAGTCTGTCGAGTCAGGCACATCATCCATTGACATTCGGGCGAAGTTTCGCTATGCTCGTTATAATTGACGTCTTTTCTGTTCCTTGTCGAAATACCGATGGCGCAATTTTAGAGCGAAGGCCAAGATCGTGAAGTAATCACCTCGGCATTCATTCGCGACTCGACGCGTTGTGGGGCGAATGATACCTGTACGGAGTCATGAAGCCAGAAGGCAATCCAGACAACACCACGCAACTCTTGTTAGCAGTATGTACAGGGCACTTCTAGTCAATTGTGCTCACAGCTTCATTGATAGAATCTGCAGCGTACTGCTCACGGGATCGTGGTAAGCAAGAATGAGAATTTACCCACGCTTTGTAAGTTGCCTACCTACCTAGGTGGTCGGTTTGATTTGAATCTAAGAGGCCATTGATCATAAATGGATTCACGTGACTTCGCGTCATATCTTGGCTCCTGGCGCGAAAACCCGAGCCGCGTTTTATGACCCCTACTACAACTCTATCGCTCTGTACAGTAACTGGAGAAGTGCAGTCAAGAATTTTTTCAATGGACGAGCACAGGAAGTTTCTGGCAGATAAGCTACTCAGCGAGGGTCGACCGGTAAGCTCGATAGCATGGCACCCATATCCATCAACTGATCCATATCAAACTTGCAGATCTCTTATCGGGCCCTAAGCTCATCGCTGGATGTCCACGTCAACAGAGCTAAAGGGTAATTCTGTTATCTGTCCCATTGCTCAGAAATTTTCGCCTCAAATTTCTCCTCTGAGCTTCTTCTTGTAGTCTCTTTCTCTAACAAGTATGTGCAGCATGCTCTTCGACTTCCACAAGTATCAAAATGAACTGCTCTCAGACTCGATCTACGCCACATACCTTGTTTCTGGATTTGTTGCCGCCACAAATAAGATACCAGATGTTCCTCAAATAACCAGCTCGTCTGACCTGTCAGAAAGCTTAACACGAGTGGGGAGCAACAGGAAGCTGGCGCTTGTTGGGGAAGAAAATCTGCGAGGTTTGCCACATCCTCAGGCCGCCTATCATTTCGGGAAGAACCCATTTCTGATAACTGGGAAGATGTACTAGGAATTTACACAAGCGTAACATCAATCCATGTGTATGGTTTGTCACCAAACACAATGAAGGATTTTTGGCTCTACGAAGACGCAGTAAACACAAATGATATTATGATAACTGACCGCAGGCAACTTCACGACAAGCATGGGGCTGTCTGCAATCCGCACATGCGTTTGCGAGAACGAAAATCACAGCTGAGCTCACTTCCTTCTGGTCATGTGCAATCTATAAAGCAAGAAAGTGAGCCGGCCAGCCATAACAAGCAAAACACAATAGAGCCACGGCGGCAGGGGAAACAACAACCTGTTCCAAAGATGAAGGAGGTGGCTAGCACTTCAAATCGACCGGCACCAAAGACAATTTTACAGTCATTTGCAAAGACACCCATCAGTACTCCTCCAAAATCTACGAAGCAGATGAAGCAAACTGACGAACCCACCGCCGCACTTTCCGATGATGGAGAGCCTGATGACACCGACATCCTATCTTCCAAATCCAGCTTGGCGTTGCATTCCAAGGCGAAGTCGCGCAAGGATAGAGAAGACGCCTTAAGGCGCATGATGGAGGAGCAGGAGGAGGAAGAAGAAGAGGAAGAAGAAGAAGAAGAAGAAGAGGGAAACAAGCGTGAAGTGATTGAGTTCGCTTCCAACATTGAAGCGGATGAAAACCCGGAGTCCGAGTCTTTAACAGATGCAGAGCCCGAATCAGGGGTCCCCTTGACAACACAGGCCGACAAGGAACCTTCAGAGACAATTTCTAATTCCGGAAATGGCCGGAGAAGAGGCAAGCGTCGAGTGCTGAAGAAGAAACGAATCTTGGATGATCAAGGATACATGGGTATGTGCGGCGCAGTCCAGCTTCAACTACCAGCACAACTTTATCAACTCACACTGTGAATAGTCACGATTCAAGAACCGGGGTGGGAGTCCTTTTCTGAGGATGATATCACTCCGCCAGCGAAAAAGCCCACACCGCCGCTAATGCCATCATCGTCCATGAAGGCAAAGAAAACATCGACAAAAGGCTCCCAAGGCAGTATCATGTCATTTTTTGCAAAGAAATAACTGTACATGGCATGCGAGGGAATAAAATGCTTTGATGAGGTGAATAGTGGAAATACTAAGTCTTTGTTAGTAGTAATGTACGAAACTCGATGATTCTTCGGTCTTCGACTTCCAGTTCTCGTACTGCGCTGGATTTTCCAACATTCGTTTGAGTAAAGAGCCTAATCGCTGAATACCCTCAATTAAGGCATCCTCCGCCTCCCATGCAAAGCAAATTCGAATGTCACCTTTGAACGGAGCACTGCCATCGTCCCCGTGAACCTCAAACATGCATCCATAACCTATCGCGAGATTCTCTTCTTCCATCGCGACGTCGGCGACTAGCTGGGAGCACAGTGACAGTTCTGCTTTCGGAGACAGCCAGACAAAGTATCCACCATAAATTCGAGCTCCGGTAAGACTCGTTTCTCGGGCACGGTAGCCCAAAGGCGTAATGTATTGATGAATTGCGGTCATGGCGAGCTTATATCTCCTCTGCAGAGATGGACAAACCGTGCGAGCTATGTGCTTCTGTAGTTCGCCAGTTCGGAGAGTCTCACCCAGTATCGCTGCGCACAGCTGACTCGGTGCTCCGCCTGAAAGTGTGGAAGCAGTGTTACCTAGCCCAATGACGAACTTTGAGGAGGCTTCAACCCAACCTGTGCGGACTCCCGGCCCAGCGATTTTACTAAAGGATCCGTTGCTGACGGTGTAACCAAATTCGTCTGGGTCCTGCTCCGAAAATCCCAATGATCGTTCAATGTCGCATAGCCTAGGCAGTCTCAAATCACTCCTGTTACCCTGTTCATCTTCGGGGTCAACGGACCACTGTAGAAAGTCGTAGACGTCATCACAGACTACGAGAGCATTGTGATCCCGTGCCAGGTGCACCAACTCTTCACGTCGTCGAAGAGACATGGTTTTCCCAGAAGGGTTTGCGCAAGTTGGTACAATGTACACGACATGTCTATACAGCTTCCTTGTTGTGTCATGAGGTTTGACCGGCTGTAAGATTGTTAGATCGGGGGAGTACATGTTGGCCACTGGCATTTTCCGGCCAACACTCACCTTTAGCTGCGGTTTTGCTTGTTCGTCTTGTTCTAGCTCCCTGATTTTGTTTTGCAGGACCACCAAGTCGATGCCCTCGTCATCTTCCGGTACTGCACGTAATTTTCCAGCAAATCCCGAATCTTCGAAAATTCCACAGGCCAGGTAATAACAAGGAGCAATTATCCAAATGGCTTTGGTATAGTTTGGGTCAGTAAAGCTCTGCAGAATGCAAGCCAAGCTCTGGCTTGCTCCGCCCGTGACACAAATGCGACTTGGATCTGGGCTGACATTATAATGCTCGCCAAGCCATCTGGATAACTCGTTCTTCAGTGTTGGGTGACCTGTATTTGGACCATATTGGAGAATAGGAATATACTCCTGACGGCGAAGGAGAACTTGTTGGCAGGCACTTGAAAGCATAGCAGCTGGCAAAACATCTGGTGACGGCCAGCCACGCATGAGATTGATGTGGTTTCTCCCACTCAACAAATACGATTCCATACTGGTGTGGGATAGCTACCTAGGGAGTGGATTCAATCGCGGCCGGGAAAGCTTCGATTCTTAGCACTTCCTCCTCTTGCCCTATGTTAGGTACGTACGTAGGCGACTTCAGGCGCAGTTTCTGTTTCCGGTCGAAGCAATAGTCGGAAAAGAAGACTTTTGAAGCCTCAGGAAACCAAGCTCAGGCTTTTACTGGCCTGGAAAGCTGCCTCATGTGAGAGCTGGGAGGCTGATAACTGTTGAACTGTTGTGCGATGATGATGAATAGAAGAACCTGGCTCCCCGTAATGGGTCTCGTACAGGGCTGCTGCATTTTGCACTGCATGTCCGAAGTGGGTTAAGTCTACGGAGTAGTCGTGTGCCACCCAGGAAGGAACATGTTGCAAATCTGACGAACCAGATTCATTCCTAGCTCCTTCACGGCTCGAGCAGCCAGCATCGTGAATGACCACGAGGCGGGGGAAAAAAAGCAAAGATTTTTCACCCCCGATGGACATACGCTGGAAGACAGTAGTAGTACTCCGTACGTATGTACATATTCATCAAAGCAGCAGGCAAGACATTATTTCAGTATCCCGTACAGCAGTAAAAGTGGAGTGGGATCGGTTTAATCCATTCCCTTTTCTCTACCATTAACATTGGGCATTAAGCATCTACAAAATATATATCACCTGAGAGCGTGCATCAACAAACAAAACGACATCATACCCAGTCCGAGCAACCAGAGAAGAACCTCATGGTTCATATGGCGATGACCCGGGACCAAATATCAGGTGTGGCTTTCGCTTTGCAATATCAAGGATGGTATTCGCAAAAACACCATTTGCCCAGGCAAACCAACTGCGTGTGTACTGTCGGACGTGATTTACATTTACGCTTTCATGCACCAGGCCAAGTTTGGAGGACCGAAGGACTAGATTAAGGCACGCCTTGATCTCATCATCATCTCCTGTGGTCTGTGCTTGAATTAGAAGACTCATCGGCCATGCATTCCGCAGCCCAATATGCGGCCCTTATCAAATCAGATCAGCTGGTTCTGTTAAAAAAAGATTCATTTGATTGCTTACCGCCGATGCCCTCGAAATCCTTGCCTTTCAGGTAGTAGGGATTGCCCAGTTTTTCTAGTATCATTTTTCTTGTATTTTTGTAAATTGGATCTTCAATTCCACAAAACCCCATCAGGGGCAAGGCTAGCAGAGATGGATAATTTGCATCGTCCATCATGATGGCAGAACCGTAGCCATCAACTTCGTACGCAAAAACTTGTCCGTACTTTGCGTGGGTGACCACGCCGTGCTCCCAGACAGCGGAGCGTAAAGTCTCACCCCACTTCTCCAGCTTTTCTGCCAAAGATGCTTTATTTGAAGCCTTGAGAAACTTAGAGGTCCGGCGCAGCTCAACAGACATCATCGCGTTCGCAGGGATAAAGAAGCCTAAGATCGTGGCGTCATCACTAGGTCTGAATGCGGAGCGAATGAGACCTGTGCCGCTGTTAAGGGGGTTACCGTTTCCTTGCAAACTGAGTGTCTCTGTGCCAGCGCTTGTCCGTCTCTGAAAAGTGTACTCATTTCTCGAATGATCTCCCGTTTCCGGGTCGAACGTCGGCTTTGACTGCTCTTCTAGGACTTGTAAGAGGGTTTCCACTGCGAGATACCATCGGTTGTTCAAGAAATCTGTCGAGCCTGTGTGTTCATAGAAGTCGTTCGCCAGCGCCAAGAAATGGGCTAGTGAATCAAGTTCGTACTTGCACTCGAATACAGCGCTGGGTTCATATGCTGGATGGACAACGTCGTCCTGACCATTGGACGTTATTGGAAGATCACTAATAGGAGGAGGCTGGAAAGCATTGCAGTATGGAGCCTCAATGACGTACTCCGCCTGGGTGTTGATGGCGCCCAAGATCAAGTCAAAAATGGCGGGATCTTTCTTTGCCAGTGTTTGATATGGGCGCAGCTGGTTTGTCGAGTCCCGCAGCCACTCGGCAATTATATCCCCCGTAATTATGAAGGAGTGATGCCCTTGCCAGGCGCCGTCATCCAATACGGTTCGCGATCCGCCGAATCGAACGAAGCCGGTATCTCTGCCTTTGTTGTGGAATTTAATAGTCGTATCGGTTGTTGACGGGAAAGCGTTCTCGAATAATCGTGCCAGGTCTGGGTCCTTCATCCGTGTCGTGATGTCTGTTATAACTTTCTCAATTTCATCAGAGTGAAATGTCCGACATCGTCGCTCGGGCCTTTGAAAGGGAAGTGCGAGAGGCCCAGTACTCAGAGGCTTGCTACGATCATTAGCAACTCAGGTCAGCACACATTGGTAAACACTGAGAGTACTTACTGGGGATAAGACGCATATGACGCATAGTCGGGGCAAGCATCAGCGGTATTGTGGATTGGAAGCTGAGGCTCTTTGTTGGCTATTGCTAGACGGATGTTCACATAGAGCAGCGTACAGAACGGGCCTGTCACGCGCATGGTGAGAAAATGGTGGAACTGTCAACGACACGCAATAGAGATGGATGTCGGGATACGGAATACAATCCAGAGACAAGTGCAGAGTACCTGGTGTTGATGATGCAAAGGTCCTGAAGTCAGGTTCAAAGCCGCTGCAATGCAGGTGTTCAACATGGCATCCTCTGTTGTTTCAAACTGATGTCTGCTGAAACGGGCGCGACGAAACTAGTTAGTTAGTACTAGTACAATCTAACCCCTGTAAGTTGAGCCATAAGTGACCTGATAAGGGGGCTATTTATAGGGGCCTTACTACTAATAAGAATAGCTATTAATTATAATTTATAAAAGAGTAATATTTTTTATAATAACTTATTAAGAGGAGTTTTTTTAATTAGCTTATTAAGTACTTAGTACCCCTTATATACTTTATATAATAGTCCTTTTTAATTAGTTATAACCCCCTTTATCATGTCACGCCTGGCTAAACATTCAGGGCTCGGACTGTACTCCAATCTCGGGTCAGTTTATGTTTCAACAGCTATGGTGGGGCAGCGGTAGCGGGCTTTTGTGGAGAAGGCGCTCCTCGTACTACTATATACTCTTTACAACAGAGCAAGGTATTAAAAAAAGTTCCACGAAGTGGTAGTCAGTAATTTCGGGGGCTAATTCACCTGCATGTCTGAAGAAACTGTCCATTTCGGCCTTGAGGTTTTTAAACAGAAAATATCGCGATAATGTCGATGCGATGTGGCTTACATGCGTAGAAAACCGGTTCTAAAGGTCATCGGTTATCAAGAAGTAATTCATATATTCGGGTATCAAGAAACACTCTATGTCGTCGAAAACAAAAATCATCCTCATAAATTCCAAAAAACCAGACGTAATGCCAAACCCCTCCTGACATCCCAACCTACTTAGTCACTCCAGTAGGCAACCGGATATGCAGCTGTGTACCCCGTACTCCCGACATAAAGCACAATATGCTAGAAAATTGATGCAGTGGGTTATTCCCTTCACCAGCCCCACGTTCGACTGGATGCAGTGAACACTGGCGGCTTCCACTGTATGCGCCCCGGGTCAAGCACCCGTCTCAGTTTCAGTTTTTGTTTTTCTCTCTGCTTAATGAGGTTCTCCGGGATGACAATCTTATGGTCGCTTTTGTGGTATACTTGCATTTTCATGGCTTGAAGGGTGTGTTCGACATCCTGCGTGGTCATAGCGAGAGCAGAAGATATTGCTTCAATGGTGACTTTGTCGTCCCGCTCATTGTACCCCATGAGCAGATCAAGAATGTTCTCTGACCAGTACTGACGATAGCTCAGCAGACCTAAATCAGAGAGCGGTTTTTCTGGTGATCCTAGCTTGCCTTCTATTTTAGAAAGCTCGTATGAAAACTGTATCAGAAGCCGCCCATACCCTTTTCGCTGATACTGAGGCAAGGTCAGAATGCAGGCAACATTGTATCCATCTGCACTCTCTTTTTCCTTGGAAAAATATCCAACGATATGGCAGCCCTTATCCGTTCGGCTAGCCATAACGTAGAAAAGAAACGGATCAACGTCGTAGTAAAGTGTTTTATGATCAAGAAACATCTTAGATAGGAGGCAGAGATTTCTGCACCAAGTTCGCTGCCGGCGTCCATCAATCTCAAAGAATGAGACGTAGTCATCTCGATATATCTCGTTCCCTGGGGGATGCTGCAATGTGCACTTTTTCCTATGTCGCAGAAACGCTGTCTCGTCCCCATAGTAGCTCAGGCAAAATTCGCATACGAAGATAACATCTTCTTGGCTGAAAACCTCGGGGTAAGGAGAGAAATACCAAGGGAACAGGTCATTCTCGCCGAACTGAACCTTCGATATATTTCTTATACGGGAGATCTCAGCAGGGTTTTGAGTCATAGATCCGGAGGTCCTTAGTTTCTCAATCTCTTCTTCCCGACTGAATTCACCTTCCTCCTTCTTAACATCGTCGTCTTTGTCATCCACTTCTATGTCGTCCGCTGCAGCCGGTGTTGTAGTTGCATCGGCGCTTGCTTGCGTCTGTGAATCAACATCGGGACCAACAGATGATGTCTGTCGTTGCTGTTGAGACTCTACAAATTCTGATGGCTGCGTGAGCTGGGCGTCTCTTTGAACCATAAAAGCATGTAACACGTACCTGACCATGGGTGAGGCGTTGCAGCCTCTGATTGAATCGACTGCTCTCTTTTACTGGGTCGCTTTTGCCCCTTCTTGGGGACTTGGGCTTTCTTGGTCTGCGATGTCGTCTTTTTGGCTTTGGGATCTTTTGACTTGTCCTTGTCAGGATTTGGCCATTCCACTTCTTGTGTGAAGTCAATTCTTGTGACTGGAACCCATTCATCAAGTCGTTTATTAAAATTATCGAAGTTGCAATAGAATTGCTTTCCGCTCTTGGTCTCCTTAATGCTGAGAATCTCCGCGCGTCGCGGTTGGCCATCCTTGACCACCCAAGCTATACAGCCCGTTTTCAGCGTATCAGGAGTCGCTATTCCCCTTTGTCGCGGTGTGTCTGATCCGACAGTGGGTTCTCCCGCTGGTGTTCCCACAGCCATGATGAAGTTGGTGGACGATGACGGATGCTTGATGATTTTAAAAAAAAAAAACCCGCAAAATCTCTACGTCAATACAGGAAAATAGTTACAGATGGTTGATGCGGCAGTTGAAGGCTCCATTATAGAATTAAGCAGGCGGTGTGTTCAGATAACTTAACTTGGTAACTACCTAGGTACCCCATATACGTTAGCTAATACCTCTTTATATGCATAATTGAACCTAGGGTAGGCATGAATACGACCCGCGACCACATATCTCATCCCCTGTACTTGTTCTTCCAGCATCCCAGCGCTTAATACTGAGTATGTACTTGGATCATGGCTGAGTTATCTTCCAACTGGAAGAAGCTCCAGGCAAGGCTCAACCCTGGCAAGCAAACACAACGCCCATCTTTGAAGCGTAATGCAGAGGATGAGACGTCAAGCACATCTAAGTTACCTAAGTTTTCAGCAAAGGCTTCACCAAGGCCCACCCAATCTTTAAACACTAAAGTCAAGCGGATTGCGAATATGGGCGGAGTGCATAGTTCCGGAGTGGGAGATGAATCCAACACTGGCCAGTCACCATCCATCGGGCTTTGGGCGACAGACCGGGGCGTTTCGAGTGAGGCCCTAGCAGACGCATATGGCCTCGGTATCAAAGAGAGTTCAGTGACCGTGGCTTCTTATAACGATAGAGTCAATCACGGTCGATCATGCAATGTCGATGTTGGAAAATATGTTGGACTGGATTGTGAAATGGTTGGAGTTGGCCAAGGGGGGCATGAGTCAGCTCTGGCTCGAATCAGTTTGGTTGACTTTCATGGACGACAAATTTACGATTCTTATGTGAAGCCAAGGGAACGGGTCACTGACTGGAGGACGGCTGTGAGTGGCGTATCCCAAAGAGAAATGAGGTTTGCGAGAGAGTTCGAAGAAGTTCAACGCGAAGTATACGATATCATCGAAGGACGGATCTTGGTTGGACACGACATAAAGCATGACCTAGATGCGTTGAAACTGAGCCATCCTCCGAGGGATATCCGAGATACCGCCAAACATCACGCATTCAAGAAATACGGACATGGGCGAAAGCCTTCTCTACGAGTTCTGGCTCGAGAACTTCTAGCTACTGAAATACAAGAAGGTCCACATTCTAGCACTGAGGATGCACGCGTCACCATGCTCATTTTCCGAAAATACAAGCCGAGTTTTGACACCGAGCACGCAAATCGCTACCAACAAAGGACTCCTCCAACCACTACAAGGAAATCCAAGAAACATAGAAGGAAACAATAATCTTACTCTGAACTACCACTACAATGGAGCATGGCCTGCGGTGTGTTGTCTTCGTTTTTTGGGAGGCAACGATTGGCAATGGAACAATATAACACTGTCGGAAAGAGTAGCATGCTCAATCAAAATTTGCATCACAGGGACCACGGGAAAGTACGGAGGGGTTTCTTGCTCCCTTGAAAACCAACTGCGATTTGGACACGGCGCGTTTATCTGGTATTTATAGCGGGATTCCTTCTAGCAACTCTATAGCACCTTCTCGCCCGACAGTAATGATTACATCTCCTAGGGTTTTTGTGGCAAAACCAGCTTCGCAGTATTTGAAGTAATACTGTGGACGACCATGTTAGTGAAATTGAGGAGACGAAAACACGACATCGGGGTTTCTTGCCTCCCATTTTCTTCGAAAGACCTCAATAGCGTCTTTCGTCATTCCTGGGTGATTATGCAAGAGTGCGGGCTTGATTTGACTGTCAAAATGACTCTGGAAGTTTTCGTTCCACAAGCGTAAAGTCTTGGCATAATGCCCACCGATATTCTCCACCTTCTCGATTATGAGCGTGCCATGCGACTGCTCGCTGATATGGCTCAAAAGTTGTGTGATGGAGGGCAAGTATCCTCCCGGGAATATGTATTGGTTGATAAAACTGTGTTGTAATGTTACCTCGTGTGAACATGCATAATGGGATTCGAGCATTATAAAAACGTACTCTACTGATTTGGAGTATGCCTCATGACGGTTCTCAGGCATCGTTATACACTGGAACATCGCGATGCCTCCATCCGGCTTGAGGAGCCTATTCACACAATCAAAATAAGTGCCCAGATACTCCTGGCCAACTGCTTCGAGCATTTCGATAGACACAATCTTGTCGTATGGCTTTTCAGGGACCGGAAGTTGGCGGTAGTCTGTCAACATGATCTCGATCCGTTCATGGAGTCCAACAGCACGCACTCGTGCCTCTGCCAACTCTTTTTGCTCTTTTGAAAGTGTTATGGACGTCACTCTGCAGCCAGTTTTGCTGACAGCTTCAATGGCAAAGGAGCCCCAGCCAGTGCCTATCTCAAGGACATGGTCTGTCGCTTTGAGCTTTGCGCCCTCGATAAAGCGAGTCAGTTTCCTCTGCTGGGCGGCTTCTAGACTCTCATCACCTAGGCCGGAATCTATCCGAGTTTGCCACACTGGGCAAGAATATGTCATGTCGCTTGAGAGGAAGGCAGCAAACATGTCGTTACTAATGTCATAGTGTGCCGAAATGTTCAATAGTGAATTGGAGAGGGTATTGGTGGATCTAGCAAGATATGATAGTGAAGATGAGATCCTAGACACGACCGTGGTTCCGTTGCGCATGCGGTCTCTGTTGGTGATGAAGAGCTGCATGCACGCACATTGGTCATTGCCATGTTCATATACCAAACCAATGCGGAACCCTAGTGGAAGCTCACCTGGAAAAATGAAGTCAGATCTTCGCAAATGACATCTCCAAGCATGTATGCCTCAGAAAATCCTATATCAGCGAACAAAAACAGCCGCATCCAGAATGTCTCTTTCTTGATAACAATCTCCACGCGAGGCGTAGTGCAAGCTCGCCTCTCGTGAGTACCCGTAGGCGACAGGTCAGCGCCAGAAGAGAGCTTTTGACCAAACACATGCCGAGTTCCGCCAGGTTCATCGACAAGTAGAAGCGTGCCGGTGTCGATGCATGATAGAGTAGTGAGAATGGCGGATCTTGCTACAGACACGGCAGGTGCCCAGGCCAAGCCAACTATCGTACTGCGGACCATGTCTGATCCATCTCTCAGATGCCTGTTGAGGGTTTCCGGCAATACTGGTAGCTGCATTGTATGGAAGAAAATTTACTGCGCACACGCTTGAAGGGATTGGCAGCAGTCAGTCTACGAAGTGATACTTGGGTAACTCATTCGATGGGCTCTTGCCGGGTTTTAAGTTTTAGTCCTGCAACATGTAAATGCTATCGATTCCATGTACGCGGCGGACTCGGGTAGAATCTATGACACGTTCTGAAACGCTCGGACGTGTGGACCAAGTGCCGCCAATTGATGACCCTGGATGCTGGGCACGGTCTACGTGGGTGCCCAGATGCCCGTCGTTCTTAACAGTAGTAGACCATTTCTACGTTTCCAGATGTCAGTGTACGCTGGTGTAACCCCGCCTCGATACAGAGGATGATGATGAGCAAGACCACGGCGTATATGCGATAATCAACAATACCGAGGTCATTGATTGATTGGCCGACCTTGGGTTTGAGAGATACCGGATGAGTCCAGCTGGACTCCGTACACAGAAAGAGTATAGAAATTAAACTGAGCCTGGGGGGCGATAAAGACCTGAAGCATGACAAGCCAGACAAGACAGCTCGTAAGAAAATTTTACTTAGCTCACTAGGCCTCTGATAATTGGTGACAATTTACTAGGACATCAATTGATGTCTTGTGATAGCTGTTGGTAGGTAGGTTAGGTGATGACAGGGTAGGCAGCCGCAGTACATAGGTACCTCTAGGTACTCAGCCCACATGGTGGCATTGTAGTAGGTGTCGCGTTGGAAACCAGATCGACGCGTCTCGACCCAGTTCTACTCAACAGTTCTTGAAGAGTCAAGTCTAGAGCGGTGCATCCTGATCACTTCAATCAATTGATAGTACTTACTTCACCCAAGTACTTGCCTACTCAAACAAGGGCCTCAAAATAGCCCAAGAAAGCACGACAAATCTGCGTGTCGCGGGGTTTGCGACGGTACTGAGATCCCAGCATGTCACCACCCATACTCTCGATTACCGACAACATAGCGAAGGGTGCTTCAGTCCCTAGCTTGATGCCATGTCGAATTCAACACGACGGGCCAATTGACCAAGCCGCCACCTACTGGACGCCCTGCACAACCAAAGGTAGAATTACCCGCCGAGATACATCCCGATACGAACAACAACTGGTGCTGACCTCTAGGCACCCAGGCCCAGCCAAGGAATCGTATTTCAGAGGGAAGAAATTAAAAGGGATGAAGTTCTCATTGCCAGAAGAATACCAAGGGCTTGTTCTGCAACCTACACCTGAAGATCAGACGATGAGCAAAGGCATAAATTCCGCAGTGCCCCCAAAAAACAAAGAGGCTGAAGAATCAACCAAGAGTTGTAGCCTTCAAATCCTCTCCAGATTCCAAGGCATTATTGTATGGAGACAGGACCACTCTGGGAGTGACTCGCCTGATTTGTATACCCGGTCATTGGATGAATGGCTCAAGACTGCTAACAAGGCAAGTACAATATGTTCTAGCATGTCTGACGATACAGCCGCTGATTGTAGTAGATCCACACACCCTAGCGCTCCGCTGAGAGACGAGGCTCTGTTGACGAATGCAGATTCGGCTGGAAATGAGGACGCTTTATGTCTCAAGCTCAATCGTGGCTCAGAACCTGCCAGGTTCTTTAGTATTTCCGGGGCATATCGTCGTGGAATTTCCATCAGATATTACAAACAGCTCGCCCGGGTGAGGCAGGGCTGAGCATGAAATACTTCATGGTCTCGGCGTTTTTAGCCTATCATGGTGGTATTGTCAAGTTATTTATTTTATTTTTAATACCAAGTTATTTATTGTTTCCCTCTCAAGACAGATGATAATACAAGGATGATGCGAGAATCGTGCAAGAATCGTGCAAGCATTACATCTGGAAATACAATATTTGGCTGCACTAAGCCAGAGAACAGTAAAAGACTACCAAATACACCATATTATGGTGATAGGAATATATATCACGTGTATATTTTATGTTATAGGCAGTTTTGAAAGATTTGGCATGATATATAGACAGCCAATTCTCTATCAGACAGGGCTAGAAAGTAGTCTGTCGCATGACATGGCGGCCGGGCACTGCCTGACATGTCCGCAGGATTCTAGACGGTGTAACAAGCTGCCTCTAAATGTACCAATCGATGGGGAAGGCCAGATGACAACCCCCAATTTCAGGTTCGCAACTAGTACTGCCTACTGGTAGTGAGTAATTATGAGCCACGATATCAAGTTACTACAATTTAACCACCACATTCTGGCAGAACTGCAGGAGTCTTCCTTGAACAAAGGGTGCTTGCTATTCGCCACCAGGCAGCAATTAGCTAGTTCAAAAATAGCACAATAGCAGGTCTTAGCGCCATCCTTTACGCAATCAATTAAAATCGCGCCAGAAGTGCCCCTCCCACGCGTCTGAGACGCGCATCGCGTTGCGCCTTTCTCTCAACCGGTTACTGCAGCATGGGGAATTGGCAATACATCTAAGGGACCTTTACAATCTGGCACGAGACCTCCAATCCCCAGGTCGGAATCAATTCTTTCCCGACTATCGAACCTCTTTACACCCGAATACTCCAACTTCCTGTACGAGCAGCCACCCACCTCGGCAGAGGCAACGCAGTACCCCGCTAGGTGCAGACCCGAAAGATCATCGTCGTGCGCAATGGCTTCTAGTGATGCTGGATACATGATGTCCGATGCGCCGTTGCAAAGACGACATATGGCCTTCCCTTCTTCTTCCTCAACTCGCCCGAGAGGACCTCCGTCGGAGAACCTTGGTGCTGCTAGTGACGACGAGGGTGATGCTTTTGCCGATGACCAAGTCCCGCGAAGTTCACGCATCCCGGATGCCGCCAGTGTCCCTCGCGTTGAGGACCGAATAGGAGTACTTGTTCAAGAGCATTTTGAAGCGTTCATTGAGAGGTAAGCGATGAAATTCTGGTAAAAGCCCATGCTCAAAAATTGATCAAAAATAACATCGAAATAATCCTGCAGTTTTGCCGAAGATCCACTATCAAGCGCGCCAACTTCGAGCGCTGTCACTACAGACAAATACTATGTAGCACAAATCAGGTCGATGAGAAATATGCAGCTTTCTACGTTCTACGTTGATTACAAACATCTTGCTGCGTGGGAAAATGGCAGTTTGGCTGATGGAGTAATGCGCCAGTATTATCGATTTTTGCCTTTTCTTACGGTAGCTCTACACAATATGATTGCAAAATACGAACCGCAGTATTTTCGGGAACATCGCCAGCCAACAGCGTCGAGCACGCTGTCAACTTCGGCGGCTAGCCAGCTTGGTTCTGCCAGCCAGAGCGACGCCTCTCACAGAAAGAATGAGCACCAGCAAACTGATAAGCTCTTCTCTATTGCCTTCTATAACTTGCCTCTAGTCTCACGGGTCCGTAGCCTGCGGGCAGCCAATATTGGACAGCTCCTCTCCATTTCTGGCACGGTCACTAGGACTTCAGAGGTTCGGCCAGAATTGTCACTAGCTACCTTTGTTTGCGAAGCATGCAGAGCTGTTGTGCCAAATGTCGAGCAAACTTTCCGATACACGGAGCCAACTCAGTGTCCCAATGGAACTTGCTCAAATAGAGTTGCTTGGCAGTTAGATATTCGGCACAGCACCTTCGTCGATTGGCAAAAGGTTCGCATTCAAGAGAACAGTTCCGAGATCCCTACCGGCAGCATGCCTAGGACTCTAGATGTTATTCTCCGTGGCGAGATTGTGGATAGAGCCAAGGCAGGGGAGAAGTGTATCTTCTCCGGTGCTCTTATCGTCGTTCCTGATGTTAGCCAGCTAGGTTTGCCAGGACTGAGACCCACCGCCATTCGCGATGATCGAGGGGCACCACGTGGTAATGATGCTGGAGGAAGTGGTGTCACGGGTCTGAAGGCCCTGGGTGTTCGTGACCTTACATATCGCCTTGCTTTCCTGGCCTGTTTCGTTGCCCCTGATACTTCGAGCACGGGTCAACCAGCGGCAAACAGTGCTGCTGATATAGTAAACGCCCTCACTCAAAGCAATTCCGTCGAAGGAGCCGATTCCATAGAAGATGCGCAAGCCGCTGTTCTTGCGTCGATGAACCCGTCCGAGATCGAAGATCTGCGAGCAATGGTCCATGGTGACCACATATACTCCCGTATGGTACAGTCCATAGCCCCCATGGTATATGGCCATGAAGTGGTCAAAAAAGGTATACTACTACAGCTCATGTCAGGTGTGCACAAGACAACACCCGAAGGAATGCAATTGCGTGGTGATATCAACATATGCATTGTTGGGGACCCATCTACATCCAAATCCCAATTTTTGAAGTATGTCTGCTCATTTGCTCCACGAGCCGTCTACACAAGTGGAAAGGCATCGTCGGCCGCAGGTCTCACTGCGGCAGTGGTCAAAGATGAAGAGACGGGAGAGTTCACTATTGAGGCTGGCGCTCTGATGTTAGCAGATAATGGCATCTGCGCTATTGACGAATTTGACAAGATGGATGTGGCTGATCAAGTGGCCATTCATGAAGCGATGGAACAACAGACAATATCCATTGCTAAGGCTGGCATTCAAGCAACACTTAACGCTCGAACTAGCGTGTTGGCTGCTGCGAATCCTGTCGGCGGAAGATACAACCGCAAGGCGACGTTGAGGTCCAATATTAACATGTCGGCACCAATCATGTCTCGATTCGATTTATTTTTTGTTATCCTCGATGAGTGTAACGAGCAAATTGATCGCCATCTCGCAGAGCATATTGTCGGCATCCACCAGCTGCGCGACGAGGCGGTCGAGCCTGAGTTCAGCACCGAGCAGCTCCAGCGGTACATCCGATTTGCTAAAACATTTCGCCCAGTGTTTACGGACGAAGCTAGAGATGTTTTGGTTACGAAATACAAGGAATTGCGAGCCGACGACGCTCAAGGAGGAGTCGGTAAGAACTCATACCGTATTACCGTGCGACAATTGGAAAGCATGATCCGTCTTAGCGAGGCTATTGCCAAAGTGAATTGTGTTGAGGAGATTGACGCAAAAATGGTGTGTGAAGCATATGACTTGCTTCGCCAAAGCATCATTTCGGTTGAACATGATGACGTGGAAATGATGGAGGAGGACGAATCGCAAGAGGATGGTCAAGTTCTTCTCCATGCCGCAGAGGCTGCATCTGGGAGACAAGCCGACAACACTATGGCGGTGGATGAGGAGCCACCTAGTAGCTCATCCCTGGTAGAAAATGCGGATATGAAGAAGAAGCGGACGGTTACATACGACAAATACATCAAGATGGTCAACATGATAGTACAACGAATCAGCGACGACGAGAACGGGAGCGGGGACGGCGTCGAAGGCGAGGATCTCATCAATTGGTATTTGGAACAGCAGGAGGAGGAGTTGGAGGGTGAAGATGCCTACCATACTGAAAGAGCTCTGGCCAACTTGGTTTTGAAGAAAATGGTTAAAGTAAGCGCACAAAAATTCATTCATTACCTATGGAGCTAACCTACGCCCCCCTAGGACAACATTTTAATGGCCCTCCGAGGAGAAGTTTTGGATGGCGAAAGTTCGTCCAGTGCTGCTGGAGTAGTTTACGTCCTTCACCCCAACTGTGCAGTGGAGGAGTTCTAAGAAAGGAACCGCTCCCAGTGGGCTGACGGCAAAGTGCCAGAGCAACCATCCACCTAAATCTTGACTAAGGAATTTGGAGTTCGGAGTTTAGACACGTAAAATGTCGACGGCAACCGGCTGTCGGCTTGTTGCCCTATGTAGCACTTTATCAGGCGGGCTTGCGTGATATTTAGTGCATGCCTGGCAAGATATTATTATATTTGACTAGGTTCTCTAAAGTTGATTGCCACCCATCTCCTCGCCGGAATTGTATTTCGGAACTGTGGTCGCACATGTTTTAATATCCGTATGCAGTTCTCCTCGTACCCAGACGTCGGGTCCTGACATCTCGATGCAATGACACAAGTGTTTTGGTTATTTCAGGCGAATACAAGACAAAGGTTCATCAAAGTGAAGTCGGCTTCCAGGGCCGCCATGTCTAATTGTTGGTGGCTTTCAATCATCTTCACTACTCTAGAGGCTGGGTTGAAGTTTCCAATGGCTACTTGTCGAATTGGCACGATCTCTGAGCAGTAGAGTAGAAGACTCCATTGTATTTGCATAGTTAGTTCAAAAATCAAGAGTCCATTTCATTTCGACATCTGCTAAGCTACCCGCCACACCACATCAACCGTCAGACGTAGGGCTAAACAAGATGCCGTACGGCGAAATAAGGAGGAAAGTGTAAAAATAAGAAAAAGACAACAGGGGTTGAAAGAAGTCAGCATCGCCAGATACAGCCCACCGCGAATGTACATTAACATGCCCCATCTTATTAGTACACGCCGCTTCGATCCCATGCGAAGCGAGCATATTCAGGCGCATTTTGTCTGCAAAGGAGAGCTGGCCGCTGTCCTAGCAAGTTAGGACTCTTATGAGAGCGACCAGACACGCAGCGTATCTTGCTAAGGTGAATATCGTTCGCATCAATCCATAAAAAAAATAAAAAAATCCCCGGCGGTAATCATGATGATTCTATTTGCCGGTAACCTGCGACGGAGGCGAATGATGTCGGGTCCAATTGTCGACTCCCCTCGAGCGATACCCTCCTCGCCCACCTCTGCCAGTCCGACCGTGGTTAGATTCATTGTCCTGGGCGTTGGAAGTTTCTTTCTTCCCTCGTGCTCCACTACCGAGTCCCCGACGTCTTGAGGCCGCCCGTTGGGCGTGGGAGCCTCGTGAACCTCGAGCTACAGGGTGAGAAATCGGCACGGATTTGACTTCCTTCATTCCCGGAAAATAAATATTGATAGTACTCTGGCCCCCATGGGTGTCTGAAGGACGAAACGGTTCCATGATGGACGCCTGAACAAGGAATTTCTTAGGCAACGTCTTCGTTTGAGCCACAGCAGGCTGCCATGCTGCGTCTGGTACCTTATGAGGGAGGCGTATTTGAGGCAGAGAGCCCATCTCTTGCTCCTCGAAACACTCTTCTGCCATAGGCTTAGATATAAGTAATTGAGAACCAGCATCAGCTTGTGTTGGGGATATGCCAGGGAGAGAAACAGTGGCAGAGGTTTGATAGCCAAGGTGATCGAATGAGCCTTTGCTAGAGACGTCAACAGTGGTATCTCTGCTTTGGGGCGGTTTGTCTCCATGGAGCAATTTATGGAATCTGGCTTGCCAGTTATGCTCGTTGCCCGGTGGTAAATCACGGCTAGGCTCTTCTCGCTGACCGTCTTTCGGGCTGATTCTGGTCGACCAAACGTTACTAGAGCGCGATGGGGGATGTTGTGTTGAGCACATTGTAGGGGGAAGTTTCACGACTGGCTGAGGTTTAGGAAGAGATACATGTGGTCGCATTACATCTCCCTCATATGCTGGATGCCCTTCCATCGTAGGCGGAGGTGGAGTCGGAGAGGATGGACGCGAGAAACTGCGCCCAGAAAGCGTTTCATGGCGTATATCTTTGGCTGGAAAGAATCTTGATGGTCGCGACTGGGATAGTGCTCCCGAGCCAATTATACCAGCATTGGCAGAAGGGGCTGAATCTTCCAAAGATGTCGTACCCTTCTGGGACTCATCTTTAGTCGCTTTCCAAGGCGCTGATTGATGGGATTGCACGTCCGCCGTACCGATATTGTGACGTGTCCCATCACCTGGAACATGTATGGGGCGCCAGGTTTCCTTGATCGTTGGTTGTGTATCTGCCATAGTTAATCCTCTCTCCATCAGCTGACGCTCACGGCCAGCTCGCTCCGTCAGCCTCGTAGCGCTCAACTTCTTGTCATCTTCTGCGACAGAAGTGACCCACTTGCTTGCAAGATCTGGCCCTGGTGGCCCGTATCGAGGGTTTTGTGAGCTAATCGAAGGCATTTGAGATGCCTGAGGCTGACTGTGGGGAGGGACTCTGGCAGTATTGCTAGGTGGTGCAATTGGCAGTGGTCCCTTTGGTCCTTGCGATGCCGCTGAGGAAGCATTCGTGACCCTACCAAGATCTGGATTAAAGGTTCCGTTTCCTAAGCCGCGGTCATTGTCTGGAGATCCCCAAACATTTCGCGATGAGGGCGACGCCCCAGCGCCCCAGGAAGGAAACCTGTCAGCACGAGCGCCTTGTCCGCCCCAGAGATCATTACGCCGTGAATCTTGGCCATGAGAGAGTCTTCTGGACCTTGTTGATAGTGGCGGGAGCGAGGAGTTCGAAGAATGAACTTTAGAATCGACCACCGGGCCATCAGCTTGACTTGGGACTGTTGATATAGGGCTCACTGGTGATACTTCTCCACCTGGAGAAATTTCCTTGTCAATAGAAACTGGCCGTTCTCGCTGTTGAATCTGAGTGGGTTTGGTGATGTCAGCTTTTAAGGAAAGCTCCTTTTTGCCGCTTCGCTTTTCGGGAGCAGGGCCTAACGCTTCCAACTTCTTTTGAATGCGTTCTCGCTTGGCAGCTTCTTCCCGCGCCTCTTCTTCCTGACGACGCTTTCTAGCAAGTTCTACCCGCTCACGCATCAGTCTTTTCTGATACTCCACCTCATCAACAATATCATCACTCGAGGGTTGAAGGAAATTAGGCTTTGAATCAGAATGGGCTGTGCTGAGCTGTGGCGTTGTGAACGCCGAGCCGGGCGAAGATGTCGTTACTCCTGGTTGTGATGCCTGTTGCTTGGAGAGGTGAGGACCAGAGGTGCCCGGCTCATTTGAAGACACAGGACTTTCTACAGATGTTGATAGTGATGCCCTGTTTGCGGTCATCATGTCCACAGGCGGCACAAGAGGCATATTTGTATCATTATTCTTCCCCATCTTTTGCTGAAACAATCCACTTCCTGTGCTGACGCTAGACGATCCTCGGCGTCTAGTAAAAGGAGTCTCCTGTGACATTCGACCAGTAAGAGGCAGTCCATGTGGTTCCATAGATTGGTCTGAAGGCTGGGGCCTCTGAAGCAAAGCTGGATACTTAATGTGAGATTCTGATTTGATCGAGCCCCGTCGGTCCGAAACTGGTTCGTAGCGGCCAGATTGCGAGTTAAAAAGCTCCCTGTTGGTATGTGAAGAGCCTTCCCTCCAAGATGAACGAGTAAAATCATCAGCCGCAATCTCTTTTGGTGGATGGTTAGAGGGTTTGAAAATTATAGCATCCCTCGCCTCGTTATGTGGTAACGGTAAAGGGTCTGCTAATCCTGGTGAGGCCCTGTCGACCGGAGGCAGGGTAGCCCACGGTGATTTGGTAGGTGCGGCAGAAACGGGAGGTTTAGAAGTTACTGCCGGCTTTTCTTGAGACGCAGGCTTAAATACTAGTCCTCTTCCCGCAGTCAGTCCTCCAGGCCTTGATATGGCCGACCCAGAGGACATGGTCGGCGCTGGTGAGTTTGGTTTCATCTGAGATTTGCTAGGAACAGGAGCCACGATTTTGTCGTGAACTGACGCTTGAGGCTCATCCAGATGCGGTAGTGTAGTTTTGGTTCCATCGCCCCAGGTAATTGCTTCCGGTGCCCAATCGTCGTCGTCGTCGTCAATATCTGCCCATTTGTTTGGCCCCTGTGCATCGTCTTCATTGAGGCGACTAGCCATATGAATTCCATATTTCTTTAGTTCCTCATCGGTGAACTTCTTGGGCTCGGGAGCTAGATTATTTCCAGTGATTAGTTTTCTACGTCATATTCTGAACCGTAGGAGTATGGACTTACGTCTGTTCTTATTCCAAACGGCGCCTGGGTCAGGAGTTGAAGCTGGCTTAGCGCCATTGATAACGGAAGAAAACCGAGGAGCCGTATCTCTAGTGCCAGTTCCAGTCTTAGCAATAAGACGTGGTCGCGACGACGACAAGGAGCTCGACCCAGGAGGCGGAGTATTTGAACCCGTCGCGGGTTTATCCACTGGTTTGGCGGCGACACCGCTGGCACTGCTTTTTGAAGCCAGGAATGTCTTATTCACCGACACAGCTTTGAAAGTTGCAGGCTTTTTAGCTGATGAAGCTGATCGCCCATGACCCTTTTCTCCATCCCTCTGGCGCGAGGCTTCTGTGTCTGATCCGCCGCTAATACTGACATCAGCAGAGTTTAGCTGCTCTTCAATGCTGATGACATGCTTATTAGTTATCTCATCGCCGTTCGAGGTCGAGTTGCCGTTCGCGTTCGATTGGTCATAGGCGACTTCGTGGGCTTGACCGTCCTGCTCCCGACATAAATCCCTGGTAAGCAAATATTGGACATTCTTCCCTCGGGGGGAGTCGAAACGTTAAAGAGAAGTACTGACGGATTTGTGCTGAGATGAGATAGAGACATCAGCAAGTTTATCGCCCGAATGCTCTGTTGCCATCATCCGACGTAGTAGTATGATCTGCGCCGTGCGCAATACAATTGAAGGTCTGTACCAAGCCAGACTCCAAGTTAGGCTTTGCTGTATGGTAAATGGCCAATACTCAAAGAGCCTGGGAAAGATTCTTGGGAAGTTCGAGGCTGGATTAGACCTTGGGCATTGGGCGAAGACGCCAGATGATGAAAATCAGTATGGTGTAACGACGATGATTTTTGCGGAGTTCAGGGTGCGATCGATGAAGGGTCGGCCTCAAGAAGTTTGCGCAGAGGCAAGCTCTCTTAAAATGCCCCTACACGCATAAAATATCTCGATGGAATGTCCTGGCGTGCGCGTCGCTCGCGATGTGTTGGTTTTGCTTGGTGAAACCGAAGTAAGTAGGGTATGGTCAGAGGCCAGTCAGTACTACTCATGAGGCAGAAGGTGAGTTGGTGTTCTAAGCTGCAGTCACCTGGTTTTGGTTTAGCGTCATTTATTCCGAAGACGATCATTGATGAGCTGGGGCACTGAAAGCGCCGTTAGTGGGGCTCGGCTGTCCAAAAAATGCGAAGCTGCCAAGTGTGGTCAGGTGCCCGAGCCCGTTTAATGTGTGCAAGCAACTAGAGGCAATGTTCATGATCTTGTCAGGGAGGTCAACGATATCCAGGTAGTTCGCGTTTGTGTGCAACTCTAAAGCCGCACCAGCTTTCTCTTGCTCATAGTCTTCGGGCGGAAAACGGTTGCGAATGCCATCAAGCCCTCCGTTACAGGATAATTGACATGTTCACATGCTGCCCCTGGTCATGCTGCGAATCAGCTTAACATATATTATGTCATCTCAAAGCTCTTCTATTTTATCACGAGCGACGGCAATCATATCAATCGCACCAGAACAAGAGCCTGACCATATAGGGCCTCAAAGCCGTGATAGGCAAACGTCGGTCACGATGGGAAAGGACACCTCATCAGCCCAACTTACTGGCGACGTGGAAAGGCATATATGCTAAAACGTCTCTGTGCCAGATATGGACGCACAAGCTTAATGCAATGTATTCATTTGCCTTCGGACAATTACAAATGGAGCAATCCTAGTGGGGTGCCAGGAGCAGTGCCATCTAGAGTCTATTTACACAGTTCTTAAGGTGTTAACTCGATGAAATGCGGTCGCCAAGCCTCTGACAGCGTAGATTAGTGAGCGTTGTTCTTGTGATGGCCTGTATATGATAAGAGGACCGCAGTTAGTGATTGGTTAATTCTCAACTTTAAAATATGCATGCAGCGGAAACTTACGAAGGTGGAAGTAGTAATTTTGAGCATAGCCAATGCCAATCAATAGAGCCAAGACGTGAATAATAGCTGTGCTTCTTGTCAATGACGGATCGGCGGGGTTTTGTCAAGATCTTGAGGAACCTACGTTGCACGGAAGTCTTCTTGCCAAAGTACTTTGCCTGATATCGACCAAGGAGACCTTTGGCCTTGGCCTCGGGGACTGCGCCTCGAGGTAGTTTCTCATAAAAGCTGACAACACGTTGCATACGGAGGGCGTCAGGGGCGCCGCCAATTGCCTGAAAGAATTCTAACATCAGCTTCGATCGCTCTGGCGGCCTGACGTAGTCCAATGCTATCCGCGTACGGAACCAACGTATCCGAGAGTCACGCTGATATTCATTCCGAGTCGCACGAGCTGTCGTCGTCGTCTTTTGTAGTGATAGAATTGTGGTTTTCATGTATTCATACCTTAGGAGAAGCAACCTGCAAGCTCGAATATTAGCACGGGGGATCGAAAATGCGGCTAGTGAATCAATCCCGTACGACACGTACCTTGGGAGGGATGAGCGTCGAAAGCGCTCGGCGAGTTACGAAGCTCATGATGACGAGATTAAGAAGTGGAAGCCGTGGATGTAAATGCAGGCCAATTTGGTGTGATGAGACAAGGGCTGGTGCTCAATTGTGAAGAACATCAAGTACGATGACAGGGCATCTTGGTCCAACCTTCTTTGCCGAAAAGCGCTCGCTTCGGCAAAACATCGGTCTGCCCCACCCAATCAGCGCTATGCTATCACAACCATGGCAGTCTACGTACGGAGTATTGAGTCTGAAATCCATCTTCGCTACTAACTCGCATTTGCCCTCCAATGCCACCAAATATGAACGCCATGGCATCGCTGCGATTGCGCAATGCAAGTAGGCTCCTTAAAGGCGTTGGGCCGAGTCGATTGAGCCCATCCCCTGCTCCGAGCCGGTTCCAGAGCTCACTCACGCCATCTAGCGCGCCAGTTGACACCACCAACCAACTCGATTATGACGTCCCTGCGGACAAAGCCACTTCGTATGAAGATGACTAGTGCTTCATCTACTTATGGAATATTTCTAATCTTTGTCTCCAGTACTTTTACTCCTGTACCGTGCCGCGTTCAAGATGGCAGCGAAGATATCCTTCCAGCTGCCGTGCTGTCAGGTGCCCCTATGGAGCTGCAGGCTCGAACTGTTCGGTATGCTGCATTCATTCGGATGACACCCTCGTTAGGCTAATATCGATTGCAGAATTTACAAAGAGGCCAAGCCTGCAACACAGTCCGGAGATTTCAGAACGGAGCGCTGGCGTCTGGATTGGGATATTCTCCCTAAGGGTCACCGCTGGGAGAATCCTTTGATGGGTTGGCAGTCGTCCGGGGACTTCATGCAGGGTACGCACGTCAATTTCAAGAGCAAGGAGGATGCAATTCACTTCGCCGAGAAACAAGGATACGAATACTTTGTCCAAGAACCCAACTCCCGCAAATTTACACCAAAGGCCTACGCAAATAACTTCCTTTACTCGCCGAAGAAGTTGAAACATATTCGTACGAAATAAGAGCCAAGTTAGCCCTGGCGGAATCAGGCGATGTACACATGAGCAGTTAGAGTATCAAGCTTGCTTTTTCCCCGTTAATTGATTCCTAATCACGAGTCTCTCAAACTACGAATGCGCTCGTCACCCTAGGTCAAAGCAACCACGCACCTAGCAAGAGTTCCAGATTATAAATGTAACCTTAAAATATTAATAGGTAAAGCATAGTGTCATCATGAACAAAAGAACGTGGGATGCTTGAAGAATTATGTATATTGTAACGAGTATTAGACGACCCTTCATGACTTGCGTCGATTGGCAGATGCCATTCCCAGCCTGTAATCCAAAACTCCGTCATTATCATAGAAGCCCATTCGCTATACGCAGTGTAATCGCTATACGCAGTGAATGAATCCTTCCCTGTGTAAAAAACCGTATCAAGACATTAAACGTATTCATACACGCATTGCTTAAAAGTCTGGATTAAATTGCCCGCAACTTCCCAGAAAGCCGAAAAGGCGCGAGAACAAAAACAACACAGTGGTAGCATACATGCCATCTACCACCGAAGCCTATGACTTGGACGACAGTGAGAATTAGCTGGTTACCATGGGTTCATGCCCATTGCCGATGTGGGACTGTTGGCAATCGTGGTGGCCCTGCTCTTCCCCTCGAAGGCCGATGTCAAGTCGATCTGGTAGACTGATTCCCTTGTCCCGCGCAGTGTTTTCTGCCCAAGCTCGCATTTTGACGAGCTGGCGAATGGCTGCGGCGCGTCGAGCTGACTGCTTCTCCAAAATGGCTTTATTCACACTATCAGCAGCAGTTCGACGAAGTTCGGGGTCGAGAAGTGACGCAAGTTGGGGCTCTAAGCTATCCGGGGGGAAGAGTAACAACGCCATGGTCCTTTCCAAATCCTCAAGAAATTTGGGGTTGGTCGGGGCACGAGGACCAAGTTGTTCCGTAGCAAATTTCAGAGCTGGGCCAATGTCGCCGCCAGCGGAATTACATGAACGGATGAGCTCCACTAGTTGCAAACGCAAGAGCGAAAAGTGCAATGCTTTATCATCATCTAGGATCTGTGTGATACGGTCAGCGTGGTGCCGCTAAGAAGAGCGCAGAGATCATGAAAAATCATAGACAAAACCCATCATATGCTAGTGGTTGTTTTTCATCACTGGCTAGAATATAGCCATATGCGTGGTGCATGTATTAACTCGTATTATAATCATTTGTGCTTTGGGGGGGAGGAGAGAAGAAAGACGGAGCAAAATAAGTCTCACCTCTGGGTCAAGCTCATTCAAAGCTTCAATTGCGGCCTGAATACTGCCACTGTGTATGTGGTTCTGAATTTCTTGTCTCGCCCGAATAGATGCATTGTCTTGGTGCGGCTGTAGATTCGCCTCCTTGGAGAATTTTGCCGCCGCATTTGGATATCCTTCCATCGTCAAATAATCCAAGATTAAGGCATTAATGTCGCTGTTACGATCGTCAGTTTGACAATGTTTGGAGGAAGAAGACAGTAGTGTGTCTGGGCCTTTGGGGGTTGCCATAGTAGTCAAATTGACGATCAGAAGTTGAAGAAAATATTGGTTCTCCGCACGGTTTGGCTAGGAGAGATTCCCATTTATATTTTGTTCATCATTGGGTATTGTGTGATTTCGGGGGTTTTTTTTTTCGATGACAGGATTGACCCTACCTCTTTGGTGACTTGACATCACCAACACGCTTCTCAAACGGGTTCCTGCAAGGGGTTGCAGTTGAAGATGTAGAAGCCTAGTAATTCTCAACATTAGAACATTTCATTTACCTCACCATATCGCTAGAGAGGAATCCATACCATGATTCGTTAGACTTCCTTTCCTGGTCAATGAGCAAATCGCGAGTTAGACAACCTGCATATGGACTCCCAGGTGCGTGGACGACCGTAGGGGAAGTCGGAAACAACACGTTTCAGCGCATTGAAGGCGAGAGACACGTCAACCCCAACGCCAATGGTTTGCGGCTGCCGCCAATACGCCAAGCTGGTCCTTTGTGGTGGGCTTGTGAAGGCAGCTCGTGTGTTGGTAAGCGACAACGTCAGGTGTAGGAAGGAAGACGACAGGAGGGGATGGGTTGGGAGAAGATTCTGATCTGGCCAAGGTTGGAATGCTCCGCTCGGGTCAGTCAGCTGGCAGCTGGGTATTTAAGTACGTTGGACCAGACGACGATTGCAGTGCTCGGCTAGTAAGGGCTGACCCACTACAGCTTCAATCAGACACACACCGACCAGACTTAAGAGCAGTTGACCTCATTGGCCCCATACCCTACGGTCCTCTGTCGAACTTACAACAATCTGTGGAAGATAGTTGTCTGTTGTCAAGTATACATTATACACAAGTTGGCTGCAGTATGTTAGTATGTCTCGGGTGATACCAATGTACCTCTCGGCTGGCAATTCATAGCGAGATCAATCAGCTTTTGCCTCTGTGAGCTTGTCCTTTTGCGTCGCAAATTCTATGTTCTCGGGCGCTATTAGAGTCAATTTGATTATGCAGCCCGGTCCTTGCTTCCAACTGTTAATCCTCCGAGTGGGTATCATAAATGAAGCCCATCGCCGTGCCACTGCTGTGGACGTCTATATGTACTTATGTACTAGTACTATCAACTGGGGGCTAATGAGAGCATTGGCGCAGATGGTAGCAAGAAAATGCATTGGTAGATGGCGCACACCTACACCTGATCTTGGCCAAGGGAGTTACCGGCTTGACTAAACGAATTGCTGACGCCTGATCCGGGTGCCTCAAGCTTGAAGTAGCTAATCGGCTACGTCACATAGTCGGCCGAAAACCTGCTCGGCTAATTTTGATTCTACATTGTAATTCTGTTCTGGTGCCCTAGGACGTTCAGCAAGAACACCCAGCCTGGAGCTGAACATTCATACATGGGAGGTGACATCTGGACCGCATAGCCTGTTAATTAGCAGACCCACGTCTCCCCCACCTCAAAACCAGTTTGAGAATCCTTCGATTCAAATACCTTCAACAACAGGGTACTGCGATATCAGGAGGACGGGCCGTTCTCTGCCTTTCGACTATAGACCAGTTTGCTACTTCAAAGTGGCCGCACTGAGACCCGGTTTCCCCTTTTCTTTTGTGAAACAAAGGGTAGGAGAGCGACTAGAGCCACTCGAACTGTGTTGAACACAGACAATTGGATGCCGATCACCTGCTTTTACCGGTAGAGACACGGGATTTGACAGTTCTTCCTTTGGTCGAGGAAGAAATGTTGGAACTTGAAAGTCATGTCACCATCCAGAAACGCGCCTACTACTCCCCTCCCTGGGCAGACGTCAGCATCATTGCGGTGGCTGGAAGCTCAGGCTCCGGGAAGTCCACATTATCTCAGGCTATTGTGAAGAAACTCAACTTGCCTTGGGTCGTGATTTTGTCTATGGTGAGACATGGCTACCGACAGTACTGGAAACTCGTTTTGGAGCCGCGGTCCATGACTGACAAACTCTTAGGACTCATTTTACAAGACACTCACCCCCGAACAATCCAAGTTGGCGTTTGCCAATGAATACGATTTTGATTCACCAGATGTCTGTCTCTCCGATACAAAGCGCCTTACATCCGCACAGACTAATACTGCTATATGCTATGGCTCATAGGCTATTGACTTTGATATACTGGTTGACCGCCTGCGTGACTTAAAAGCTGGGTAAAGGAGACTTGGCCTAATATCTGTTGTAGCACGCACTAAAAACTGTACTGTAGCTAACAAAAATGATAGAAAACGAGCTGAGATACCTGTGTACTCGTTCCAAAAACACCAGAGACTTCCTCAAACTACGTCAATTTACTCCCCACATGTGCTAATTCTAGAAGGCATTTTTGCTTTGTATGATCCGCGAGTGGTCGAATTGTTAGATATGGGTGTTGGTTGAGTCCCTGTCTGTTGCTCCGCCATCGTTCTAACTACAGTACAGATTTACTGTGAAGCTGACGCGGATACATGCTTGTCGAGACGAAGTGCGTTCTTACCAGAGCGTCTGTGTCCCTTAAAATCCCCACCCATGGCTTACCTGGCGCAATAGTTGTTCGCGATGTGCGAGAAAGAGGTAGAGATATCGAAGGATGCATTAAGCAGTGGTTCGGGTTTGTCAAACCAAATTTTGAAAAAGTAAGCCCAAACATAGTGAGCATGCGCGGGACCAATATTGTAGAAGAGTTTTGCTGACAGTTGGCTTCACATTTGAGCAGTATGTTGAGCCTCAGCGCAAAGTGGCCGATTTAATCGTTCCGCGGGGTATCGAAAACCGAGTCGCTTTAGGTATGGCCGTCAACAAAGTAGTTTATCTTTGCTTACTCTACTTATGCCAGCTGCAGATATGATGGTTCAATTCATCGAGAAGAAACTATTCGAAAAATCCACCCACCACCGCGAGGCCCTTTCCAGACTTGAGGCTACTTGCAAAGAGCAACCCCTTTCAGATCGCGTTGTTGTCCTGGATGATACACCGCAACTGAAATTCATGAATACAATCTTACAAGATATTGACACCTCAGCGGAGGACTTCATCTTCTACTTTGATCGGTTGGCGGCACTCATTATCGAACAGTACATCACGCAGGCCAAGTCAAGTAAACACGGGTTCATCCCGCTAACAAAGAGTACAGGGCTTTAAATAATGTGCAATTCGTATCTCTGGCAATAGAGACTCCACAAGGCCATAAATACCAAGGACTGAAGCCCAAGGGCGAAGTCAGCGCAGTAATTGTGCTCAGAGGCGGGTCGGCATTTGAATCGGCGTTGCGGAAAACGATCCCTGACTGCCGAACAGGGCGGCTATTGATTCAGTCAGACTTCTCCACAGGCGAGCCGGAACTCCATTATCTACGCATCCCAGAAGATATCCATGAACATGAAAGCGTTCTGTTGCTGGATACGCAAATGGCTAGTGGAGGTGCGGCGCTAATGGCTGTCCAAGTACTGGTAGATCATGGAGTCTCCTTGGAAAGAATAGTTCTGGCAACCTATTCTGCCGGGCGCGTGGGACTCCACAGGCTTATGACGGTGTTCCCAGAGATCACTGTCGTGGTATGCAATATACTTCGACACCAGGAGCAACGCTGGGTAGAGAAGCGGTACTTTAGGTGCTGAACCAGAGGACCTGTGCGATATCAGAAAGAGCCTTGTCCCGGCGGTTGGAAATAGGATACTCTGTTGTCCTTGGTTACTGGGAGCATTTAGTATATACTCAGGAAACGTATTATCTGTCTGGCTGGATAAATTTACATCGTTTATTGCATGACGAGTGTGTGAGGATTTCGTGGACATGAAGAGGAAGAAGGAAACAAGACATGAACTGCTTACTAAGTAAGTACACACCTACTACTAAGCACTTACTACCTGGGTACCTGGGTACTTGAGGTAGGCTGGTATCAAATTCAGGGCCGCACGCACTGATGATTTCCAAGCCTTACTTGTTTCTATTCGACTCGCCTGCGCCTTCTAGACTGAACGGCAGAGGAGAACCCATAGAAACAAGCTTGAGAAGTAAATAAAAACAAAGCCTGTTTACAGAGTTCGGATATGGCGTAAAGGGGGAAGCTGCAGCACGTGTAAGACTTGACGCATTGAAATACGAGGGAATTCACTGTCTTGCCCCGCGACAATAACAGGGATCCAATCATCTCCAACGTCTTGCCGTATCATTGCTTGCACGGAACTGTCGGGACAGTCAGTGAGGGAGACGTCGGTCTTTCGTGAACCAAGATTGGCGGAGTGGCTAGCAGGTGGGACCCCTGAACATTTAGCGACTGAGCGCTGTGCAGGTTGCATTTTGTTCCTAGCAAATTTATGTATGTATGACGCCAATCCCTCCCAGTGCCTTCATCTTTATGTCTCGACCTTGGAACGTCGGCCGCGACCCTCTTCCAAGCTTCTGCATATCCTTGACTTCTACCTCACACATCCTGCTTTTTTTCACCCCCTCCAGATCCAATTGGCCTTTACATAGCCTGTGAAGTTATTTAATCCTTGGTTATGTTGCATTAGTCTGCGGGTTCCATGACTTGTCCGCTTGCCGCTAGCATCCAACAAGCAACATGCGAGCGCGCATTCTCACACAAACCGCTACCGGATTGGTACGCCCTGCCAGAACCCAGCAATCGAATCACTCTGTTGTATTTCGACGGAAACACTTTATAGCAACACTGTCTCGCGGCTCTCCATCCCACGCTCGAACCCGCATCAATGCTGGGTTCCAGCCCAAAGTCCTGGCTTCTATTCGTCACAACTTGAACGCATCCGTTCACTGCCGCTCTTTGTCCGGAAAGCCTCTTCCCCAGGTTAATTCTTGGGTACTCAATTTCTGCTACCGGGCCGGTGCCTGGCTTGGAATATCTATAACAGTACTTGGGATTGGCGTGATTGCCTTCTTCCTCTATGATGCGACCACTTACAAACACGAAAGGGAGCAGAGCGACATCAATATTTCGCAACTGGCTCTGCAGCCCCGACGAGGCGGGCCAAACAATCTCCCAATTGCCGAGGTGTTCATCGATGACGACGATTGCGAAGAAAAAAAGCGAATCAAAGATAAGCCTAGGCTCGTCGTGCTCGGTGGGGGCTGGGGTGGTGTTGCTCTCCTAAAAAGCCTAAACCCTGACGACTATCATGTTACAGTGATCTCGCCCACCAACTATTTTCTCTTTACGCCGATGCTTCCTTCAGCTACTGTGGGAACCTTGGAGTTTCGATCTCTTGTTGAGCCCATTCGCCGAGTTTTGAGCCGAGTTCATGGCCACTTCATTCGAGCCAAAGCAGAAGACGTCCATTTTTCTGATAAGTTGGTTGAGGTGTCTCAGCTGGACAGCCGTGGGAAAGAGGTACGATTTTATGTACCGTATGATAAGTTGGTAATTGCTGTTGGTTCTGTCACAAACCCCCACGGTGTCAAGGGCCTTGATAATGCCTTCTTTCTCAAGGACATCAACGATGCAAGGAAAATACGCAACCAGGTGATCCGCAATATTGAGGTTGCTTGCTTGCCGACGACGTCGGATGAAGAACGCAAGCGGCTTCTTTCTTTTGTTGTGAGTGGCGGTGGACCTACGGGCGTCGAATTCGCTGCGGAAATGTACGATCTTTTGAATGAAGATCTTACCAGGCACTTTCCCCGGTTGCTCCGAAATGAAATTTCCGTTCATCTCATTCAAAGTCGAAGCCATATTCTTAACACCTATGACGAGACTGTCTCCAAATATGCCGAAGATCGATTTGCGCGAGATCAGGTCGACGTTCTCACAAACTCACGAGTGAAGGAAGTTTGCCCAGACAAGATCGTTTTCACGCAAAAGCAAGAAGACGGCAGTCTCGTTACTAAAGAGCTTCCGGCAGGCTTTGTGCTTTGGTCCACTGGCGTGTCCCCAACCGCACTTTGCAAGAAATTGGCTCATAAGCTAGGGAATGTCCAGACCAATCGTCATGCGCTGGAGACCGACACACACCTCAGGCTTAATGGAACACCATTAGGTGATGTCTATGCGATTGGAGACTGCTCTACTGTTCAGAACAATATTGCGGATCACATTATAACCTTTCTCCGCACTCTTGCGTGGAAGCACGGCAAAGATCCCGAAACGCTTCAGCTACACTTCAAGGATTGGCGTCAGGTCGCGCACGACGTGAAAAAGCGCTTTCCCCAGTCCGTGAACCACCTCAAACGACTAGACAAGCTTTTTGCCGAGTTCGATAAAGATCAGTCTGGAACGTTGGATTTCGGGGAGCTGAGGGAACTCCTAAACCAGATTGATAGCAAGTTGACCTCACTGCCTGCGACTGCCCAAAGAGCCCACCAACAAGGCTACTACCTTGCTCAGAAGTTCAACAAACTTGCACACTTGTCGGAAGGGTTATCAGCCAATGATATTCGAGATGGAGACCTTGATGCTGCAGCCTACAAAGCGTTTGAGTATCACCACTTAGGGAGCTTAGCATATATTGGAAACTCTGCTGTGTTTGATCTGGGTGAAGGCTGGAACGTGGCAGGCGGTCTTTGGGCTGTTTATGCATGGCGATCTGTCTATTTTGCGCAAAGTGTGAGCTTCCGTACGCGCTGCTTGCTGGCCATGGACTGGGCCAAGCGTGGACTATTTGGACGAGGTGAGTAACCCCCAAGACGGCGAAGTAATTGATGAAAAACGTGATGTGAAGATGTTTGATCCCATGCTAACTTGTAACTAGACCTGATGAGTTTCTAATAGATATTCTTGTTGCCGCTTGCCTGCTAGCTTTATTGATATATTTAAATATTCATAGATCATGTTCAAGAGGAGCCTGTTCACATCAGTGGTGGAGGGTCCTTTTTCTGGAGGATAGATGATATTTTCCCCGTCATATATTGCATAGGAACATGTGACATTATTTCTGACCAAAAGTTCCCGTCTTGTGTGCGCAACGCAGTGTTCTGGCCAAGTATGAATGGCTCACAGGACAAAATCTTTGTGGGTCCATTTTTCTGTGACTTTTCTCTTAGCTTGTTTCTTGAACGGAATGTGTCTTCTGCTCTCGATCTTTCCTCGAACGAGCATGCTTCGATATCGATCTTTGAGGAGATTCCCTTCGGGCTTCAATCGTCGTAGGGACTCTTCCAACTCATCTGGCAAGACTAGCTCAAGGTCCTTCTCTGCTAACTTGTACTTTCCGAGCTGCCGTCTCCTGAGTTTTTCATCATCAACCTCGTTGTCGGTATCGGAATCCTCTACTGTTAGGAGAGCTTTGCTCTGCTCTCGGTCCCGAACTTCATCTGCGATCTCTTTGATTCGCTGTTCTTGCGTCCTCCTCTGTTTCATCGCAGCCTTGTGCCTGGCGAGTCTTTCTTCCTCTTTTCGACGTTTTATGCGATTCCTCTGGGCTTGGGTCTTGCGTTGCGGTCGCTTGGTACTCGGCCTTTCGTCCTCAACACCACTCTGGAATCCTTCCCACTCTGAGTCCTCCTCCCATTCGGACATGTTTGCACGCTCTTCAGCAGCCTCAGCCTCAGCGGCAGAGCGGGCTGCCGCTTCTTGCTTGCGTCTTTCTACCTGTTCGGCCTCGACTCTTTTCTGCTCGGCATCCAAAGCCCTGGCGCTCTCCTCTGAGAGTCGGGCTTCATAGTCTGTGGACAAAGGATTGTAGCTGTATCCTCCTGTGGGTTTTTGCACGGCTGAGATCGCCTTACCACTTGCAGCCAAAGAAATAGGCTTTTGTTTCAGAGACTTGGGTTGCTTGACGGGCTCTGAAGACGACAGGTAATCATCAACGGCTTCATTCATTGTGATCGGCGTCGCTCCCCACATGTCATATGTTGCATCTGACGTCTGAACAGCGATTCCATGGTGGCCATCCGCGATCCGTTTTAGATGCTGCAGTTCCTTGTGAGGAACCCAATCGGTTCTTTGTCGCTTGACAGTGAGGGTCTTATCGCTTGTTTTCTCTCCAGGTCGCTTACGCAAAGAAACGGCCGGTACGGCTGACCGCTGAGCGAGGATTTCGTCGGCCTTGAGACCCTTTTTTATGTGCTTGGGAAATTTTTTGGAGATTTTAGAGTCACCCTTCAAATCGATCGTGAAGAGTTCCGAGGAGCTTTTCTCGCGAATAACGCCACTGTGAGCGAAGAGTCAGCATGGGAAAGCACGAAATCAGTCCTGGTGATAAGTACCCGCGAATAATCTCTTCATTCAGTTCTTCCAGGCCATGTTCGACCTCCGTGACATCAATGTTCTTCCGCCATGCCTTTTTGCCCTTTCTCGATGGTTGACTGAACTGCTTCGGAGCTTCTCCAGAGCCCATGGCTTGAGGCTTAACTGGCATGACGATATGTCCTGTAATAACGGCCTCTTTAGTACGTGGAGTAATCCGATTCAATAAAATTCCAAAATTTGGTTACAATGTGATGCTGAAAGGGCCAGACAGTTTTCTCCCAGATGGTGGGTTGAATTGGCTGGTACAATATTTTTTTTTATGGGGCCCTACTATCGCACCCAGCCACTTGCGCTGTTTGGCTCTTGCACCGACCATGTGGCAGCCGCCTCTGACCCCCGTTTTCCACAGTCCCGGCCTGACGTTCCTCACCGCACGTGCGCCTTCGGCCAAGCAGAGCCCCTTCCACTATACATAATAACAACAACAGCAGCAACAACAGGCTCTCGGCTCCCATAAGCCAAAGTTGAAGCTACGAAAGCGCTCCACGCCGCAACCTTTGGTGCAAGGTTTTGTGGCCGTTCGCGAATCCGCCTGGGGCTTTGCAGTTTTACGCAATCTGCTCTCCTCACCTGCACTTCGAACGGTGCACATACCGTTGCTAGGTATCGAATTTAATCTTGATATTACCGACTAATCTGGCTGACGCTCGACCATCCCGCCATTCTTTGCTCCATCGCTGCCGTCCTACCTCTCGCATTTTAATCGCTTCGAAGTACTGAGACAGCCGTGAACGATATTAAATATGGCGCAGGCTGGAGGGTCTTACAACAATCCCTTGAAGAAATTCAAGTATGTGTGCCATATCCTTGTGTTGTAATTATCTGATACTGACATGCTCAGGCTGGTGTTCCTGGGGGAGCAGAGTGGCAAGATACCCCCAACCCAATCCCGGGAATGTCAATGGAACTAATACCATCTTATGCAGTCGGGAAAACCTCTCTCATCACACGGTTTATGTACGATTCGTTTGATAACATGTATCAAGCGACCATCGGCATCGACTTTCTGTCTAAGGTCAGTGCCCCGCTACCTGCCAAAATGTTCCAAACCTAACCACAGACAGACCATGTATCTCGAAGACCGGACGGTGCGGCTACAACTCTGGGATACGGCAGGACAGGAGAGATTTCGAAGTTTGATTCCATCATACATCCGAGATTCAAGCGTGGCCGTGGTTGTCTATGACATCTCAAGTACGAAGCCTCCAGTCCTCAAAGTGACGCCATTTTACTGACACACGCTCATCAGACGCAAAATCATTTCAAAACACGAAAAAATGGATTGACGATGTTCGGGCGGAACGAGGCAACGATGTCATTATTGTGCTGGTTGGCAATAAGACTGATTTGAACGAGAAGCGTGAAGTCACTACACAGCAAGGGGAGGATGAAGCTAAAAAGAACAATCTGATGTTTATGGAAACAAGTGCGAAGCTAGGCCACAACGTCAAAAATCTATTCAAACGGATAGCGCAAGCGTTGCCTGGTATGGAGGGAGCTGATGCTGCAGCTCAAGCATCAAGTCAGAGTAAGTGTAGCTCGCTAAGTTGCCCGCTCTAGCATCGAGCTTACTAATGTAATCTTATCTATAGTGATTGATGTTAAAACAAATACATCACAGCCTACTCAAGAGGGATGCTCGTGTTAACCGTCCATCGCGGGCCCGAAGTTGCGGGGATTATCCCCTATTGATTGTATACCCGCTAGCATCACCACTGAACCACACTAAGATTTCTCCCCAGTGTGCACATGGATTGTGAATATAGCTTGTATAATGCAACAAAAACCACGAGCCTCCGATCCGCTACCTTAACATATTAATAGGTCACTCTGCTTTGGAACAGCAGGCTCGTGACTTTGTTGTAGTACTAATAGAATATGGTTCAAACATGTCTTCTTCGCGAACATGGACAGCAGCTCAGGTTGTATCTATGTAAATCTATGTAGGACCTGTGAGTGTTTATGTTATTTAGTTTTATTCTGTAGATCTGCTTATGCTCATGTATAATCTCAATATGAGTGCGAGCCATGTTATCTGCCACTAGGTGTCGAGTCACGTGTTCATTGAGTCAACCCCTTTAAATATCAACCGGATTACATCACTTGGCTATCCAACCACGACTTGGCAGAGCGGGCTGCGGAGAGTGGGGACATGCAGCCCCTGGTAGTATTTCGACCTCTCATCAATTTTACATGACGCCTCTTCCGTTGTTGGCTTCAAATCAACCATCGCTGTTCGCTCGAATTCATCTCGGTGTGTCTCGTTGGCACAGCGCTTGCTGGAGCGCATCCAGGGAATCATGTCGAAGTTTACAAGACTATATCTAAGGGCTCCGCGACCACAGGTAAGGCAAGCGAGCGCTCTTGATATTCGAAGCTGGGAAACGCTAATGAGTTTCGCGTAGAATTTATTTGGCCTAGTGAGCCTTCAGACTGGAACGGAACTTATCTCATTGGCGCTGGTTTTCAACAAGGTCTCGGGGGTTTATGGACTGTTGGCGATTTTGACGGGTTACCAGCTATCCTTACTCCAACTGTCGACGTATGTGTACTCGATCGGTGTCCTGGGACTGCTCGTGTATCTTATTCCCCATATCCGACGACAAAGCCCTTTCGAATGCTTGGCATTAGCATGGTTATACATTCTCGACACGACGATAAACGGAGCTTATACGGCCGCGTTTGGGCTTGACTGGTATTTTGCGAACACTACAAACAATGGATCGGATTCGGCATCTATATCTCTCCCAGGCATTGTTGCACAAGGGTTTGACGGCCTTCGGCGAGAGCGCGCTGTTCACGGCAAGGCTGTACCTCAGGAGACGGCTACTAGCATGGTATTGATTGTGGGACTTACCCTCATTCGAGTATACTTCAGCCTTGTGGTGATGGCATTTGCACGCCAAGTATTGCAAAAATACATGCAATTGATGATCCTTGAAGGACCCGGTGTGGATGAGAACGAAGGACCCTTCGCTGCTGACCTTCCAGACGGTGACGGCCGAAAAGGACGACTGGGCAGACTCATGGTGTCTTTGGGCAAGCGGTACTGGTTGGATATTCCGGGTTCTGAGAACTGGGAGAGGAGTGTACACGGAAAACCGCATACTAGTAGCGGTACTCTAGCGGGGCAAGTGTAAGAAATGATGGTTGAAACGATTTGCTCTCTGCATCAATTCAGGGCCAGGGGGTGATGACGCGATCTGAACTCCACGCATCACAATCAGCAGGGTAGAGGTAGAAGAGTCGGGGCGTGGGAGTGCGCTAGGTACCTAGGTAGTATGTACATGATGCAGCGGAAAATACCCACATTAGTAGATTCCTACGGCATATTATAGCACAGGAGTCTGCATTGTCTTTGCGATTAGTGTTGATGTAGTGCACGGCAATGACAACGTATATCATTTATCCATTATGATAATCATGCCCAACACTTGACATGGCAGACCGGGGCAATATGGATTTGCCTTAGGGCCGCCTCCTCACCGCTCACCGCGGAGTGACACGATCAATTTCCAAAATTTATGTATCGTTCTTTCCCCGGTGAGGCATTCGCTCTTAACAGGGCCCAGTGATACAAACCTTGCGGGTAGCGTTTATCTTATCGTGGAACTGGAACTGGAACTCACAGGCATGGGCAATTGCTGCACGTGAATGCACACAACTGTGGGAAAAACAAGTCCAAGACAGAGAAAGCAGCAGTGACTACTTAAAACTATAATATCGTATGGCAGCCTTGCAGAAGCAACGAGCAGCAACAACAGTCATATAGTACTTCTAAAAATGGGGAGGTGGGAGCTTCCTATTTTTGTCGCTATCCACTGTACTCGAGAATACGAATAGTACTTTCTTAACATGACACTCGGAAATGTGCACGAGAACGGAGATTTCAGGAAACCGAATGATGTTGGTGAATGGCGTTCGTCGGTCGTCGGTCGTCGGCCTGTCGGCAGGGCGGAAGTCGGTTAGTCCTAGTAAGACCACTCCAGCGGATTGCGACATTCCTGTACGGTCTGGTGTTTAAGAGTCAAACGGAGAATGGCTCCTTGGAAAACTACACACTACATACTCCGTACATACTACTACTTGATTTGTCGTAGGTGGCCGGCGCCGATGGGCCATTGCCTGGACGTCGGGCCACCGCAAATCTGACACGAGAAATTTGTAATGTGCGATCTCGCAATCGCCCCCGGCGCATGCCTGGCAGCGCTAAACGATCACGCAATCCTGGGAAAAATGATTGCTTTGCGGGGAATGGAGCCACAGGACGGGTACAAGGCGAGTTTGAGTGCTAGCCAGCCAGTCAGGCACACCAGCCATGTGTGAAGAGACGCAGTATCCAATAAAGTAGCCAATGGCCGGCCGCTTGCAGTGGGAACATGTGAAGGGCTGCAGGGCCGCGGGGCCAATTTTTCTGGGTCTCGCCCGCCCTGGAGATGCTTGGTCGAGATTGATGGTACTCAGTCGTGCTGTGTGGTTTTGTATGGGTTTTGTATGATATTAGAGGACAAGACACATGTAACTAGTACTATCGGTAACTGGCCAAGTTCGGGCTTCGGAGGGAGCACTTTGGTTCGAGAGCACGCAGTGCCCAGGAAGACCCCAGTGCCTGGCCATGCTCCCGCCTGACTCTTAGTCTGGACTCTGAAGCATGGAGCCGCCTCCGAAGCCCAGTTCTCACGAAACTCTTATTTCTTCTGCCACCCGAGTCCACCATGTCTTTTCTCTTCAGGCAGAATCAAGACTCTGGAAAAGACAGGATGGATGCGTCTCACCGAATTCGCACGCCTGAAGAGGCTGGTGAGTGCCATACACCGAGATACATGCCCGGCCTTGCCTTCCCTGTGAAGATGCTGCCCCTTTTTTTTTTTTTTTTTTTTTTTTTGTTTTGCTTGACGTGCCATCTCCTCTTGTCCGCCAATTCGCGGCCTGGCCAGCCTGCTTTCAAAAGACAAACCAGTGAGAAACAGCGCTAATCAGACTTTCTCTCATGCGCAGTGGCCAGAGTTGCCTACCTCTCGAGCGATGTCATTGTGTCCGTCCAGCCTTCGTTGGCTACCGACTCGGCCTTCTCATCTCACCTCAAGCAATACGCCAGCCGCAACGACCGCGGGCTGGTCGCCTCTGGCCCAGATGCTGTACCAGATGTAAGATGAAGAGATGTACATGCCATTATGGCTCCCTGATGCATATAGCAAGCGCTCTAATAACCGTACCTAGGTGCAATCGATTCGTCACAATGTCGACCCGCTGCTCTCTGTGTATACGCCGGTCCGCGCAGGCAAGTTGGTATCCGTTACTGCGACGTCAACCATTTTATTACCTGCCGTCTCCCACCTCTATAAGCTGGCCAACTACCCCGTTGTCCTCCATGTATCGCTACAGCCGCAGCAACATGCAGACTACTCTTCCATCACAGCCATTCGAAACGCAGGCTGGACGTTTTTGCAGTCCGAAACTTTGCAAGAGGCCCAAGATATGGCTATGACCGCCCATGCGTTGGCTGTGCGCACGGGCAAGGCTGTCATTCACTTTTTTGCTCCAGAAACGTCTGCTGCCGACGAGCCCATAGCAATTGAGGACACGGCTGTCTTACGGCAAATTCTTGACATTGAAAGTGTCCGCCGCTTTCAAGCCGGCCGATCTTCCGCCGCGGGTATCTATGCAGACGATGGCCATGTTGCAGTCTCCTCAGATCACCCAGAAACCTTCATAAACGGCAATGGCACCAGGAATGCTCCCCTCCAGCCGCCTCCCAGCGCTGATGCCTCCAAAGCCACCTCAGCCGGCACTTCTATCAAGTCCAGCGAAGCGTCTACTCCCATCGCGCCTTCTTCTGTTGCAACCACGGTAGAGGCGGTGCCTCCTCAGGTTACCTCAGAAGACATTTACACTTGCGCCGCCCGCATCTGGTCCCAGATGAAGGCTGCACTGGGTAGAGGATATGCCGCGTTTGAATATACAGGCCCTCCTAACGCCGAAAACTGTTTGCTTGTATTCGGGTCGGACACAGGTTCCTTTGCAGAAACTGTGGATAATGCTAAGGCTGATGAGATATTTGCCAACATGGGCATATTGACCCCACGATTATATCGTCCATGGATTGGCTCGAAGCTTGTTGAGTCAGTTCCCAACACTGTAAAAAGGCTTGCTGTCCTAGAACAAATTCACAGAGCAACTACGAGATGGGGCCCTGTCTTGATTGATGTTCTTTCGTCGGTTAATCGTGGTCCCGGCGGCGTGCAGGTTATAGTTGGATACCAACTAGGATACATCGCCCCCGAAACAACGACGCAAGCCCTGAGAGGTATCGTTCAAAATCTCACCCTGGAAAAGCCTGTTCAGAACCTAGAGGTCGGGGTCAAGACGACATCAGAGCACCCAGGTGGACATGGTTTGGAAAAACCACAGCTCGAGAATGCCTATTCCAAGATCCTGGACCAAGTCTTTGGAAGCCGGACATATATTTCCAATGCCTTGAAATCCAACAATGCAGGTGTTTCTGAGTCTATCTCAGCCAGCCCCGAGTTTGGGTTTGGGTCACTTTTGGCGCGAAAGGAATACCGAAGCAAGTTTATTTCCGAAGTCAAGGATGCAGCAAGTCATGGAACCTTTAAATCAGATGAACCAAAGAGTTGGCTGGCTCGATGGGCTATGCATGCAAATGATGGGGCCAAGGCTGTGGATATTGGTGAAGAAGTTGTAGCAAGATTAGAAGCTGACGGCTCAGCTCTCGCCCAGAAGCTTCTCACCAGAAGGGGTCTCTTCCGCAAGGAATCTCTATGGCTGATGGGCTCAGATGCATGGGCATATGACCTCGGAAACTCTGGAGTTCACCATGTCCTTGCATCTGGCGAAAATATCAATATGCTCATTATCGATTCTACTCCGTACTCGGAAAAGTCCGCTGTTGACTCCAATCGACGAAAGAAGGATATTGGCCTATATGCTATGAACTTTGGTAATGTTTATGTGGCATCAACCGCTGTGTATAGCTCATACACCCAGGTGCTACAGGCATTGCTCGAGGCCGACAAGTTCAATGGTCCTTCAGTTGTCCTAGCCTATCTCCCCTATTTTGGCGAATCTGATTCCCCACTAACTGTGCTTCAAGAATCGAAGAAAGCTGTAGATGTTGGTTATTGGCCTTTGTATCGATGGAACCCAGAAAACGAACTCAACAGCGAGCCAAATTTCTCCTTGGACTCGGAGGTGGTGAAGCAGGAATTGAAAACGTTCTTGGCTAGGGATAATCAACTCACCCAGCTCATGAAGAAAGAACCCAAATTTGCTGCGAGTTTGGCACAGGATTTTGGAACTGAGGTACGGGCCCAGCAAAAGAGAAAAGCTAAGGACGCATACAATCAATTACTGGAAGGCCTTCTTGGCGCACCGCTTACTATTCTCTTCGCTTCTGACAACGGGAATGCCGCCTCTGTGGCCAAGCGCCTCGGGAATCGAGGAAGGGCTCGCGGGTTGAAGACGGCGGTGCTGGCTATGGAGGATTATCCTCTTGAAGACCTTTCACAGGAGGAGAACATTGTTTTTATCACATCCACTGCTGGTCAAGGAGAGTTCCCTCAAAATGGCTTACCATTCTGGGACGGCATCAAAGACAACACCGATTTGGATCTTGCCACTGTGAATTTTTCTGTGTTTGGTCTTGGTGACAGTCACTACTGGCCTCGAAAAGAAGACAAAATTTACTACAACAAGCCTGCGAAGGATCTCGATCGCGTTCTGAGTAATCTTGGAGGCAAGCGCTTCGTTGGTGTTGGCCTAGGCGATGACCAAGACCCTGATGGTTTTCAAACTGGGTACCAAGAATGGGAACCCAAACTTTGGCAAGCATTAGGAGTAGATAACGTGGAGGGACTTCCAGAAGAGCCGCCGCCTATTACGAATGAGGACATCAAGATCGCGTCAAACTATTTGCGAGGCACAATTTTGGAAGGCCTTAAGGACACATCTACTGGTGCCATCTCTGCTTCTGACCAACAATTGACCAAGTTCCATGGTACTTATATGCAAGATGACAGAGATATCCGGGATGAAAGAAAGGCTCAGGGACTGGAACCGGCGTATTCTTTCATGATCCGATGCCGACTCCCTGGCGGAGTTGCGACGCCAAAACAATGGGTTCAGATGGACGATATCAGCACAAGTCTAGGAAATGAAACCATGAAACTGACCACGAGGCAAACCTTCCAGTTCCACGGTGTCGTCAAGGGCAAGCTCAAACCAGCAATGCAAGCTATTAACCGAGCCCTGATGACCACTATTGCTGCATGTGGTGACGTCAACAGAAACGTCATGTGCAGCTCGCTTCCTACCGAGTCTCGGTATCATAAGCAAGTGCATGCGTGCTCTCAGAAGATTAGTGACCACCTCCTTCCTTCCACCAGTGCATATCACGAAATTTGGCTCACAGATGACAATGACAAAAAGACGCAAATTGCTGGCGAGGCGGTTCAGGATTTTGAACCACTTTATGGTCCGACGTATCTTCCCCGAAAATTCAAAATTACCATTGCCATACCTCCTCATAACGATACTGATGTATATGCACATGATATCGGGTTGATTGCTATTAAAGGTGCGGATGGAAGCCTTGAGGGATTCAATGTTCTGGCGGGTGGTGGCATGGGAGCGACGCATAATAACAAAAAGACATACCCTCAAACTGGGCGCATGATGGGATTCTGCTCCGCAGACGAAGTTCACATTGCATGTGAGAAAATAATGCTGGTTCAGAGAGACCATGGCGATCGCAAAAACCGCAAGCACGCTCGGCTGAAGTATACAATTGACGACATGGGCGTCGATACTTTCCGTGGCAAAGTCGAGGAACTTTGGGGGAAGACTTTCGACAAGGAACGGAAATTTGAGTTTAAGAGCAACGTTGACACTTTTGGTTGGCAAAAGGATGAAACAGGCCTTAACCACTTTACATTCTTTATCGAAAACGGCCGAATTGAAAACACACCTGACTTCCAAATGAAGACAGGCCTGCGAGAGATTGCCAAGGTACACAAGGGAGAGTTTCGTCTGACAGGAAATCAGCATCTCATTCTCAGCAATGTAAAAGACGAGGACCTGCCTGCAATGAAATCGCTCATGAAGAAATTCAAGCTGGACAACGTTCAATTCTCCGGGCTCCGTCTCAGTTCGTCAGCTTGCGTTGCCTTCCCTACATGTGGACTTGCAATGGCCGAGTCGGAGCGATACCTGCCGGTTCTCATATCCAAACTGGAATCATGCCTAGAGGAAAGTGGATTGCGACAAGACTCCATCGTCATGCGAATGACAGGTTGCCCCAATGGTTGTGCCCGGCCTTGGTTGGCAGAGGTGGCATTCGTTGGCAAGGCTTATGGAGCATATAACATGTACCTTGGTGGTGGGTACCACGGGCAACGCCTGAATAAGCTGTATCGCTCTAGCATCAAGGAAGAAGAAATACTTTCCATTATGAAGTCCCTCCTGAAGCGGTATGCTGTGGAGCGGGAGGGGGGTGAAAAATTCGGCGACTTCTGTATTCGTGCTGGCATCATCAAGGCTACGACGGACGGACAGAATTTCCATGACAATGTGAGTCAATTGATCTACTACCCAGCCAGGCACACAATGCTTGGACATGCTGAAGACAGCAAGCAGCTACTGACTTGCGTTGATAGGTTGCGGAGGAAGAATCAGACGAGGAATGAGCATGCCCTGCGAAATATGCTCAATGAAGGGCAGGCACATTGTGTGCACTTGAGGGTCTGTCGTTGGCTTTCATTTTGGCGTCTTGGCTAGCTGAATTGTTTCTTGATATATTTAGAGGGTAATTGCAGATGCATTTGTCCAGTTGAATTTACCTAAGTTTTTCATACTGCTTGCAAACCAGGTGCACATCCACCACGGTATAGGAAAGTAGAACATGCCCACTGTCATGTCCATCTTATGACCAAGTGATGCCGAAAATGATGTCCGTTACCATTAACCCTCAAATTGATTACAAATGTACATATAAACACACCTAAGATCTTCCCGCTCGTATGGCCCATGCCGATTCCCCCGACAGTTGTGAAAACCATCCATTAAAGCATCTCATCGTACAAGACTACGTCATATCCTTTTCTCGCATAACAGGTATGATGTCTTCTGTGTGGCAAACAATTTCCACAGATAAAAAAAAACACACGAACAAAAACCCGGGCGGCAAAATGAAGCTTTGCATCGGAGCCGGTTCAACTCTTCAGGCTGCTTCCAACGCTGCTAACCTTCTCGCTAATTTTGCTTCCGAAGCCACCCATCCAGGTCGGAACCTTGACATTCATGCGTATCCTACCCTCCACGACAATGTTGATCACGTTGATAATGGCGAACGTTGTTGATCCTAGTGCTCGGAAAATAGCCAACGAAGCAACAGCCCACAAAATGAAGCGCAGGTAGAAATTGTCCCCGATTCCCTTATTGCTATAGATTTCGGAAACGGCCATTGCAAGTATACCGTTGGCAATCATCCAGGTAACAACCATGTACGTTCGTACACTCTTGTAGTAGTCCTCTTGCATCTGTGCCTCGCTGACAGGCGATGCAGGGACAGCAAGGCGATCACGGAGGTTTCGTAGTGCCTCATCATAGCCACTGTCGATATCAAGCTGTTCACTTGGCATTTCGAGTTCAACCGTTTCTCCTTTGCCAACAGCACCTCCAAGATCTGTCTTGATCACATTATCACCCTTAGTACCCCAAGTAACATCATGCGTGTTACAAAAGGCGTACACTTGCAAAGTGCAGATGTAGCTCGGCAGAAGTAGGAAGTATTGCAAGGACGACGTAAACATGTGCCACGGCTCCAAATAGAGGAATGACATCACAAAGTACAATCCAATTGTTGACGTCATTGACACAATGAGATTCGTGAAAACATTGTTGCCGATTGCAAAATCCTGACTTTTGCCCGTGAGTTGTCGAACCACAATGTAGATACAGGCGAAACTGGTATAGGTCATAATCACCCCATATATGATCATACTAGCTAGATAGAGCTTTTTGGCTCCTTGTGGTCTATTACCAAGGGAGAGAATGAATTGTGTTGCAATAAGCAGTACACATGTGTATCTCAGAATGGTAAAAATCACGCTGCCAATGTTGTGACCAAAGGGGTCGACTGTCTTGTCTGTAAGACCACCAGCAACAAAGTAGAAAGTAAGGTAGAAGTTCGCAAGTGAAAAGTACGTGAATAGGAGCTGTACAAACTGATACACGAATTCAATGTAAAGCAGAATCTTGCGTGCGATGGTATGATCCGTGGCTAGAATCTGACGAAATTGAACGAGGGAGTAAACAGCCGCAAAAAAAGCGCCGTTCAGCCAACGTCGTCGTTGAGAAATAAACTCTGGGACAGCATCTGAGGATTGTTAGTCTTGCCGCCTTCGTAGAGGATCACAAAGTTAGAGCATTTGAGTGAAACAAGACAAAGGACTTCAAGGCAACAAAGCCTCCCCTTGAAAGAAAGGGGAGGCACGGGAGCGAGGAGGATAAGACTAGAGAAAAGAAGAATAAAACGAGACAACTTACCGGGAACATCAGTCTCTCCTGTGCAGCTTTTCACATATTTGAGTACCCATCTCTCGCCTCGTTTAGCTACCAGCTCCCAGCACAGAATACGATCTTCAGCTAGGTACATGTTGGCTGTAAATACATCGGCATGCTGTCCATGAAGCGTTTCGCCTTTGAAGTACTGGCTAAGCGGCCCATGTCCAGTTTCATCATTCTGCAAGGCATGATATCGGTAGGCGCTAAGAGCGCCGGGAAGGACAGTGATGTAGCCGAACACAGATTCCAACGGCTTATCGAGGATATTTGATAGCTTATACTCGAAATTCTGTGAGGCAACCAAGGGGTTTAACAAATTGGATCCGAATCTTCCCTTCATGGCTTTAATTTCGCCACAGGCGCCTGCGACGTTTGAATCGGTGTCAAACGCTTTCCAAAGATGATAGAGAGAATTGCTTCCAGGCCGTGTTCCCACGTCGAGTAAAATGCAAACGTTGGGATTCAGTGCCTTTCCAAATGCGTTGAAAAACCAACGATGCGAGTTTAGTTTGCGAGAGTTCTTTTCTTTCAAGCAGAATATCAGCTGGCACGGAACGATGCCCTTTTCGGCACCCTTGAACTTCAGGTCAGCGTCCAGCGAGACCTGAGTCGTATACTCGTACACGTGAGCCTGGACAGCACGGTTGTTAACATAATTTTTTGCAATGCCATGTTGATAAACACCCATGGCAGCCAGGGCGTCAAGTGTTCGTGGGTGAATCTTTTCACGGCCATCCGAGATGATACACACAACGATTTTCTGCCATCCATTCTCACCCCACGTTCTTGAGCGAGACCGAGAACAAAAGTGTGAAATATTCTTCATCACAGCGTGCATTGTCCTGGTGAAGCAGATTTCGTCTTCGTTATACATGGTGATGCATATAAAGAGCTCTGTTTCTCGAGTGGTTCTGCCGATGGACTGTCGTAAATTGTATCCCCTGTCAACGAAGTCGTCTGGATCACACGTTACTGCTGTGTATCTCATGTGGGTAAACTCGACCTCGTTACGACGGGGAAGAAAGCTATACAAGATGGTGGGAATCTTGCACTCCAGGACCAATTCTCCGTTGATGAGCTGGACCTCCTTTTTGGACATTTGAGGGGCTCGCACGCCTCTCCGTTCCTGAGCACCGTCTGGGGCCGGGCCGTAGTGCTCGACCTTGGCGTAATCCTCTGCATCCTCGTTTAGTGTTTCTTGAGAACCTGACATGAAGGAGTCACGGTGGGTCGGGAGTGGACGAGAATCGCTGAGATCAGTCTCTGGGCCAAAGACATCGTCGCTACCGTCGAGAGGGATAGATACAGTTGCGTCGTCGGCAAAAGCTTGCGAATTGCGACCCGAGTTCGAGAAGAGCGGTGCCGGGGGTAAAGGGCGGCGCGGGCTTCCTCCATATCGCGACGACGGAGTTCCAGGCCTCGGGCTTCCATTGAGATCCGAAGGCTCGTAAGACACATTTGAAGGAGGCGGGCGTGAAAATTCGGACACTCTGGACGACGGGGTCCAAGGTCGATGAGGGGAACTAGTTTCCCTGTTCGCAAAAGGCACGTAACTTGAATCGGGAGGAGGCATGCTCGGGGTCTCATCTAGGACTGAGGCTGATCTAGAGTGTGACGAAACAACACTTGGTTGATATGATCGACGGGTTGTTCGCGGTCTAAGAGTCGCACGAGGTGAGCCATTTCTGCTTGGGTGCATTGTACCGTGGACCTGGCCAGTTTCTTGGAAGACGGCAAAGGTGCCAAATGGTCACAGATCTATCTCATCCAGCACAGCAGCTCGAGGCGATCGCTTGATCTCACAGGAACTGTTTGGGGCAGGCTAACGATGGACCGGGAGTGCTGCTGGATATATAGACAGCCGCAGGTCATGCCATACGCCGGGCGTAGCTAGATATAAGATAGGCTGTCTTGCTGGGGATATGGGAGTACGGAACAAGATTCGGGAGAGCAACAGTGGTGCAGTTGCAATGTTATCTAACGTGGTTGGAGAGGGAGAGCCTTGAGGCGGTGCAAATTGATGAAGGGAATTCCAAGGGCCCCAAGTCACAGCAGACGAAGTGGTGGCAGGCAACTACTTACGAGCTGTGGTCGAAGGGATCCTCGAAGGATGTCAATAGCCTAACGGCGGCAGCATTCTGGCCCGTAGGGGTATCATGCTCATCCTCGTAGCTGGGTAGTGTGTATTCTGGAGGCCGCGGCGGGGTGTCTGGACGATCCATTGTCGTGGATGTGGGCAAGAGCGGATTGAAAATGCCTTGTTTGGAATGCGGCTCTTGTTAGCAAGCCAAACAACAATGAGTGTGGGCACTTTGAGGTATGCGACTTCGGACGAGGTTATCTATGGCGAGGCTGAATTGAAAGAAGAAGAAAACAACAACAACGGGCAATCGGATGCTCAGGATTCTTGAGAAGGAAACTGTCATGAATCAATCTGACCTGCAGAGCTGAAAGCGATGAGAGAACAGAGACGATTTTGTTTTGACAGGCCGCCATGAAGTCGACCGAGGCAAGGCGCAAGAGGCAACGTGCGGCTGGTGCGAGTCGGGCCAAGTCAATAGTACATCGTCGCAGTTGGGGATGGCCGTTGGCCTAGCAACGACGACCGCACGCACGCCGTGCCACGAGCACCTTGGAGAGGCGAGAAATCAGCAAATGTCATGAATGTTACCAAGTCCCACTGGGAATCCTGTGCATCACATCGAATTCTCTTGGATTCGAATTTCTCATTTGTGTCGATACCCAGTCTCGGTACCGGGAGCGTGTCCATTGCGGCAAATATTGCCTACAACTCCTTTGAGGGCTTCCGTGACATGCATTGATTATACGTGAGCACTTGGCCTGGTCTTGTCGGCCCGGCAGTCGACGAATTACATCAACTCCGACCGCCCCTCCTTCGTCTCAAAGTCTATTCTTCCCCACGAGTGCAGCAAGCCTTGGACGTTCGCTACTCGATAGTACGCTAGACGGCAAGCCATGACACACCATGACACCACGATACCCATGCAAATCATGCAGACAATCCTCGCATCGTCTTCTAGACTTCCGTGGAGTGGAATCAGGTATATCCTCGTCTTCTCCTCGTGGTGCTGGGCAGTGCCCATGCGGGTTGAAAACAAAATGTCCCCGTGCAATCTTGCGTTGCGAGGCCTTTTTTTGCCCGTAAAATCATCGAGCTCAAGTGTTCTTTCAAAAATTCCTCCTTGTCCTCTCATCTCCATCGCCAACTGTGGAAAATAAGATGCTGCCTATAAGCACCAACATTCACACGACACTTCTTGGTGCTCTGTACCTTGCGAACTGGTGTCTTGGACAGAATTCTACTCAGTACGTTGGAGCCCATGTCCCATCCGGCACATCCATCGTTGGCAGCTATGGAGGGCAATATCGTCCTCAAGTGCACTTTTCGCCCCCCAGCCACTTCATGAATGACCCGAATGGCATGTTTCGAGACCACAACGGCACATGGCACCTCTATTACCAGTACAACCCCACAAAGAGTGTTGCGGGAAATCAACATTGGGGACATGCGACCTCGCAAGATTTATATCATTGGACAAACCAACCAATTGCCCTGTTCCCCCCGAAGAAGAATGTATACATCTTTTCTGGAAGTGCAGTCATTGACAAGAACAACACTTCTGGTTTCTTCGGCAACCAGTCCAATGGCGTTGTTGCAATTTATGTGAGTATCCTTGGCCCATTCGCATGTGAATTATCCAGATGTATACTGATTCTGTCGTAGACATTGGCAGAATATTTAGATGACGGAAGCCCCGGTCCCCAATCTCAGGCCATCGCCTACTCGTATGACAGTGGCTTCACCTTCACCCCGTTTGACGGCAACCCTGTCATACCGAGCAACTCCTCGCAGTTTCGCGATCCAAAGGTCGTCTGGTACGAAGACCACTGGGTAATGGTGGTTGCTTACGCCCAGGAATTCGCAATTGGCATATTCACCTCACCAGATCTGATCGAGTGGACTCATGCCAGCAACTTCTCCAATCAAGGTCTTCTGGGTCTGCAGTGGGAATGCCCAAACCTAGTGCGCATGCCGCTGTACACGGAAGACGGACAAAGACGAGACGATATGTGGACTATGCTAATCAGCATCAACCCAGGGGCGCCGGTGGGTGGTTCTATTACAGAATACTACCCTGGAACTTTTAACGGGACCCATTTTGAAGCAGTTGATTCAGTTGCCCGCATTGCCGATTTTGGCAAGGACAATTATGCCGGGCAGTTCTTTTTCGGTGTCCCAGCCGAAGAAGATCCCGTGTCTATTGCCTGGGCATCTAATTGGCAGTATACCCAGACTGTTCCGACTGCACAGGAGGGCTGGCGTAGTGCAATGAGTCTCCCTCGCCGGAATTACTTGACAAGAATTGACCGTGTTGGCTGGAAACTGATAAGCAGCCCGTATGATATGCAGCCAATCATGGGGAGAAATCTAGCGTATAACCAGAGCCTTGTCAACGGATCCTTGACGGTTGACTTTTCAGACATAGCCTCCAATGCGGTGTACTGGGAGGTGAATGTGACTGGCTTACCAAAGAAAGGGATACCGGAAATGGCCACCTTGAATTTCACGCTTCTTAGTCCTATAACAGCAGAGTACATCAGAGGAGGGTATTACTTTGGCGGCGACAATCCGTTCTATCTTGACAGAGGCGGTGCAAAAGGCTTCGACAACGTCTTTTTCACTGACAAGCTATCTACAAATAGTTTGTTCTGTAACGGTAGCTGGTCGATGAAGGGAGTGATGGATCGGTCCATACTTGAATTATTTCTCAATGACGGCGTCGACAGTGCTACAGCGACTTTCTTCGCCACACAACCGTTGACGTTCTTGATCATCAGTACGTCCAGTTTGCCTCATGGCACACGGGTAAGCACTCGTGTCAATGCTTTAAAAAGTACCTGGCAGCAAATGGAAGACCCAGGAGATGGCTTGGTGCACGGAAACATCTCCATGCAGGAAACGGCCTCAGAGGCCATGAAGCACTTGCTGCAATCCATGTGAATTGGATATTTGTGCTTGCTGCGACAAAGAGAGAAGCAGGCCTGGGCTGTCTCGAATTATAGGTCACAAAATTACAAAAATGATCATAGACAACCGTATTCATCGGTTCTGACGTTTCTATCGCTACTATACCTGTTGCAGAAACATCGTTGGGACGAAGCTTGCCAACATAAAAGCTCCATGCCTGGCGCTCGGTGATGTTGAGAATACATATTCACCTCTCATATAGTTCCTAATTCCAAGAATCGCCATTGTTACTTTAAATAATGCAGTAGCCAAAGCAGCTCCTAACGTCCATCCAAGTGCGGCATGGCAGCTTTTTACGGACACATTGCCGGGCTTATGTAGAATCTGCATGCAAGCCCGCCAACAGACAGCAGGGTGAGATTCCCTGACAGCTGATGTGGCCTATTTGCTTATAAGGGAAAAAAAAAGAAGAAGAAGAAGAAGAAGAAAAAAGCTAACCTGCTCCACAGTAGACTACCAGAAACTCATGGCCTATCTCGTATGGGCCGCAAAAGATAGCACCAGTGGTATATATCCGGATCAGTGGTCTTTATTTTCGGGGCTGGGATCTTGGCAATAGTTTCAACATGGAACGGCAGTTGATGGTTGTCAAAGCGTGATGCAGAAAAACTCAGAGATATCCACAATGCATCGTCGGCTAAACGGCTTCTTACTCCCTGCGCCATTCGAAGCAAAGCGGCCTGGCCACCACAGCATACGGCGTCGACGGTACTTTTATCAATCACCAAGTCAAACTTTCCATCAGCTCTGCGGCCAATCTCCGGCCCGGCGTAGGCAAGCTGGGTAGTGTCGGCTACTGTGTAATGCGTAACGACGTTGCCAAATGCCTTTTCCTCGAGCTGCCGCCCCCTCTCGACGGCCAGTGGCTCATAATCAAGGTTGCAGACCTTGTGGAAGCCGCGACTACGTAGATGGTTCTGTAAATCGCTCGTACCAGAGCCAAGGTTAAGGATATGTGCCGATGACGGGTCCAGGGCTTCCAGAAAAGGCTCTATAATAAATACGAACTCGGATGAAGAAATGAGCCATTCGAACGAGGTTTCGGACGCGAATCGATCGTGCCAATAGCTCTGCTTTTCGAAATCCGCTGGCATCGTAGCGACATTCAGCGGCGGACAGGGAGCGGTCCAATGCAATGTACTGACTGGGCCAGCGAGGTTGGATTATCCAGCCACGGTGGCAGCATGTACATTGGAAGCAAATGGGTTATTGACAATGACGATGGGGCACGATACGGTAGGGCGTATGGTAAGCGAGGATGTAATTCTCCTCTGTATGTGAAACTTGCGAGACAAGGCCGAGTTAGTTACCGTGTGCATAGCAAACTGTCCAGTAGGACAAGTTGAATGTAAGGAAGCTGTTGAATACAAAACTCCAGTTTCAACTGCTCGACAGACATACCTGGGTGGTGCTTGACAAGCTGTCGGGTCAGGTCAGAGCATGCCAGATGACTACGAGCTTCGTGTTATTACGGACAACATCACCAGTTAGTTGACCTTTTCAACCATGACTGTAAAGGTTTTGGTGGGTCTGTTGTCTGGAGCGAGGCCTCAGTGTCTTGCCATGGGCATCCCAGGCTCAGAGAACAAAGGTGGTTGGCCCGGGGCAAGCCGGGCCGTTCAATTCCTTGTGGCGGCCGAAGACTCGAGTAAAACAGTAAAGTACAGAGTAGTAATTACAGACATCAGAGTCCAATGCCGGCAGTAGTAGTACTCCGTACTCGTAGTTCCAAATGTGAGATTTGCATGCACTTCGTGGCGTGTATTTGCCGTGTGAATGTTGACTGGTGGTCCCCAAATAGAAACGCCAGTCGTTGCAACTAGTCTGGCACTACGGAGTACTATCACAGGTTCATTGCCGTTGTTAACAGTGGCGTCGACGTGGGTGCGGATGGACCTGCACAGCCTCCAGATGTCAGGAAGGGGGCATGATGAACTTAGCACTGACCAGACACAGCCACGACAGCCTCTGGACTGGCATCCATCTAAGCAGCCAAGACTCGTATCCCGGGGTGCTGAGGTACGGGAGACTCAGTGCTGTCTCCTGGGCGTGCCTGACGTGCTGGAGACCGCGTGGCTCAGCGGCCCAAGGACCCACCACCAAACTCCAGTCTCCATCCGTCCTGTCAATCCCAAGCCACACGCTTCAATGTGATTGCGACGCTGCCAGCCGCCCGTCAGAGGGTCAACAAATGCGTCGACTTGGAACTGAAACAAAATCTCCCTTGACCCTCAAATTATCGGACCTACCTACTCACTCCTCGCATCGTTTTCTTCTGTCGTCGCTCACCCCACTTTCTTTATCCATCTAGTTTTCCGCTTCGACTTTCATGTCGCCAGTTTTGCTACCGGGTTAAAAGTCAACGAACGTTGAGTCTGTTGGAGAGAACTCGCCCATCCGTTGGTTTTCGCGATAGCATCGCCAACTAGACCGTCGTTGCTTGTCGACTTGAATTATTGGAAACCATCCGAGTCCCGCCTTGGCCGTCTGTCCGTCCTCTCGCCATGGCACCGCCTGTTCTTCTTTCTGCAATGATGCCTGCCGTCAGTCGTCATGTCGACGACAAACACCAACTTGTACATTCGCTATTTACCCGGGACTTGCAGAATCCCACACATACACAGAAAGTTACACTCGGTGTCATCGCTGCCTATGTCGTGGCTATCGCTATTCTTTGGAACGTTCCGTATCTGAAAATGATACTCTGGCCATTCAAGGTAAGCTCTCAGTTCTAGTTGGGAATATAAAACTACAATAAGAAGGGTTCATGCCACGATTCGGCTGGGGTGGTCGGCTTGTGGCGTTTATCTACTTCAAAATCTCGCCCCTCCTCTTTCCTCGGCGCTAACATGGTCTCGTAGATGCTCGTCATCGCATTTCATGAATTCGGTCACGCCATCACCGCAGTCTTGACGGGCGGCAAAGTCGAGTCTATCAGCCTTGACCCCAACGAAGGCGGCGTCACTCGCATGCGAGGTGGCATCAGTGCCATCACCCTCCCCGCAGGTTACTTGGGCTCTTCGCTCATCGGCGCCCTGCTCACCTTTTGCGGTTTCAACATTGTCGCCTCCAAAGTTGCCAGCATCGTCCTCGCTGTCTGTTTCTTATTGACGTTGTGGTGGGGGAAGCGCGACTGGCTAACCATTCTCACCATTGTCCTTGCTATCGGTCTCCTAGTTGCCTGCTGGTTCATCGTCCATGCCCAAGCTCTACGTTTCGTTGTCCTCTTCATTGGCGTCATGTCTTCACTATACAGTGTCTGGGACATTTGCGACGACCTTATCCTTCGCAAAGTAAACTCATCCGACGCCAGCGTTTTTGCAAAGCGATACGGTGGTTCTTCCCAGTGCTGGGGAGTCATTTGGTCCATCATTTCGATTCTCATCATGGCCGTCGGTATCGTCGCCGGTCTGGCTGCCTTTTCTCAGTCTTTTGAGCAACAGCAACAGGACTCGCAGCATTTCATACCAACTTGATGGTGCTGCAGCCTGGTGAAATGCCACGATGTGATGCGCGATCTTTCTGCTTTTGTTTGTATACTTGATTTGGGAGAAAAAGAAATGTTTTTGGGCCCCCTACTGTAATTAGCCTTCTGTTGGAGTCAGGCGTAATGTCCTCATTTTTGTCTTTTGATACGGGTTAGGAGCGGCGCGAGATACCCAAGTTAAGAGTTTTAACAGAGGCTTGCCTTCAAGTCGGAAAAAAGATTTCATGTGTATGGTATACTTGGCCACTACTGGTAAAGACTTGCTCTGGAGCGAAATGATGGTAGATGACGTACTGGTTTGCGACACGTGCATTGTGCTACGGCTACAGTGGTGAAAGGGGCGTAAAAAATAACTTGATGTCTAATTCAAAAATCCATTCCCAATATTTACGAGTAAAAAGTATGTACAGAAGTCTTGGCCCATGTGTATACAAGATGATAGACCAGAACGTTTGAGAATGTTCCCGCCCTACCCTGGGTACGGTGTATGCTTCATCACCCTTGATACCATACGCCCGTCGCATCCGGTTACTGTTGAGTCGGGATTTGTACATCTTGCAACACGTTTTCAAAGGGTGCAGTTCAGAATAAAAAATCTGCCGCTCCATTAGGCCAGGTCGCTGACAACTTCGCCAAGGAAGCCTTCATTCGCATAAAGCTGAGACATGTCCCACATCATAACACCGCCGAAGCTGGTGAACTTTTTGGAGTAGGCAATGACGGCCTTGAGCTTCTCTCCATTGGTGTAACCGCCACCGGCTCCTTTGTTGGCTGGGATACCGAGCAAAAGCTTGACATTGGGGTTCTTGCTGCCCTTGGCCCACTTGTCCCAGACATTAAAGTTGAAGGCGTCCTGGGTATCAGATCCCGGCTTGAAGTTGGAAACACCACACCAGTTGTTGTAAAATTGTATCATGACGAAGTCAAACGCAACAGCGTTAAGAGCAGAGCCGACAGCAGCATCAGGGAAGACACACTGAGGCGCGGCCGTAAGGTAAAGCTTCTTTCCACCACCGCCGTCCATCAAGCTTCGCAGTTTGGCGCCGAATGCTGGAAGGTTGTTGGTCGTCGATTCAAAGTCGAAATCGAAACCGTCTACGACAGCCGATCCAAAGGGCCGGTCAACCTTGCTGCCAGAGGGTACAGGCCCGAACATGTCCCAGACAGACTGTGCGGCCTTCTCAGCGTCCCGGGTGCTGGACCAGCCGCCTTGGGAGTAGGTTGCACCACCGAGTGACAAGACTATGGTCTTTTTGAACTTGGTCTGGCATGTCTTGATGTCTTTCCTGTCAAGTTGCACAACAATACCGGTTAGGATGGTAATCTTTACAGTAATAGAATGAACCAGTATTGCATTTGGACTTGGTCTGTTGAGAACATCAACTTACTCAATCTCTGGGCATTTGAGAAGGTTTGAATTGTCAGGAAACTTGTCGCATTTGTCTCCGGCGTTGGCAAAGTTGGTAATGGGAGGAGAAATGCCATTCATGAAAGCAATCGGGATTATCTAGATGCGTGAGATTAGAACGTGGGGTCGGCGCACAAATACCAGCGGCTACGGAGAGGCATCATGAGCAATGCTTACACCCATATCGGCATCTACAAGCCGCAAAAGGAGATTTAGTTAGGACTTGGATGCGTCAAGTTTTGGCATGCGCAGAAAAACTCACTCTCGCAGTAATGTGCCAGGCCCTGCTGGACATTTGGGCCGCTTCCCTGTCCAAAAGAGTTTTGTCCTGGGGAAATCTTGTAAGCGAAAGCCATCAAGGCCGAATACAGCTCCGTTGTGAGGACGTACCCCAGTACACGGCAATGTTCTTGTGAGAACCTCCATTGAAGCCAGCCAGGGCAGAGGGAAGCGCCGCCAGCAAGCTGGCTGCAGAGGCCAAAGACCAGAAAAAAGAAGACATTTTCAACTTGTTCAAGTGCCCCCCAGGAGTAACACGCCTAGCCAGAGGTGTGTGGGAGAATAGACCAAGAGAATCTTGTTTGTGATGGAGACCGTAAATTGACTAGAGGTGTGTGACATGGCACAGGCATGGCAGTTATATATATTTGAGAGTGAACATGTGGATGTATTAGAGACCCCCGTGAAGAGCATCAGGCAACTCGATTGTTACCTGGAATGACATATACCAACACATCCCTGAAGTGTACATATGTGACGCTGGACGGTCCATTCAAGCATCTTTCTGCATGGTCGGTCCTTTGTACAAGGAATTGGGAAGTAGACCGAGTTGTTCATCCCAGGGATAAGGCTGCCAATGCTACTTTGCGAGAAGGCAAGGATGTAGTGGTGCTACCGTGAAGGATCACGGCTCGCCAAGAACTGCCAGGCTCTAGACCGTGACCGGTCTTGTATTCCAAGGGCCTAGAGTAACACAGATGATGGTACCGGGCGCTTATCACAGTCACTTGTCCCAGAGCAGTGTATATCTGATGAACTGCAGTGTTCAAGACTTCGACGATGCAGATATGATCTTTCTGGGTGTATAAGATGATTGTAATGTATAAAACACAGGGTCTACTCCCCGTGTCTGGCGGACAAGCTGATTGTACAGCAGATCCAACACCCTCAAGGTGCGCGTACTCGGCACTTGATTCTGAGACGTCGGGGATGTTCTTATACATCTAGCTCATGTGCTTGGATCATGGGTGTCGTCTTCGATACAAGCAGCTCAGGCAGGCTTACAAAATGGGACAAGAGAGGATTCACAACTGAAGGGGCGGTAAAATTCCTCCAGTCGTTTCACAGGATCTAGCCATGTACGACTCGGGGGGGATTCCGATTGCGTTTCGGTGCCACGAGGTTGCAAGTCAGCTGTGGAGAGCTTGTGAGCTTGTACACTCGCTGGCTTGATTTAGCCAGCCCATCTGCTACACATGAACATTTCATGGTCAACTTCCTACTTGAGTAGGTAGACGGGGCTTGTGAAGGTGTGAAGTCTATCCAGTGTGGCTCCCTCTTCATATTTCATGACGTTTCAAGTCTCCCGACCTTAATCTCGAGGGAGTAGCCGTGATTGGGCTAGAAAAATGATTAATGAAAGGGAAGACAATCCAATTCTTTGACGGGGTTACTAGTTACCTAGGCATGCAATGGCCTACTCCGTAGTTTGCCGATATCGTCCTGCATTCATGTTCCCCAGCAAGCAGCCTGGGTGCTGACTGTATTTGCCGTCGCAATGAGTGAAGACCAGAACTCGATGAGGCTACGCTGCCGGTGAGTCTAGCAAACGCCAGTCTTAGACGACTTCAGCTTCTAGTCTTGTTTGTGCCTGTGGCCAGAGAGAGCATCTCCCAAGATCCTTGTAGGGCCAACTGAAAACTGGCCTTATGGACGGGCACCAGAGCATGGCTAGGTATCTTTTTGTTCGCCCAAACTGTAATGTGGGAAAAGCAGAGCTTCCACAAGTCGGCGTTTGGAGCACGAGTGCCCATGAGCAGGTTCTGCGTAAGTACGGAGTAGGTGGTGAAGTATTCCGGGGTCTGCTTGATGGTGCATCAAGAGCCCAGAGGCTGCATAAACTCCGTGCCCTCAGGACGGAGGTACCTATTGCAGGGTACAGTGGGTTGTACCCGACAGAGTGCTCCGCGTCGAGCCAGGAGCTTTTCTTCCCTGGCCATGAAATTTCACCGAGGGAGTCAGTACAGTCAATACATTCATGCCAATGGATGAATCCATGGCGTTGCCGATTATTTGGCGTCACGCTCGTGCCTTGAAAATCGTTCTCTGCTGCCAAAGGCACATGCACACGACGGTGTAGATGAACAAGTCAGGGCTGGGGCTACATGGCGGTCAGGTTCAACGCCTGCCCGTGCCATATGCATCATTTGTCGTCCTTGGGTGCTCCATGTCTCGGTCTCTCTTTACCTTTCCTCATCTGATGACCGGCCATGGCAAAATGGCAAGGATAATGGAAGGCATCGTCGTCTGTGTCACAACGGAATAGTCATTATTGGGGATCACATCTAGGTTAAGAGTGCCCTTAAGTGCTTCCTTTTTTTTTATTAGGCTTGGCGTGGGGCACGGGACATTAAAGAGGAAGGCGGATGATGCAGCCCCTGGCTTAACCTCCAAGACGGAACCTCGAGAAGGATTTGACGTGCGCAAGTGTACATGTAGGCTCGCCGGGCCGTCGATCACTGCAGACAGGGGAAGGTGGGGGTTTAGAGGTCAACATTCGGCTTGGGAAGCACAAGAGGTCCAGATGTCCCCAGCATTTGACATGGAGTTTTCGATACATTGGACATCTGGAGCTCTACCGAGCAAACGCAGAAGCCAATGCCCCACGGATGAGCAGCTGCGAATTAGCTTTATGTGGGAGTCGGTCTTCTGCTCGACCTTGCCGTTGACGGCTTCAGCCTTGTAACGTTACTTCAACAGACTGGAATCAGCGTCAGGAGAATTGCCTATTGTCCCTGTTTTGGTCGCCCTTAAAAAGCCTTCGTCTGCGGACCAACTTTAAAACCACCACTACGGCGGCCAAGAGAGTGATCACAGCATTTTCGAATGACCCCCACTGAACCGTGGATTGGCCAGCTTGTTGCTTCGATACGCAGGTGGACCAAATGCAAAATTGCGACATGTCTCTTAAGAAGTACGTTGTACTTTTTTTTTTTACCAGCAGATAATTGGGTCGGGGACTCTATGTCTAAATAGACCTGATGAATTGAGGCGAGTGTGTGATGGGCCATCTCTAGGCAAAATATTAGCAGCAGTAGTAACAGTTTACAACGGCATCTGAATCATTTGGAAATCTGGCTTTAGACATTTGACGATTGGTATTGGGCCCATGGCTTTGCGCTGACTGGCAATGTGTCACGCGTTCCTGCTGTTTGGTGTATGGCGTTACAATAGCAACGACTTCATGGTCAGCTCCCTCGTTCACTACAACATCAATTGATATCACAGTCAAATAGGGGCCGCCATTGCATCCATTCCGGTATGATGCCAAGAGGTATAATATTTCTTCTTTTCATTTATTAAAAAAAGAAGAACGAAAAGTCAAACTATGAGTGACACCGTCTACAAACCTGTACACTTTCGAGGCCGCTCTTTGGCAGGCTTCTTTCAACCAGTCAACGCCATGCCCTTTCCCCTCCAATCCTTTCCCGTCCGAAAACATGTAATCATCAGCTAAGAAACAGCATGGCTCCCTCTGACTACCAACGTCCTCTGCGACCCCGTCCGCCACTGAAACCGCCTCGTCCCCCGCCTCCAGCTGACATGCCTTGCTCATAGCCATACCCTCCTTGATTACCGCCAAAACCACCGCCAAAGTTCTGTCCTTGGTTTCCCTGTGCCCCAGGACCTGCACCACCATTCTGCATACCCGAAAACATGGCGCTCATTTGACTGGGGTCCATCTGAGATGGGTCCATGCCCGACGCCATCATCTGTTGCATCATCGCTTGCATCTCCGGAGGCATCCCATCCATGCCTTGCATAGATGTTCCTCCCGCATTACCACTGCCTGGCATGCCCATGCCTCCCATCATCATCATGCTGTTGAAATCCTCCATCATCTTTTTGTTGTTTGATGCAAATGCGTCAGCCCCAAACTCCCCTCGAAGACTCTCTTGTTTCGCCGCATACAAAGCCCAGGTGAATTCATCAAAACCGTAGTTGAAGTAGTCGCTGATATCGGTACCCGGCTTTCTCCATGGCTTTTCGTTGTCAGGAAGATCTTGAGTTGTATGTTAGTTGCACAGTTCGTTTGAATCTACCGGTGGCAATACTCAAGCCTGACCTTCGTCAATGTTCACTTGTGTTATGGCCTTTCCTGCGGCGGGATACACTGGATTTGCGTTGACGTCAATCGTGGATTTGGACGCAGCTGCGGATGTCTGATCAGCGCTCGGTGCCGCGACACTTGCTACATTGTTAAGTGACTTTGGCTCGTCTTCCCGTTTTGTCGGGGCTGGCTTTGCTGGTGAATCGCCAGACGTCGACCGCTGGGGAATATTCCTGATATCGCTGTATTTGGATTGTCTGCACAAGAGTCAGTTGAGTTCAAACCACGTCACTGAGGTAGTTTCATTGGCTAGCGCTTACGTTGGAGGCGCTGCTGTAGTGCCGTCTTTTCTCTCCGTGATAATGTCAATGTCCTAGGAGGAGCTTTGTTAGCTACCCTGTTGCGCGGATGGGCTCGAATTTGTTCGTACAGAATCATCGTCATCTTCGTCCATTGCACCACTCTCATCCTCCTCCTCTCCCTCCTCAAGCTCCTCGGTCTTTGAGACTGTGCGTTTCTTGTCGTGTTGTTCGACCTTAGGCTCCTCCGGCTCGTAGAGGTCATCGTCGCCCTCGTCCATCTCCATTTCATGCTCAGACAAATCCGAGTTCATGGGGGCAAACCAGAAGTGAGAGCAGAAAAACCTCGAACAGCTTCACAAATATGGGAGGAAGGACAAATTGGAGCTCTGCAAGTTCAATTGTATCGTATAGGATGCTCTCGTCAAGCACGGATAGCTTCAAGTGTGGTGGGAACAGGTTCCCAGCTCCAGTCGAGCCGACATTTCTCCGTCTCGTCGTCGCGTTCCTGCACCTGCAGACCAGCAAAATTCAATGGCCATCTCTAGTTGCGCCAGGCCCCACCCTTCGTCCTAAAGTCAAGGTCCCCATCCAAGCAACTTCGCAAAAAGTCAGCTTCCGATGTGAGACGCGCTTCGCCGTTGACCACACCTCTCAGCGATTTTCAATGTCTCTTGCACGGTCAGCCAGTGTGCCGGGTGGTCTCACGATCAATACGGGCGCCGCCAATTCCTTGTAAGCCTCCCGCGTCCTCGAACCCTCGGAGCCTTGGCCCCTTTGCCTGTTCCTATGCCGTCTTCCTTTCTTTGTGGAAAGATCTTTCTTGTCCTACGCTTGGCAATAGTGTCTGCAGGGTTTGTTGAAGTTTGCCATTGCTGACAAGGGTTCCTCTAGAGGCACATCAACAATCCAGCCATCCGCGCCTACTGGGTTGTTTGGGTCCGGAAGCACGTCTGCTAACCCAGCAACTTCGACGACCGGCGGAATGGCGACCACTGGAAGTATATTTGGAGGCGCACAGCAAAAGGCAGGGACTGGCTTGTTTGGTTCCTCGACGACGGCCGCTCAACAGCCTAGCACTACCGGAGGATTGTTTGGAGGTGCGGCAAGCAATCAACAGACTCAACAGGCCACCATGACTGGCGGTGGTGGACTATTTGGCAGCACGGCGACAGGCCAGCAACAGTCTCAGCCAGCCAGCGGAGGCCTTTTCGGCAGTAATCCTACTGTGACGCAACAACAGCAACAACCGCAACAGGCAGGTGGCGGCCTTTTTGGCTCTGGAACAGCCAACACTCAGTCTACTACCACCGGAGGTGGCCTCTTCCAACAGTCACAGGCAAACCCGTCAGGGGGTCTATTGTAAGTAATATCATAACGCTGTTGGTGAGTTATCATGCTTACCAGAATTGTTTCGAAAACGCGTAGCGGCCAATCACAGCCCCAGCAAACTCAAGCAACAAGTCAAGTACCAGCAGTTCAAATCAACTATGATAATCTTCGGCCTCGGACAAGATTTGATGATCTTGCCAAACCTGTTCAAGACGAAATAGCTCTCATAGACAAAGGAATCCAGCGTGTAATCAAGATGAAGGATGAGATTGGAGAGTTCATGCCGCAACACGAGAAGGATATTGAACAACTAGGGCGAGATGTCAAGTTTGTGGAAACAAAGTTCAAGACGGTTCAAGTTGCTCTCAACCAGGACATCCAAACTGTCAAAGTGTTGCAAGACATGACAAAGAAGAGCATAACAGACGCTCAACTCTCATTTAAGGCGACCGACAACCTCAAGCTACCCACGCATTATCATCAGACTGGCCTTTTTGCTGGACCGACGTCGTCCGCAGACTCCAATGGAACCGACGCCGCCTCCGCGCATGCCAACGCGCAGGATCTTATCACGTATTTCAATCGGATTTGCGATGATGTGGAAAAATACAAGAAGAGGCTGGATGAATATCGAGGTGAAATCGAACGGGACATGCCCGGCGTGGAGAATGGGCTCTACGAGCAAATTCGGAGTCTACGGGACCGCAACGCTGCTGTTGGTGGTGCCGTCCAAGATCAGCTTGGACAGGTGCTGTCGGCACTGCGGGAGACGGGAAATGCAATTGTTGCACAGGCAGGGCAGATTGCTGATACCCGCGAGAGGCTTTCAAGATTACAGGCGGGCATACTCGACAGTGGTGTTTATGCCATAGGAATGGCCGGATGATGCTTGAAGGTATGATCAAGGCTACGGAGATAAATACGGACAGGAGAATAAACTACTCGGCGCGGCGTTGTGCGTGGTGTTATGCTGCCGGCAACTATTCTGGTGGGACAAGATGGCGACTACCAGCGCCTAGGAGGCTTATTTCAACGATGGCGTTCTACGGCCGGCATATACTGCATATACGCGAGTAGACCAGTCATGCATCTGGGACATTGTGTAAGTTTTGTGTTGTATTATGTTGTATTATGTTGTATCATGCAAAACGGGAGAGGGGACCGCACAGCATTTGGAAGGCACTCGACAATCTGTTAGCATTCCAAAGGCTATCTATCCCAGATCGGGAGACGAAGATTTTTGGACATGCCGGATCCATATATGGATAATGTCGTTTCAAAGAAGTAACGAATGGAGCCAGCCTGGCCCTCGCCACGTGGAAAAATTAAACAATATACTAATCACTATTCCTAAATTGCGCCGTGATCCTGATGTATGAAGTGTGAAAATGGGTATCCGTCCACCGATAGAAAGCACTGGGAGGCGGAGAAGACGTAGTGCCAATCTTCTCTCGCCTTTTTAAGAACGCCAAAGTAAAAACCACGAGAATCGTAGCATGCTAGTATGTCCCCTCACCGTCGTCTCCTTCACCATAATCATCGCCCATCTCATCGCCGTTGTCAAAATAATGCTCGGCATCATAGTCACCGGCATCTTCATCATCGTACACTTCATCCTCATCATCTTCTTCCAGCCCTTCGTCGTCTTCCGCGTCTATCCCCTCGTCGCCTTCGTCCTCACGCATGGCGTCGAGTTTCTCCAGGATATTCTTGCCGGTGCCGCGCACAGCCTCTGCTTCCTCGTCGACGGCGCCATCTAATGATGGCATTCCAAAGGCCTCTTCGGCGTTGGGCAAGGCGCTGACTTTGCTGAGTTCTAGTCTACGCTTTTTGCGCACGCCGACGCCGTCTTCGGGCTCGACGGTGTCTAGCAGCTCTGCGGGAAACATTTCGCGGCACACGGGGCGGGCAGCCCAGTCGGGCAGGGCTCGCTCTTCGCGAACAAATTTCTGGGAGTACGTCGGCATCGCAGTGAAGGGGTCAACCGAGGCCTTGTTTTTCACGCCGTACCGAGCGTTCATCTGTGCTTGGCCGTACATCTTTCTTGGCGTGGTCGGGTCGTGGAGGGATGTCCGCTTGGAGGTATAGAGAGGCGATGAGTGTATCTGGTGTCGCAAAAGCAGGAAGTGCTGGACTGCGCTGGCTTCGGCACTGGCTAAGTCTCGTGGCGCTGGGACAGTGTAGGGCTAGAGTATCAAAAGGTTGGTTCGCGACATGATCTTGATTGCTCAGCGTATTTGTATAAGGGAGCATACCGGAAACAGTTCTGATGGTCTCGCGTCAGGCTCATCGCCAGTATCCCAAGGCACGTTTGGACGTCCTCCGCCTCTCGCCCCTCCTCGGCCACCGCGCCCGCCACCTCGCCCGCCTCTTGACATTATAGTAGCAACAACAAGGGCGCGTTATTTTCTGCGGCGATGAAGCAGTAGGTAGCGGTGATGCGAAAATTATCGAATAGCAAGACTGCTTGTTTTCATGTTCTTGGAGGGGGGAAATAAACGGTCCGTTACAGTTAAGCTTGACATGGCAACCCAAAGAAGGAGAAAAAAAAAAGCTTGGAGTCGCATGCAGTAGACTAGACTGGTGGAGGCGGAATTGGGTCCGACGTCGTGTGCCCCGCCCGCCCAGAGTCAACATTATCTCTTTAGCTGTCCACTGGCTTGCGGAGACTCCTCTGCCATACAATTTTCTTAGATAAGCGAGTCTCCACAAGCCGGTAGGCAGCTAAAGAGATAGATTCTGTATTCTCTCACCACTTCAAATGTCACGCCTGAGTTCCAGCTTGTGTGTTTGGCTCCTTCATCCAGGTCAAACCAGTGGCTTTCAGATTTCTAAGCTTATTTTCTAAGGGTAGTAGTTTCGCAACTTCCATATTACTAAGAAACTTCGCACATCTGCACCGTCCACCACTTTTCGTTCCGAACCGTGTCCGACACAGATGAGCGCAAGAACAGTGCCAGAGTACAGTATGGACAACATCCCAATATCGGGCCTACAAGAGTTGCAGACTCATCTACAGCTGTTACTTGGTGACCCTTCTCTGCCATTCAACGTGAAGCTTTTAGACGATGTCGAGCTTCAGCTCACCGGTATGTCTTGATGCCGCCATGGCTCGTGAATGGAGGAGCATGAGGCCAACCATGACTGTCTCCTTCTGCTGACTATCTGAATATTAGAGGACAATATCCCCCCCCTCCTACCAGTCTTGCTGCCTCCCCTGACAGAAATTCTGAAGTCCACGACGCAAGACCCAACACCGTTACTGTCCCTGACAATCAAGCTACTGTCGCCACTATCATTCACTCGGACTCTTACCATTGCCGATCCGCCATCACTACTCACAGCTTTGAGCTCGCCACTGCCAGGGGCTAATTTGCTTGCACTGGCTATTATCCAAAAAGCTGCAAAGTCGCCCTCAGATGCATCTATACTGAGTACGTTGCCTGAGGTTGTCGAAATGCTTGTCAAGTCCTGGCTAGCCAGCACAGATGTAGGGGTCGGTGAGCGTGCAGCTAGAGTGCTCGGTGACCTGCTGGAGACAGACTGCGAGGCTGTTGACAATAATACACATATTGGCGATTCCAGGGCCCAAATTAACGGAGATGAAGTCATCAAGCGCCGTGTTCCAGGCCATGGCAGATTATGGCGCCTAATCCTGTTGAGCCGACCCAACCTAACCCTTATACAACAACTTTGCTCACCCAACTCTACATATCTGGGCCAACCACGTACTACGCACCAGGTTACTATCTCTCAGGGCCGGCTTCTAAGGCTTTTGCCGCGCCTCTGCACTCTAAACATCGGTGCCTTGAGCCATCCTCTATTCCAAGATCTTTTTGTCCTGCCGGAAGAAATCAGAAGCCGAGCGGGTGGTGGACTGCTTCAATGGGCAGCCCTCGGCATGGTGGACAAGTCGGACACGTTGATGCACCTCAGTCTTGTGGACTTTTTTGAAACTTTCGTCAGCGTTATGCGAGTGTCAAGACGCTCTGCTGAAATGGATGCATTTATACGCAAGCTTATGGCGACCGCGCTTGAGGGCGATAGCGAGCTTGAGGGTGCGCTCAAGACTCTCCCAGACAGGACTATTGAAGACGAGGCGGAGCCTCTACGGGCATACATAACAGGACTACTTAGCTAATACAACGGCCTCATATTCGTCGTATCGGAGCCACAACAGTTGATTAATTAACGGAAATCATTCTCCCTTCCCCGTAAGATCTCCCACTAGGGGGGGTCACGAGGCCACGGGCCTTGGACAAGTCAGCCCTAAAGCCATCATGCACCGCTCCCCTTGTCCATTATGAGTCCTATTTGCTTTTCACTTAAATGGCGAAGCATCATCTTGTAGATCCTGCCAAGTGTCCCTAGACGACACAACGCCCTTAGCCAGGCCCTTGCGAGTTGGAGTGTAGGCACCGCATTACACATGACGTGGCTGGCGAACAAACTCCGAATACTTCTGCTCAGGCACTACTCTCTGTAATTAATTTTCCAACTGGCCACAAACATGTCCAACCCGCTAGTGGTTCTCAATAACGTCAAGCGAGAGAACATTTCAGCCTCAAACGCCGCCTTGGCCAGCGTATATTGCGCACTGGACACAGATGAGTCCCGTGTCAAATCATTGTTGACGAGATCTAGGCATCTTTAGAAAGAACCGGGTGCTATAGTCCATTGTGATGAAACTTCAACGCTATGTTCGCGCAACTGGCAAGCTGAGTTGAAAATTTGTTGCGTCTATTGTGATCTACTGTGGAGGTACGAGCCTCCTGGAGACCTTTGCAAGACAATTATAGGCACCCAAGTATGCATCCACGGATAACTAGCATACAAAATGGAGGTCATATTTTTTCATCTTCCACCACAACGCCGTGCCGCCATCATTCTACAAGCATCCGCTGTATCTTACAGCATCTTCATTGCGGATGCATCCTGTCCTGCAGCAACTTCTTCGGCAGAGTCGCCTATGATACTTTCCCTCCTCTTTTCTCCAGCCTTGGTCAGGCCTTCAATACCCAGTCCGACTTCGCCCACACGTCTCAAAACGATAAGGAGGGCGCCTCGGAGGTCCTGACTGAGTTCCTTAGTCAGGAGTTCAACAGCTAGAGGGTAGAAGTCTGGAATATGAGACTTGAAAGCGTCCTCCGGGAATGTTGCATAACCTTCTAGTACGTCAACGACAACGGGGCGCCATGCCATGATATTCCTGTGCTGTGATTCTTCGGCCAAAGCCGAGTACCCTTGAATGATGTCTTTGCAAAGTGGTACCAAGGCAGCCTCAATATCAGGGCGGCTCTCCAATCTCTCTGGTGCGTTATCGGCGAACATTCTGAATAGAATAGATACGTACGTTGCCGCGGCGCCGCTCTCTTGTTTAAGCAGGTTGGGCGGCTGCTTCATGAAGCCTTCTCTCCACAACTTCATGCGAAGCTCTTTATCTTCATTGAAGCGGCGAGCAAATTGGAATGACCGTTTGAGCAAGGCCATCAAACGCAATAGCTCAGTTGACGGAATATGAGCGTACACTGTGTCATTGCTGAAGAGTTCGTTGACTGTCTCAATCATCAATAGCTGCAGGACACAGCGTGAGATAATGCGGTTAAAAAATCGACGTCTAGCTGCTGTCACAACCACAGGTTGCTGTTGTAGATTTGATGATGGCCTGAATTCCTCTAACGGCTGGCCGGCAATACCGCCTGGAGTTTCCATATCATCGTCTAGGGGCTTCGGCGACGGTTGGCGGGGGATAGGCTCGCCGTCGGAAACGGCGCCAGAGTCATCATTCGTGCCGTTGATCTTCAGAGATTTCTCATCAACCGAAGCCGTCTCTCCAGTAGGGCTTAGGGTCCCGGAGAAGTCAAACCCATTAGAGGGTAAAGCCAGAGAAGCTGTGGTGCCCATGTTTGTCGCTGTAAACAGCTGATATGCCGTCGTGCGCTCAAAAAGCTCGCAAAAGGCGCCGACTATCTTGGCCCAATGCTCTGGAGTGAACTTGGTGACATTTTTCAGAATGAGTTGCTGTAAGCAGTTGCTTCCGATACGAGATATTGTGTCATTTTCTTGGCAAATGCACAATGCTAGCAACTCCAAGAAGCGGTCAAGCATATATTCCAAGGACTCGAAGTAGTGGGTAAAAAGTGTTATCATGTTCCGAAGGGCCTGAATCATTGTTGTTGAAAGCCAAACTGAAAGCTCTTCATGATTAAGCACATTCGTCATCTCTGGCCTTGACCTCAAGACCATGAAGATTGGATAAAGCTGCTGTCGCCACAAGATATCCCAAAACTCAGGTGTGAAGTCACCGCCATACTTGATAAGAGCAGCAAAGAAGTATTCGAGGGCGTTCGACCGCACTTCCAAATCCTCTCCAGTCATGAGCACATCGTGAAACGCAAACAGCACCGGGAACCAGAAGCCTTCCTCAACTGTTGTGTTCGATAGCGTCCTCTTAGGGCCATCCGACGTCTTGTTCGGCGCGTCGGCATTTGTGTTGCCTTGCATAGACTTGTACTTCTGCGACAATGGGCATTCAGGGGTTTTCAGCATCGCAGGAATGATGGATTTGAGTAGCTCCAACGCAGCGAGGCTCTTCTTTTGAAACTTTAAGTTCTTGGAGAACTCGGTGAGACAAACAATTAGGTCAGTAAAGGCGCCTTGCGAAATCACAACGCCAAACTTGGTCTTATAGACCTGATTAACATTTTCATAAGCAAGATTCACAATACTCTCGTGGGGTTCTCTTGCAGCCACTGTGAATACTCCAAACATGGTTCTCCAACCAGATCGGATATTACCTCCCCGCGCTTGGATCATCTGGATAAGGCAGCGTAAAACTAAGTCCTTGACTGTGACATTATGGGAGTTAGCAAGTACGTGCTCAAATGGCTTCAGAAAATCTTTCTGGAACTTGAAGCCTGCCAGTTCCTCAATTTCCATAAATCTCATGGAGAGTTGTCGAAGCGAATCCAAAGCGAAGAAAACAATGTTCATGTTGTTGTGGCATCCAACTTGGTTGAAGTGCTCTCCAAGAACATCCCATATATTACTCCATTCAAATCGAACACGGTTCATGTTGTAATAGCTGATTTCAACGATCTTCTGCAGACTGTAGGTTCTAGGCGATTCGTTGGAACCAGACACTTTGATCTCGTCCCAGCTCACTTCGGTGAGAGCTTTTGCAAATTGCACCATAGCCTCACCAGAGAGGTTGGCGGTATTCGTGAAAATTCTATCAACACTGCGAATAAAGTCATCCGAACGGCTTTCTAGGGCAATTTCATGAGAGAATCCTCTCGGACCCGTCCCGGATCTTTGCCTTGGTCTCTGTCTCGAATGCGCCGACGATCGTGAGTCTGAAGTGTCAGTCCTTGGGGGTGGTATAAATCGAGCTTGAGAAACATCCGGGATGGTACTTTCGTCAACACCGCCAGTTATGAGTTGCAGTCGATCAAGTTGGCTGATGCACATGAGTATGTCTTTCCATGATTCTCTCAACAGATTCCCTTCGGTCTGGCCAAGATCCAAGATGACCTTGAGGGCCTCGATATTTTTTGCCTGCATATCCTGAGGATTGTTCAGATTCGTGGTATTCCTCAGAGCAGAAATGAAGGCTTCTCTCGGTGTCGACAACTCAAAAAGACACGCAATTCGAGTCGCTAGCTTCATGCCTTCCAAGCAAAGCTTATTCACCTCAATATTATGAGATTTTTGGATTTGGCTGGATAGCGCCGAGAAGAACGACATCCACGTTACATCGAACATTGACCCAACATGTTTGAATGATGTTGCTGGGATAAACCTGGGTTCCGCCTTGGCAGTATTCCGGCGCTGGCTCTTGAAGAGATTCTTGAATAATTGCTCTGAACGCAGAGAAATTTCTTCGGACTGTTGCACATACGCCTCGCGTTGCAAGTCCCGGCCAACGTTGGAGAAAGCTTGGCCAATACCAGCCGCGAGGCCGCCTGCGGGATTGGCTGTGACCGTACCGGCTACTGCGGCAGCTTCACGCTCGCTTGTGAGTACGATTTCATTATTTGCGATTTCATCGTAAATGCCCAGGAGATACTCGTCGGGTAGATCTGCATTGTCATTTATGCCACGGTTATTTTTGATGAATTCCTCCTTGCTCATGCGTTTGGCAATTTTGCTGCTGTGCTGATCCGTGTTCAACATTATGACAGAGTAGGCAAGAACATAGGCAGTGTCTGCATTCGCAAAAGCGTTGGGATTCCCCATGACATAGCGTTCGGCAAACTTGAGCATAAATCGGTCGATCTTTTGAGCTTCACCAGGCAGCCGGAACGACTGTAGAAATTGGCGCAGTGCATCGACAAACCGTTTCTTGGTAAAATCCATTGCATCAACGAATGCGTGCATGATGTCAATATTCTCTTGGTCACCTTCTCCCAAGTACTCCCCAATTTGGGCTTTGTCAAGCTTATCCTCCTTTAAGAGGAAATTGGCAATATCTGCAGGGCTGTTACTGTCGATAAATCCATCACGTAATAGAAGTTTGACACCTTTCTTAGGCTTGAAGTTGAACTGCCTGATAGCATTTATCAATGCAGTTTTGCGCGCCTTCTCTTTTTCCAGCTGATCAGGGTCATCGTCCACAACAGGAGTAGAAGGCGGTAGAGGAGTCTCGAGTCGAGACGCGCTATCGCTCAACGTAGGGTCAATGGATGGTCGCAATTCATCAAGGGAGCCTTTGATATCTCCTTCTGGTCGAAGCATATCGCCGCCATCAGATCGTACTGAGGCTGACCAGTTAACCAGGGATCTGAGCGTTTCGACCAAAGCTTCGAGTGATAGCCGCTTCATTGCATATTCCTTCGGGTAGTCTGGTTCATTCTCCTGCGGTGGGATGATTTGGGCAACTGTTAACGGGGGTGGTAGAATGCCTTTCAGCTGCCAGTCGCTGGCGGGTGGTGTCTTGGCCCTCAACTCTTCATATACCTGTTCGTTGATTGTCGTGATTACGAGGGGTGTTGTGGAGAATTTGGAAAGATCCTCGACCATAGCTTGAAAGATGTTGTCCACAGTCTGGTCACAATCATAGTTGAGATACGTTTCGACTAGAGCTCTGGGGTCTGCACACAGCCGATTGAGTATCGTTACAAAGTAGAGCTTTTGTGACAC